GGCAGAAAGCAACTATTCAGCAAACAGAACATAGTGTCACCTGAAAACTTGGTTAACTTCAGGTTATTGGTCATGGAGATGCAGTTGGCTAAGGTATTTTGTGAAGCCCCCAGAGAACAAAGCCCCAAACCTGTAGGGAGCTCTTTTCACTCCAGAGCAGCTCAGCTGCAAACCAGATGGGGGCGTGGGATGGTTCTACTTTCAAACCTCTGCCAACGGGGAGGAAAAATAAGTGTGCACTGCCACCAAGTGGTCGTGCCTAATAGTGTGATGCGGCTAGGGAAATGATCAAAACCAATTAAATATCTCATGAACGGATGCATGAAAGGATAAAAATTCTAGTTAATTTATATTAGCTTTTCTGCAGTGAAGTGAAACATGTATTTTCATTTTTTGTAGGTTAAATACTGAGGGAAAGCATCCAAGGAGGAGAGTCAAAATCTTTAAAGATCCCAGACCAGATATAACTGACCAAGAAAGAATGGATGAATTGGGAATTCAATTCAGGCCCCTTGGATTCCATCCAGATGTTCAACCAGCTGGTCACACTGAGTCCCCGCCAGTCAATTACTTTTCTTGATGTTTCTAATCAACAGTATTATATATGTGATGCTATAAACTTTTATATTTAATATTAGCTCATAACTCAAGATCCTAAACCAGATGTTTTGGGTGAGAAAGAAATTGATGACTTATCAGTGGATTGAACCCAGGCCACTGGCTGCTCTCCAGGCATTTCACCAGCTGAGCTGCAAAGCAGAGAGGTTGCTACCAGCTCCTTTCAGTTATAGGAAGGGAAAGGGAGAAGAAATGAAAATGAATAGGAACATAAAACTTCATTCAGGAAGATCGACTATGAGGTTTTTTTTTTTCCTTACAAGACAGGAGCCTGCAGTGTTGTCTTAGGATAATAACTGTCTGATATTTGCAATTCTCTGAATGCCTCCTCCTCTCTTTTATAACATCATGAAGGTGGGAATGGAGGAATGAAGACAGTAAATTATGTGGCCAAGAGAAAGTGACATCATCGACTCATGAATGGGGGTGGATAATGTCTTTAAAATTCTCATGAATTTTCCTCCCAGGGGTTTCTCCCTTTGGCTTCCCCCAACCAAACATCCAGGCCACTGCTGGGGTGGAGGATAGAGGCAGACTAGAGAGCAGAGAACAAGGCAGCTCTCTGGGCTGTGGCATTCAGCTCCTGACAGTGAAGAGGAATTCCTGCCTCACCATCCCTCTTAAAAAGAAAGCTCCCAATCTGTGGATGGGAGAGCAGTTATTAGAGGGTCCTGGAAAAGAAGGTCCTGACTGCCTGGGTAAGAGTCCTGGGGTGACAGACCCCAATGAGGGTGTGGCTGTGCTCTATCCGGCTAAGTGGGGCCAGGGTGAGTCTATGAGCGAATCGTGGGAAGCACTTAACAGGGTGCCTGGTACATAGAAAGTACTCAATAAATTGCAGCTGTTACTCCTCTTACTAGGATGCTCGTACAGTGAAGATCCCTATAACAGACAGAGGATACTTCTGTGACCAGAGACAGCCAGCTATGTCCCTCATCCCTTTTGTGTCCTTCTTCATGACATCACACATTTTCTTAAATTTGATTAAGAAAAACCATTTTCTTAATTTTAAGATTTTTTTTCTTTTCTTCAGTTTCTTACAATGAACAAACATAAATCAATGTGCGCTGGTTAATTCCATGTGTCAACTGGGCCAGGAGATGTACCCAGATATTTGCTCAAACATTATTCTAGAGGTTTCTGTGCAGGTGTTTTTTAAGTGATATTAACATTTAAATCAGCAAACTTTTAGTAAAGCGCATGATGATGTGGGTGGGTGGGCCTCTTCCAATCAGTTGAAGGCCTGAATAGAAAATAAAAAGAGACCTTCCCAAAGGAAGAGGGAATTCTGCCGGCAGCAGCCTTTGGACTTAAACTGAAACTCTTGCTCGAGTTTCCAGCCTGTAAGCTTACCTTTCTGATGTTGGACTTACCAGCCTCACAGTCACATGGACAAATTCCTTAAAATCAACATACTCTCTTTTTCTCTTTCCCTACATATAAGCACTCACACATACATTTGACTCTCTGGAGAACCCTGACAGTGGGAGAATACACAGCGACTGTACAAAAACACTTCAGAATCCACATAAATATGTTTTTCTTCAGAGTCCTATCACCACAGTGTTGGACTGGTGAGTGGTAGCCTTATGATGAGAGGGATTCTGAGGTAGTGTCTGTTCTCTTTCCACAAACTGACACTTGTGAAATGAAAGCAAGGAAGACAAGACTACTTTTGTCTTCATCCCAGGCCACATCCTCTTGCAACCTCAAAGGAGGCTCACTAGCTGCCTGAAGTGGGGAAGAAGAGAAGCAAAGAAGAAATATCTCAAAATAATGCCTCACTTTGTTTGAAATGCATTTAAAAAGTGACATAGAACGTGGATGGAGAGTAGAATGGACAGATGTTAGATATGTGATAAAGCATGTATAGCAAATGGTGACAGCGAAGTAAAGGGAGAGATGGGTGTTCAATACATGTTTGAAATTTCTCAGAATAAACTGGGGGGTGGGGGGCTGTGGGGGAAATGGGGACGTATTAGGTTCACATTTGCTAGCCTCCCTCCAGTCCATAAACTCTGGGTAAAAGTGGCGCTCTTGTTTTACTGGCATCACAGTGCTTAGCTTAACAGTTAGCAACGCAAAAAATAAGCTGTTAAGATTAGCTGGACAAGAAAAGAACCACCTCCTTCCAGGGACAGCAATCCCCAGGGCTGCGGCGCCACGGAGCCCTCTAGTGGCCGTGGTGCGCATCCCACTCCGGGGGACCATTGCCCTTTATTGCCCTGTGCTCTGACCCAGACACATGGAGGCATGATCGCACTGCAGATCGCATCTGCAGGAACTACTCAGAACATGCCTCATCAAGGATGTGGGATGGTCTAAAATCTTCACTGAGGATCTAGAAGACAATTACTAAATGAAGGTGGGGCTAATGCTCCTTCTATCAGGTGGTGGGGCCTTGCCACACAGTTTCCTTCTCTCTCTAGGCCAAGAGCCTTTGAGGGACTTTTTATTCTCTGGAACACAGCTATAAATCTGGGATCATACTCAGAAAAAGACCCCAAAGTTCTCCCTTCTAATGTCTAGGGGCAGCAGACACAGGGAATGCTGAAGAGTCCTGAGTAGAAGGACTCTTAGGGAGAAGAAGATGGAGTGAGTTCGGGGCTGAATTGTGTCTCCACTGCCCCTGAAAATTTATATATTGAAGTCCTAACTGCCCAGCCTTTCAGAATGTAACTATATCTGTAAAGAGGGTTTTTAAAGATATCGATAGGTTAAAATAAGGCCACTAGGGTGATCCCTAATCCAATTTGACTGGTGTTCTTAGAATAAGACATTTAAAACAGAATGACACTAGGGATGCAGAAAAAATGTCATGTGAAGACACGGGAAAAAAAACATCCATCTGCAAGCCAAGGAGAGAGGCCTCAGAAGAAACCAACCCTGCTGACACTTTGATCTTGGACTTCCAACTGAGACAGCCTAGGGAAAAGAAATCATGAGCCAGTGGCCTAAGAGCTGCCCCAGGTCCAGTTTAAACAGCAGAACTGAAACATGGACTGGCAAGCCCTGGCCAAACACTTGGCCCACCACACTAATGAGGCCAGGCTGGACAAGAAGCACTCGATCCTGACTAATGTACATATTGAAAATCTAGCTGCCTTTTTTTTTGGGGGGGGGGGGAAGTACATTCAGGTACTTAACTGATTTTTAAATGGAATTTTTTTATATTGAGTTGTATGATGATTGTGTATTTTGGATATTAACCCCGTATTAAATAAATGAATTGCAAGTATTTTCCACTCTGTCAGTTGCCTTTTTGTTTTGTTAGTTATCATTTTTATTTTGAACACTTATAGAGATGGTAGCATCATAATCTTTTTAGTGTTTAAGCCCTAAAGATGTAAGCAACAGCCTTGCAGTTTTCCTGACCCTCACTGGGATGATTTCAAGTGCAAATATGTTCTTACACAGTTGTGTGGTAATCTTCCATAAAAACAGGTTCGCATTTCAGTGGATCTTCCAGGTAAAATATGGTCCCTATTCATGGGAGCTTCTTGTATTTTAATAGACTTCACCGGGGTCTTTATTGGAGAGAGATCCTTATTTGCTATGTAAAGACGCAGAACTGTTCTTTTTCCCAAAGCTTTGGGACAACTGCCTGTGCGATGTCCCTGGTCAGCATTTCTTTAGACATCAGTTGAAATGTATTATTTCCTTTTCGGCTACCATTTCTTGAATGTCTTATATGTGTCAGTGCCACTCAACGTGCTCTCAACATATTACTAGGTGATTTAATTCTAAAAACCTCTAAATAGGTACTGTTATGAAACTGAGGCTCAGAGTAACTGACCCAAAACTCTCTTGCTCCAGAACTTGATCGCTTAATCCCTAACCTTGCTTTTCTTTCCAAAAGTCCGTAAAGACCTTTGAAATATGTATTCACCTTAATTACGCTGGAAATAAAATTAGCAAAAACTCTTATAGTACATAAAGCTACATAACTGACCTCCTCACAGTTACTCCTAACAACCTCAAGCAAGAACAACCCAGTTCATAATCGGTGGGTGGGAGCGAGACTCGAACCTACCAGCAGACCCGCACTCCAAGGAACAGCTTTTTCTCCAGTATTAATTTTCCGGGGCTGAACCCGGAAGTCCCGCCCCAAGCGTAGGACAATTTCCGGAAAGAATTGGCCTTGGGGAAAGCCGGAAACAGAGTAGGGGCGGGGCCGCTCGGGTCGCTCTAGCATTTCCCTACTCTATGGCCACCGCCAATTGACAAGTCTGGAGCGGCCAGCCTCCTCCCTATTGGACGCACGGCCTCACGTAGGCGGGCGGCTCAGTTCTCTGCACGTTGATTGGCTGATCCTGCCACGCGGGCGGAGGGCCTGTGTGTGGGGCACGCGGGCCGAGGTGACCGGCTTCATTCTCCACCCGGGTGGAAGCTGGTGGATGTGGGCGATCCGCTCGCTGCTGCGGGCTGCGGCAGGGCGCACCATGTCGCAGGGAGCCGCCCGCCGCCAGCGGCCGCCCAAGGACCCGCTGCGGCACCTGCGCACGCGGGAGAAGCGTGGCCCGTCTTGGGAGCCCGGAGGCCCGAACACCGTGTACCTGCAGGTGGTGGCGGCCGGCGGCCGGGACTCGGGCGCGGCGCTCTACGTCTTCTCTGAGTACAACCGGTCAGTCCGCCGAGCCTGACATTCCACGGGCCCCCGCAGTGTCTCCTCACCGAGCCCCGCCCGGCCTGCCTTGCCGCGCGCCCAGGAGCCGCACCCGGTTGTGAATAAGCACCTGCCGGAGCTCTGGTTTCCCTTGCTTGACACGTGGGATTTCACTGTCGCAACCGATCTTGGTCTTTCGGCGGGTGGGAGAGCCTAGGTTGCTTACATCCGACAGCCGCAGAGTGTCCGGGAGTCCCTGCAGAACTTCAGACTGGGGTGTAGCTTCCTTTTCCCAAGCCTCGGTGCCCGAGTTCTCCAAACTGTATCCCTTCCCGTGCATCCGGAGGAGAAGAGCCGCATCGTTGGTGTGGGGATGCGGGGCACACAGTTCTGGTGAGGAGAGTTGGTGGGGGAACATCCATCTCTCCCCAGCATACGCCTACACGGGCCCCCCCCATCCCCTCCGCGCCTCTGCTGAGGAGGGTTCGGAATCCTAATAGCAGAATGAGGGTCAGCAGTGCGGGGAGTAGACGTTTCCCCAGATTCTACCATCAGGCGTCCAAAAGGTGTTGAAATTTTAGAGTAAAGGGTCTTCTGAATGTCTTGTGTAATATCTGTCCTGTAGGTATCTCTTCAACTGTGGAGAAGGCGTCCAGCGACTCATGCAGGAACACAAGTGAGTCATCCGTTTTCTTATGGGTTGGGACTGATGATGGAGCTTGAAAGCTGAGGTGAGAGGCAGGTGTGTTTTTATAGCAGAAAGAAGGGTTCCTAGTCAATCCAGTTTGTTCTCAAATGTTTTCTCTTAGGCTGAAGGTGGCTCGTTTGGACAATATCTTCTTAACCCGAATGCATTGGTGTAATGTTGGGGGACTGTGCGGTAAGTGTATTTTTTGCAGGGTCAGAGGCTGGAGGGATGTCTCTGGGATTTGACCCTGTCCTGCTCCCTACACCCCTTATTTATTTATTTTTTTGGTCTCTTTTCTGAGTGCAGGGGAGCAGAAATTCTTTTTACATTAGCTCTGTCAGCTGCAGTACAACACATGAAAAACTGTGACTAAGAAAAACAGATTTTAACAAGGGGACTGCCTCCAAGTGTTACCCTCCTCCTAGTTTCTTGAGTTACTGGACTGGAGCTATGTGACAGTGAATTGGAGAGTGTGGTGGTGGTGATTACAGTGCCCACAATGTTTACCATTGAGAGTATCGGGCAGCTACACGCAGATACCCACTATCCAGCTTACCTCATATTCACACCCACCACCCGAGAAAGTCAAGATTGTGTTCCCACCAAATTTTGTAAGCTTTGTGATGTGGATAAGGAGTGGAGTATTGTACCATTCTATTAATTGCCGCGGACCAGCACAGCAGTAGACGATGAGGCCGTCTCAGGGTTGAGAGAAACGTGCAGGGTGGTCAGGGCGTCGGTGAAAGAAATGACAAACAGACACACTTCAAGAGAGAGTGTAAATCTGAGTGTAATTTTCTTTGAGTTTGTGACCAGTATATATATGTTTTTCAAAAGCACAGGAACAATGAATATCAAGAAATCAGCTTGCTCATGGGCTCAGCCTATCACCAACAGGGTGGTGATCTACATCTGGACCCAGCCTCATTCCTAAGTAGATAGACCATTAGTTTTGTTTTTAAACTATATAATCGCATTTTTTACTAACTACTTTTTTACCTAACCTATATTTTAATTATTACAGGGTTTAGTAATGTTTCATTTGAGTCAGCCTTGTTTTAAGGATTTCATATGATTTTTTAATTAACAAGCAATGACCTTTATAGAAGAAAGAAGGAAGTTTAGAAAGACAATAAGGGATTAAAGTTTGTAGTTCTAGAAAGACAGGATAAGGTTTTTTAGCATTCTTGTAGTGGTTCCTGGTGGTCGTTATCTTTTGATAAGCTTCTGTCTTTTCAGGGAACTTTGCTGTACTTCCCCTGCTTCAGGGTGTTTTGCTGTTCTCCCCCTGCACGCTGGGTCCTTGCCCACCCGGACCTAGTAGGGACCGTAGGGACCTTGGCAAAAGCCATTCCTAAAGGTCACTGCAGGGGGAGGTGCAGCAATTAATGGAGTTGAGAGTAGGGTGAGGCAAGGAGTTACCTAGGATGCAGAATTTAAGACCATCCCTTCACTTGCCTGACTTTACACATTGGTGCATCACTTTACACATGGGTGCTTCACCCCAGTTTCAGTCCTGCCCATTCTGGAGGCCGTTGAGGACCATTTGGTGTCCCATGTACCTCTGGCAAGCAGCATTTTTGCTGGAAATGCCAGGTCCTGCTGCCTGTCATTACAGAAAGCCAATGAGCAGAGACAGGAATTGAATCTCTAAGAAGCACGTTTAGATAGCTGGCCAGTGATCTGAAAGTGGTGGGCATATCACCCAGAAGAAACCACGCCAACATCCCATCTCCAATTGGCTGTTTTATAGTGAGTTGAACAAAAACAGTCAATCTTAAGTGAATCACTTTCTCAAAACAGCCCGTCATAGTTGATGTACTGGTATTTGTTATGTTCACCCCCCCCTTCCCAGAGTTTGCTATCAGCTTCCTGGTTATCTTGACCTTGGTACATCCTGACCTGCTTGTTTAATTTTTGATGGCATCAATGTCTAGCACTCATTGGGGCATCACCAGGGCAGGAATCTCAGTTCAAAGCAAGAGTTTTAGTTTAAAGAAAACAGAAGATTAGTCACATAGTGTGTATGTGCAGGCTGTGCTAGGTGCGTATATGCAGGGCCCTGTGCCATGTGTAGTGCTTTCCCTTCCTCCCTGACCCCCGTCAGTATGTCCTCTCTACACATGTTCCTGATAACCAGAAGCTGCAAGGAGGACAAGTAGGTCATCAGCTGGCTAAGTCAGGAGTGCTGCTCCAGGCAGCAACTGCAGGACAAGGTGACGAGGGACCTGATTGTATTCATCCTTTGTAGGAATGATTCTTACCTTAAAGGAAACTGGACTTCCAAAGTGTGTACTTTCTGGACCTCCACAACTGGTGAGTCTCTCCTGACTCAGCTTTTAAAGTTAATCTCTTTTATAAATGTTGTGACAAGTCTTTCCATTTTTGTAAACCAGTCTTCTACCTTCCAGAGATAACTGATAGCGGAGTATATAGTTCACCTTTCAAGTTAAAGAGACCTGAGTTCAACTCTTTAACAACTGTATGCCCTTGAACAAGTTAACTTTACCTCTGTTTCTTCTTGATCTGTACAATGCCTATACTGTTTCAGAGTTATTAGCCTAGATGACAAAACACTAAATGACCTTGATGTTTGGCACCAAGTGGGAATACAACAAATGGTAGCTTTTGTTTTTATTTATTTATTATTCAGACAGCTTTGTATCTTCCACACCAGCTTATTACATTGTCAAGAACTTGTGTGCACAGTTAAGACTGTTGAATGTAATAGTTCACATCCCAGTTCTTAAGAAGAATTACCAAGACTTCTTAATTCTATCTCCAAAATAATGTCTCATATCCTTCCATTTGTCTTTGTCTCATTAAGGCCTTCACGAGTTGTATACTAAACCTCTCTACTCTAATAGCATCCATTGCCATTCTTGCCCCTTTCTAATCCATCACAGCAGCAGAGTGACCTCTTAATGGCACAACTGCAGGCATGTCACTTCCCATCCGAAACCCTTCAAGGGCTCTGCATTGCATTATGACCCAAACATTCTCCTATGACCCACAAATCTTGTGGCCTTGGCCCTTGACCACACTTATATCTGTATCTGTTTCCAAGCCAGAGCTACATGGGCAGACTCAGGCTTAGCCCCCTGTCCTCCACTGAAGCTTCTTCCCACCTCAGGGCTTTCATTCATACTCGACTTCCCTTCTGTCCTCCATGCCTTTCCTTCTGAAGGGCTTAGCTGGATGTCCAGGGCTTAGCTGGACAACCCATTTACTCAGGAGCCTCCCTGACTGTTGAGACCAGTTGTATCCCAGCCCCCTGCCTTCTTCCTGCTTCTTCCAGAATACATAACAAGACTGCAGCTACTATGTTGTTTATGTTGCCATTTGTTTCACTTTTGTCTCCTCTACTGGATTCTAAGTCTCATGAGTGCAGGGACCCCCATCTCCTCATTGCTAAATCCTTGGCCTCTAAGAGAGTGGACACCCAAAAGTTGCAAGTTCAAAACACTTAATAAAGTTAATGTTGATACCTATAGTACCTGTTACATACTTGATCATGTCACTCAGTTCTGTATTTCAGGTTTAGTATACAACTCGTGAAGGCCTTAATGAGACAGAGACAAATGAAAGGATATGAGACATTATTTTGGAGACAGAATTAAGAAGTCTTGGTAATTCTTCTTAAGAACTGGGGTTTTCATTCTATCTGCTCACATCTTTATTTTCTTTTGCAGGAAAAGTTCTTAGAGGCTATCAAGATATTTTCTGGTCCATTGAAAGGAATAGACCTGGGTATGTCCTGATTGACATTTCTTTCTCACATATGCCTCAGTCTTTCAAATGAGACTTTATTAAAAAAGGAACCCAGGCCTCCCTGGTGGCACAGGGGTTCGATTCCCGGCTAGACAGGGAGAAACCCACATGGCGCGGCAGACCTCTCCTGCCTCGCCTGCTGCTCCCCTCAGCAGTGTCTTTGGTCCATCTGCCTGTTCTGCTCCCCACTCTGTCTCTGGTGAATTCTCTTTTAAAACGGGGGGGGACCTATATTAAACCTAAAAATTAAATGTCTTATCAACACAAGCTGATAAAAATATGGCTTATTGCACTTACTATACTCCCAAATATTAGCCAGGTGGGCAGGGGTGATTTCAGAACTGCCATATGCCCATATGGGTACTGGGTAGCAGTCTCCTGTTTGCACTGTGGCTCCTTCCCTAGTTCTCAGAGTGGTTCTCAGAGTTGCCTTGAATTCCTTGTAGTAGAAAGAGGGTATGTGAATAGAGCGACACACAGGTTTTGTTGCCTACATTTTACCCTGAACCTCAGCTCTGGCACTGCTGGCAATGATGTGGCCCTTTGATGCAATGAGACCTACATGAGGATACCAGCAGGGCCCTGGTCCTGGAGGCCGTGTGCTTCTCCAGCTTGTTAGCACTTCTTGTTCTGGAAACACGGATATTGTATTTCAAAATAAATATCAGCTCTTTCATTTGAGATGGTAGAATCTCTGGCTTCCCAATGCTGAGTGTTAACTTGGACATCTTAACTTTTGAGTATTGGTTTCTTTTTTTTCTTTTGTAATGGGTTGTCATCAGTGATCATGTATCTTTTCATTTGGCTGTAGTGACTCTGTTAACGAAAATACATTTTTGTTTCTTTCCTAAATAATTTAACTGGAAATTCTGAGTAAAGCAATTCATTTGCTGTGGCTAGTGATCTGAAAAGTTAATTTTCATGTTAATGCAGTCACTTTACTGTTTGCCTTTCTTGTAGCGGTGCGGCCTCACTCTGCACCAGAATACAAGGATGAGACCATGATGGTTTTCCAGATCCCCATATACAGTGAGTATGAGGTGTCCTAGGAGGAGGAGGTTGTAGGTATAGGTGAGGAAAGCATGGGTGAAAAGCTGCTGCTTGATACACACTGACTCTGTGTATCCTGCTCTGTGTTCTGGGATGACTGGGAAATTTTGCTGAAGCATGAAGATATGGTTCCTGACATAAAATCAAGGACTGGACATTCACATAGCAGACAATTCAGCAATGTAAAACACTCAAAAACAAGTGCAGACACCCTTGTTACCCACTTGTATGCATTCAGTGCAGTGCTGGGTATATTCATATGACTGAGGAAATTTCCTTACCTCCCTTTCTTCCAAAGCATCCAGATGCCGTACTGGTTGTTCTAGCATCTTTGGGAGAGACAGTTCTATCACTGAGCAGAGGTGCTGGAGAGCTTGGGTATCTTTGAGTACGGGGGGCAGTCCCTGATGACAGGACTGAGGGTAATATCAAGGGAGCGATCTTTGTGTGAGCTCATGGACAACTGCTGATGCTCTTTGATATACTTGAGGGCAACTCTTCTGTGTCTCCTCAGAGGGATCTCTTTTAACACATCTCGAAACAGTGACCCTACCCACTTCAGGAATAATCAGGCCTCTAAGCAGTTCTTGTTTTGATTCCAGGGCTGACCCAGAGTTCCTGGAGGCTCCCAGTGTGCCTCCATGTGATCTTCCTGATGGAATGAAGGAGAAAGAAAAATAAAGAGATATAGTTTCAGCCCTTCAGGAACTTATAAGCTATGGACAGACATTTAATTCATATATAATGATAGTGGTTATACTTTGGGATAGTACCTAATCAAGCTCTGTCAGGAAATAGATTGCTCTCCAACTTGCACATTTGTTGCTGAGGTTAATTTATCACAGATATAAGTACCTCCTTTGATGAGAACTTGGTAGACAGGTTTGCAGGGGGGGTTTGAATAAATATTGGTAACAATAACCAATATTTTGGTTATTGTTGTCAGCGGTCAGGAGGTCACACAAACCTTCTTGGGTCCCAGGAGAGATGTCAGCTCTCTATATCAATGCCATCCCTCAGTCTGTCTAAACAGATAATCATGGCTGGTTTTACCACTTTTGAGGAGTCATCTTGATAGTTTGCCAGGTACTGAAGGGATAGGGACAAGAACCCTTAACAAAGGCCAAAGAGTCCCAGAACTAGTGGGGAGGCTCACACTCTGGGCAGATGGAAGCTAGGAGGGCCGTGAAGGAGGGACCCAGCACGGAGCCACAAGCAAGTAAGGCTGTGGCCTGACTGGGACTCTCCATTCCTGGCTCACCTGGTCAGATGTCTTCTCTCCCCTCCCTGCACCACCACCCCCCAATCCCTCCACTACTCTTTCTAGCTCCCTTTTCCTCCCCCTCAACATGGAACAATTTGCTTCTATGTGTATTGTGTGACGGGTGCTGACCTTGTTTAGCTTGCCGGCCATGTTTTCCTAGTGTCCAGCAGGCATTTACGGGGTGAGTCTTGCAGGAGGGGAAGGCAGAGCACTGTGAGACCAACAGCCATGGTTTTGAGCAGTAGTTTTCTTTGTCTTGGCCTTGAGACTTCACTGACTGCTAGATTATGCTCCTTCTCAGGAACTTGGTAATCTTGGGTCAACGTCTATTGGAGAGTGGTGATAACAAAAAAAGCAGCCTACAACCTGCATGCTTTTTAGGCAGCAAACACCGTTATGTTCCTACTATAGTCAAGGCCTGAGCTGAGCAGAAACAAAAAGATAAGTCAGCTAAAAATGTGGCCCAGAAAGCAGACTGGGTACCTGGCACTTACTTCTGTGCAGGAGGCATGCTGATTTAGTGGGCTAGGCTTGGCCTGGGAGCTCACCTCTGTAGCGTGTGATTTGACTGTTTCCTCTTTTCATCAGGTGAACAGAGGTGTGAAGGGCAACAGCCATCGCAGAGTCCAGAAAGACTCAGTCCACAGCAGTCTTCTGACTCTGGGTCAACTGACAATGAGCAGCAGCTTCCAGATGGTAATGGTACTAAAACACAGCAGCTTGCTGTCAAGAGAATTCTGTTTTCTTAATCTGTCCCCTCTGGCTGCTCTAAGTTAGAATCTTGTCATAAGGAAGCCCTGTGTGTATGATGGATACTTTTTCCTTGGCACATTAGGCCTATGATGAGAGGGACAAGGGTTGTCATAAAGATGGCAGTAGGGAGCTTTGAGGGCTGGTTTGCAGGGCCCAAAACTTGATAGTCTGTTTGCCCAGAGGGCCTGGAAAATTTATACAGAGGGCTTTTATGGTTTACATTAATGCAGAAACTCTTAACCACTAAGATGACAAAGCAGTCATATCAATAAGTGCATCTGATCTTTTCTTCCAAAATGACATCTACTAGAACTAAATTACAGTTCCAAGATGAGATATAGTAAAGGAATGGGGCTGCTTAAGCAGTCTGTTGTCAACTGCTGGGCAAAGCTTGCTTAGTTCCTCTTTCTGTCTTGAGGTCTGCTCTGCCTGATGATGGAGAAGAGGTCAACCCTGTTGGCTATCCTTATTTGGATTGCATGAGTGAAGACTGACACCGCATTTTTTCTGCAAGCCTTTGAAGCTTTTGTGTAACTTCACGTATTCTTATGCTTATTTATAAAATGCATTACAACTTGTTTTTTCCTGCCTTCTCCAGGCCTAGGTAAAATATGTCATGTTTTCAACATTTTACCTGCTATTTCAAAGTTATTCTGGTTGGTGTTTGGTATTTTTCATTTACTCAGCTCTCATATGAATAAGAAAGAAGCGATCCGCTAGAGAAAGAATACAGTGTTTTCTTCCACCTTTGTATTGGAGGAGTTATGTCCATTTAGTTATGTGTGAAGTCAAATTAGGTATCACATCATTGTGGATCTGAGAAGCCTGGAAGCCTTCCCATTTACCTTTCTGTAACTGACTCATTTTTCCTCAGGTGTTCCCCGCAAAATGGGTGGCAGGGATCCCTCCTTGGTGGTAGCTTTCATCTGTAAGGTAAGAGCTCTTCCAGTGGGCTCCAAGTGAGCCTGTCCACCATGACCTGTGGTTAGAACTTTTCCAGTAATGCAAGGGGAGCAGCTCCTAAGTTATCTGTGCCAAGAAGAAACACAGATGCCCTATTCTCAATATTCTACCTATAATTTGACATACTCTCAAATTCTTTTCCAATTGTCTATCCTGTATATATAGATACATTTATATTTGCTTATGATTGGTCCTCTTGGACATCAGAAGTAGTTAAAGGTAGCTTTGCCTTCCCATAACTGAATTAGGCCTTTATGCCATTTCACTGTAGTGGTTAAGCTGCTAACATTGGACTTATTTTAATGTTGGACTCATTTAATATTGCAGACATAGGTCTGCAAATTTGGAGTTAGTCAGATTCTATGAAAATGTTTTTATAATAAGGTATTTTACAATCTGATGAATGGCCTGTTTTTAATAGGATCTTGCATTAAAATTTTATTGTAATCTTCAACAAATGCTTTCATCTAACGTGACCTATGCTCTGACTACACACTGTATTTCTGATTTTTTTAAAAAGCAGTGATGTTGATTTTAAAATATATTTGTAATTTCATACAGCTTGTAGCACCTACAAGTGAAAACAGTTAATAAAGATCAGTAGTAATGTAGGTATCAGTTGAAAGATCGTTGTCAGTATCACTTCCAGCAATGAGAATAATAGTAATAGTTTTTATAAAAGTTTAGCAATGATAGGCTTAATATTTGAGTGTTTGAGTTTTCAGGCAGCAAAATAATGTTCTTTTAAGTAGGTTGTATGGTAATCTTTAGGGTGCATTCTAGACGTCCAGCCTTCCTAAGTAGATTACGTGGAGTACTATGAAATGAGTTGCTTGTGATTCCGGCACAGTCTTGGAAACCCCAGCAGTGGGGGTTGTGACCAGGCAGCTGTTAAAGGAGCTGTAGGCTGCTGCCCTGGCCCTCTAAGTCTTTCCTCCCTGTCTGTCTGCTCCAGCTTCTGAGAGCAGTTTTTGCTGTATCAGCCTGAAGCATCTTTTCCCTCTTCTAAATTATTTGCTGCTTCCCAGCTAAGGGAGTGGAAGGCAGGAAAGCTGAGCCTGTTCAAGTTTTGGAGATCAGAGAAAACAGGCTGTGCAGGTGAGGATCTGAACGACTCTCATGGTAGGAGAGCCTGGACTTGGGACAGCTGTTTGCCTGCTCTGGGCCTTGTGGGCCTTGCATCCTGGCCCTTGTGTCTTCCAGATACTCTGCATTCCTCAGATGGGAACAGGTTTCTCCAGGGGTTGAATTCAGTTTATGGTGTAGGATATGTTTTGCCTGACCTCGGTCTGCAAGTTCCCGTTGAACTTCAGAAACAGTTTCTATCTGAAAATGCATTTGGGTCTGTGGTGCCAGGTCATTTTACATCATTATCTGAAGATGCCACTTAAGCTTTATCACCTTTGTGTTATATTCACATGCCTAAGCTGTCATCCTTCTACCAGGATAATGTTTTCAAGACAGAAAATTCTAGAGTCCTTATTATATTTTAGAATCTAAATTTGAGACTTTGCCCTCAGAATGATTTCTGACTTTGGGCAATTAAAAGGAAATGCGAAGTCTTTATAAAGATCTGAGGAAGAACATTATTTTTTTGTTATTATATGTGAAGCATGTAGAGCTCAAAAATGTTTGGACAGTTTTTAAGGACAGAATAATGGCATCGAGGCTTTGTGATAATGTTTTTCCTTCTTACATAATAAAAGAATATTGAGATTTTTTTTTTTTTATTCTAACTTTCTTCAGTATAAAAGCAACAGCTGGATATTGCCAAGTTTGTGAAAAACAGAGGAGAGGGAACCACCTACCCTTTCCTCACCCTATCGCTGTCACCAGAATATTGTTGTACAGTGACAGGCGTGGTGAGCATTTTTCTGTTAGACAATGTTCTGGCCTGTTCCTTTAGCTATTAATTGAGGAGTACAAGGTGATAAAACAGAATAGTGTTTCTCTTCAATGATACTTGAAAGATACTTTTAACTTGCTACGGATCAGTGACATTTTATGAAATGTAGAATGAGTTCCTGCGGATGATTAAGCACCACGTTTTTAAATCATTCAGCTTTTAGTACTGAAGCATTTCAAAATAAATAACTTCTTCAGAATAGAATATACCTTATCTGAGAGCAATAACCTAACCCCCATTTTAATGAATTATAAGAAAATAACATCAGTGAAAAAGCAAAACCAGAAAACATACTTAAACTTAAGTAAAACCAAGCTTCTTCCTTAGTCACTGAAATTACATTTAAGTTCTCTTTGTCGCAGCTTCATTTGAAGAAAGGAAACTTCTTGGTGCTCAAAGCAAAGGAACTGGGCCTCCCAGTGTGAGTGTGGGGATATGACTATTGGGAACCAGGGGTCGCCGTGCTCATCAGCCCCGTGTCTCACAGAGGGCTCGCCTCTTCATTGCAGTGGGACGGCCGCCATTGCTCCCATCATTGCTGCTGTTAAGGACGGGAAAAGTGTCACTTATGAAGGAAGAGAGGTGAGAACTCCCCTTTCTGTGATGTTTCAGCCATAACAGGTAGTCCCTGGAACATTGGACAGAGTCACTGTGGGTTTAGGCCCCAAAGACAGCACTTTTGAGAGAAGTAAACAGCTTGGATTTCAATACTTGATGACATGATAAAACTGGGTCACTAATCTAAACTTGTCTTGAAGTCAGCACTGCCTGCATGTGGTTATTTTCTCTAGATTGTGTAGGATCTAGTGGTCCTCGCCTAACAGGATGGGTGTTTTCCCTTATACTTGTTGGGTAGTGTCCAGCAACACACTCCATGATGCAATATTGGGCACCAAATATTCCTTTGGTGCGAGGCCCAAAGGAATGAAACTGTGTACTTTACCGATATGTTTTTTCGGGCACCTAAGGATGTTAAGGCCAGTAGCCACAGACTCAAGAGGACCTGTAGTGCCAAGTCTGGCTTGCTGGCCACTCTGGGCTTGAAATGCTATCTGCCAGCAAACTTCCTATTTAAGTAAAAGCAGAGAGTGGGAAATGTGTAGGTAGTGGTTCTTAGGTAGGTTTTATGCTTGCTCCGTCTTCATGCAATGTTGTTAGTGGACTTGAAGGCCAGTGGGTATGTTTGCTGAGCCATGACCTGGCTCTGGGAGAGCATCGTGACCCACTGATTTTGCAGATTTTGCCTGAAGAGATCTGTACTCCTCCGGATCCTGGTCTCGCTTTTGTTGTGGTAGAATGTCCAGACGAAGGATTCATTCAACCCATCTGCGAGAATGCTGCATTCAAGAGGTAATGAGGGGCCTCGAGGAGGGAGAAGTCAGAGCCAACGCTGCTCATGAAGCCCAGCCCAGCATCAACACAGGCACCTCACCTGATCTGCCAGTCGCTCCAGGCAGAGAATGTGTCTCTGGGAATGCTCAGCTTGAAATATCACAGCCAGACTCTTTACCTCAAGGCCAGCCCTACTAGCATGTTTCCATAGCTCTTGGTAATTGGTGGGCCTTGTGTATACAGCCTTGAAGAGAAGTTAGGGAAGAGTGAAAACCATATTCCACTGTGCACAGGAAATCAACAGCCAGTGAGAGTTCTGAGTCTAGACTTAGAATTTCCTTTACTCCCTGTATTCAAGTTAAGGAGGTAGGTCTGAGCTGTTTGAGAGTCTTGGTGCAGAGTCTGTGTGAAGGGACAGGAGCTCAGCTCAACTTTGTTCTGATGGCCTGAGTGCTGTTTTGGTGGCCCCCAAAATGTGACCGACCCATTTAGCAATTCAGGTTTGATCTTGAGTAGAATCTTTGCCGCACACGCACACATCCATGTTTAAATTTTTCTCCCATTCTTAATGTTTTATCTATCCATATTATTTTCCTGTTTTTAATTCTTATTAATCTATATATTTTCACTTATTGTTTTCGTCTATTTAACACAACAAATTCTTTTGGGAAGCTAACCCTCTTTTACATTAGTGTTACAAATGCTTCCTGAGTTCCATTTTTTATCCTCTTTGGATGAATTTGGGGCCCTGGTGTCACAGACTGTGTGTTTTAATAAAATTGTGGGCAGTTAAGCTGTCTGAAGTCACTGTGGCTGAATGTGAACTGAGCTGAGAGCCTTGAGCATTGCTGTGTTGCTGTGAGGTGTAGATACACAGCCATGACCTCTGTGTGTGTGTGCATGTGTCATGTGTGTGCGCTGTCTGTATTTTATTAAGGAAACTGAAAGTAAACATTCTTACTCCCAGTAACATCATTGTGTTAGCAGTTGTCCTCCTAGATGGTTGAATTACAACTTGGGTCCTCTGGAAGGTAGACACTCAGGTGGAATCAGGTGCAAGAGATTTATTAAAGGAAATGTCTGAAAAATTAAGGAGTGAGGGAGTGGGGGAGGCAGGGAGAGCTTGTTCTGCTCTGCAGTTGTGACAGGAGAGGACATAAGAGCTTCAGTCTGCAGCAGCCTGAGAAAGGCTCAGTCAGGGACAGGGAAACCCAGGGCTTGAAAAATAAAGGGCTCCTGTGTCAGCACTGGGGCTCTGCTGTGCTCAGGTCCTGCTGGGACCAGCCTGTGAGAGCTGGTGTGAAGGCTGTGGGCTTCCTGCTGTCCCCAGAGAATGCTGAGCAGTGCCCATCTGTGGCCGCACAGGCTCCGTTTGTCTTTGTGTATGTTCTGAGTTTGTATCACAAAGCAGAGGCCAACTCTTCCTTCTGCCCAGGTACCAAGGAAATGCTGATACCCCCCTCGCCCTGGTGGTTCACATGGCCCCAGAGTGTGTGCTAGCGGATAGCAGATACCAGCAGTGGATGGAGAGGTATGAGCCCCACCCAGCAGCATGCACTGGGAGAGGGGAAGCTCTTCTGTGCAGGACACATTCCGTCTATCCCCTGTCATTCTTAAGCTGCCTACCCAGCTGCCCACATTTTCTCTGGTATTCCTGCCCCTGAATCCTGGGAGCTCCATCTGCACTTGCTATGGAGAAGCACCACCACTAGGTGGCACAGTGTGTTCACGTCCGGCTTGGGTGGGGTCTGTTTCATATGCTTGACACCCTCCACACTGTCCGAACTTGCCTTCGTACGGGTAATTCCACAAGATCTCCTAATTCCACAAGATCTCCCACTCTCTTGGTAGTATGTAGAATATATTTCATTTTCTTTAATCTTCCTAACAATCCTGTGAGGCAGATGATCTTCCAAAATTTAGTAACCAGAGAAAAGGTCACTCAAATTTTTCCCTCATGGCTTCACTGGAGTTACTGAGTGAAGCTCAGAGTGCATAGCAGTCTTGGGTGGCATTTCAGCCTCCCCTTCTGTTTCTCAACTCTTTCCTCAGTAGCTCTGTGTCTCTTGCTTGTCTGCAATTTTCATCTTCTATTGCTTTATGGTTTGAGTCTTAGCATACATTAGGTTATTTCTTTTCCTTCTACTGGGCCCTTTCCTTCCACCCTGTGAAGACTTCTATTTTGTTACCAAACCTGAAGCTATGAGCTCCAAACTTCTTAACTTGTCTTGTTCAACTGGTGGTCTTTCCAACACACCCAAAGGCATTTGAGTTTGGAGAGAACACTGGGGTCTAAGACAGGAGTAGGATAATGCTGGGCCATTTAGCAGTAGTCTTTTTGAACGAGTCGCTTGTTCCCTTGGAACACTTCTTTCACACAGAGCTCCTAATCTAGCTACCACTTAGATGGAATGTTCCCTAGAGGATTCTGAATGTGTAGTCTGTTTTCTTAGGTTTGGGCCTGACACGCAGCACCTGATCCTGAATGAGAATTGTGCATCAGTTCACAACCTCCGCAGCCACAAGATTCAAACACAGCTCAACCTCATCCACCCGGACATCTTCCCCGCACTCGCCAATTTCCACTCTAAGGTAGAGTCACAGCACGGTGCTTGTTGGCCCAGCCTCCACGCCTTGCTTTCTCGCCATCGAGTGTGTTTTTTGTCTCCTTCAGGAAGCAGGTGCCGCCTTTAGTGTGCCCACAGTTCGGGGTGAATGCCTCCTCAAGTATCAGCTCCGTCCCCGGAGGGAATGGCAGAGGTGTGTGTGGGTCTGGGCTTATGGGATAGCTGGGGGTAGGGGGTGGCAAAGCTCTTTGTGGGAAGGACCAAGTAGTCATTATTCATACTTTCAGGCTGTAGGGTCTATGTTGCTGCCACTGCACAGCACAGGAGAACTAGACGAGTCAGTAATTGGCATGGCTGTGCGCCAGTTCATTCCCTGAAATAGGCTGAGCCTAGGCTGGGTTGAGGTGGGAAGATTGGAACCAACAATTATGCTTTCATAAAATTGTTTTCTCTGATAACAACAGTGATAATGTGTTCATTGTTCTGTAACATTGAAAGTAAGGGTGATAAAGAAAATCAATCCCCCATAATCCTACTGGCTCAAGATACTGAGTGTTAACATTTGTTGTGTTTTGTTGTTGTTTTTTTTTTTAACTTTGAGAACAGGGGACTATATTTAAAAAAAAAAAAAAAAAAAAAAATGTGGTTTTATGACCTGGCATGCTGTCAGTCCTTTCATTACAGACCCTTCAGTAATGAGATTTTTCTTGGTGTTCTAGATAGGGACGTTGGTTCATTTGAGATTCTGCCAACTTCTTGCTATTTTAATGAAATAATGACATCTGTAAACTTGTGATTGGAATTCTGTCCCGTTAGAGTAATTCTTAAGATGTGGGGATACTGAGACAACTATAAAGACTGTTGGTCAACATAAATTACCATCCAGAAAGGCCATGCCAGTCATTTTACACCCCAGCCAGTAACGAGACTTAGCCATGTTCTCGATTATTACTGGGTGCTCTGTGCTGTGCTATTGAATAGTTGGGCCCTCACAGTTGGTGCCTGACTGGGGCCTACCGACGGTGTCTTGTGGTTAAAGAGCAGGTTGTCTCCTTGTCAATGTCTGCACAGGTAGTCCATGAAGCTGTGATTGACAAACCTGATATTTTTACTCACCATGTACGTGGGAAAGATTTAGCTCTTGGGTCCTGCCCCAGGGACCTGCTGAATTTGAACCTTTAGAGTTAAGCCTGGAACTCACTTCCTAAGCACCCGGGTGCTCCATTAGGCTCAAGAGCCACCCATCCACAGCTGGCTGCTCAGTGTGTGCAGGACACTCAGTATGCGCCAGAGCAGCAGTGTCACATTGTGGGGGAGCTTGCTAATAGGCAGGGTATCTGGCTGTACCCCAGAGCCAGTGTCTGCATCTTGAAAGCCACTACCTTGGCTCTGGGCAGTTTTGCCCTCCCTCCCATGACTCCCAGGGGAATTGCTGGATGGTCACAGATCTAGAGGACAGGGAGGCTGCACAGACCTGGCCCCACCCCAAATGTCAGCAGTGCCAGTTGCCGGACTTTGAGCTGAGATGTTCTGAAGTCCTAGGGCTCTTCAGAACTTCATGAAACCCCCAATTAGCTGAGAAAGGTTCTATAAGGTAGGAGAATAGAACTGCCCGAGGTCTTAGTTGCTTATCTTTCCTTTTGATTTGAAAGAGCTTACCGCAAGTGGTCTCCATGCACTGAGTCTAGATATTCAAACCAGTGAGGCCACACACCCACTTTGGTCACCTGGGATGCTTTTCTGTCTGCAGGGATGCCATTGTTACTTGTAATCCTGATGAATTTGTGGCTGAGGCCCTGGAGCTCCCAAATTTCCAGGAAAGCGTACAGGAATGTCGGAAGGCTACCCAGGATGGTCCTGTCCTGGCAGGTGAGTAGAAGAACAACGACCACCACTCTGCTGGGCCTCTGCCCTCCTGCAGGTGTTTGCACAAAATGGTGTCACAGGGTGACAAAGTCTAGCTGGACTCACAGTGCTCCCCTATTTACAAACACCGGTGCCTGCCCTCTCTGACCAGTTAAGTGGGAATGTTTGGTAATAAAGCCCCAGCATCTTGCAGGGCACACACTGAGTGCAGCAGTTCTGGGAATTCCTGGAGACACTATGGAAAGAACTTTGAGCAGGAGCTTGGCCAACTTGGGACCTTGTCCTGGTTTTGCTATAAGTGTCCCTGGAAGATTTGGCCACATCACTCACCTTGTTAGGCCAGGAAAGTAGTTTGGGGAACTTCACAACCGCTGTTCCAGAACTTGGTTTTTCCAGTGGATGTTCAACTAATGATGGAGATAAGAGTGTGTTGAGACAGAAGGCAGGTTTAGGCGCTTATTCATAACCCAACTCTCCCAAACTTGAGGCTTTCTGTGGAAGTCTGGCTCAGGCCTCTGTGAATCTGTTGCCGCCTCCTGTCAGTCTTCCCATCTGTGTTTAGGAAGACTAACTTCCTGCCCTTACTTCCCTCTGGGTTTGTGTCTGGATTTCTGGTTTGTTTGTTGAAGGTCCATTGACTTGCTCGTGAACACTCACATGGGGCCCACCGTGTTGTCCTGTGAAGGGGCTCATGCTTCAGAATTATCCAGTATACTTGGGTTTGAATCTGAGCTCTGCCTCTCACTCTCTGGAGAGCAGATCTTCTGAGCCTCTTTCCTCACTGCAAATTGGGGCATTTCCTTACCCCACAGGGCCATTATGAGCACACATGGGAAGAGCCCATCTGTAAGAGCTGGATACCGGTTGGGTGCCAGCCCCTGTAGTAAATGAGGGCTCAAGGCACAAAGAAGTCCCCTTTCTTGTTTAAAAGACTTAGAACAATTCTGGAGAAAGGACTATAGCGATCACTTGTTCTCCCTCCCTACTGGCCCTTTAGTCATAGACTGGCCTCTCCCTAAAAAGGAGGCCATTAATATAAAGGTGCCTGCCTCATTGCTACATCAGTCCCTCTAGGAAGCTGAATCTACTCATCTCACAGCTGAATGCTGGCTCACTTTTGCCCTAAACAAGTGGAATCTTTCATATGTTTATTTGCATAGAGAAAAGAAGCCAGTATCCAGAAATCATCTTCCTGGGAACAGGGTCTGCCATCCCAATGAAGATCCGAAACGTCAGCTCCACACTTGTCAACATAAGGTATTACTCTTCCCCTGAAAACTTGCATCAAGGATCATGTTAATTTTTTAAACAAAAATCCTGCTCTGTGCACCAGGCTGATTTCAAATGCAGTAATGCAAAATCTTTTCGTTGTGGCTAGAGGGCCCCGGAGGTGGGCATTACTGCATTTTATAGACTCCTCAGCAGCTAACTTAGACTTCTGGGAATCACCACAAACACACTGTCCCCTGTTCTGTCTTTTGGTAAAAACGGCTGCTTCTACTGCAGGCCGTACACCTTGCAAAGAAATGATCTCAGCACTGACATTAATCTCGGGAGGCAGTGACTACCCATTTTATTGGTCAGTAAAGTGGTGCTCAGAGAGGTTTCTACTCTCTAGTTCCTCAGCTGGAAAGTGGCAGGTCACAGTGTGAATTGGTGTCTTAACTGCTACATGGGGTTATCCCTGTAGCCAGTTTCTGCTGATAAGGGAGACAGCTTCTGAGTTTTGTGCATTTATTTTATGTTCAGCCCCTTAACTGCATGTTGTTTCAATTGATTCTCTTGAATTGGCCTGCAGCTGTTTGTTTGCAGAGATTTGCAGGCATTGTGAAATGTTCGTGGTATTTCTGCCGGTGTGCACGTGAAGGCAGGCAGGTTGGGAAGTACCAGCTTTGTTTTTTAGTTTTGATTTGTCCTCTTAGATACTAGCTGTGAAATAACACATAAGATGCCCTGATGTGGTAAATATAGTCAGGTGTCAATTAATAACAGGGACATGGTCTGAGAAATGCATTGCCAGGCAGTTGATTTTGTTGTGTGACTGCAGCTACTACACCTCTAGGCTCTGTGTAGGGATCACCTGCACATGTGTGTAGGGTGTGTCATTCATTGCAGCTTCGTTAAGTGGTGCATGATTGTTACACAAATGAGGGGTGTGTTTGTCTTGGAACTGGAGAGCTGTAATACAGCAGCCTGGCAGGGCCCGGCCTTTAGTAGAGGTGGGATGTTCAGTGAAGAGGGTTTCATGCAGAACCTTAAGAGCGGGCCCTTAAGCCCACTGTAGTTCAGTGGAATGCACTGGCACTGTCTTGCCTTCCTTTGCTTTGCCCCCCAAATGTAGTGTGTCTCGTACCTTGATGCTCCCGTCTGAAGACGGAGCAGCTCTCTCAGTCTCACAGCTCCTCCCAGAGGACAAGGCCTGAAGGAGACATGATTCTCCCCTTAGAGTAGAGGTGGGGATGGGTTGCCCATCAAAACAGCCTGTGGTATTTGTGGAGCTGAAACTCCTGTGGAGCTGAAACTCCTACGGGAGCCTAGCCAAGCCAGAAGCTCTGATGGCAGCAAAGTCACACTCCCCTGGAGGAGCATCCATGTGGCCAGCTTTAAGGATGTGGCTGAGGAACGAGACCTGCTTGAAAAGGGAACAGATCAGATGTCATATGTACATAGTGCCTGTCTCTGGTGTTACTGACTGGAGTTGCACAGACTGGGGTCAAGCTAAATAACAAGAGTGTCACCAAGGGGACGATGTGCTTTTGCCCTCCCACATAAACTTTTTTTTGGATACATGGCATTTGCATAGCTCTGTGTTACTTTCTAATACTTAACAGATTTCAGGTTCCATGGTTAATTCTTTTATGGGATGACGATGGACCTCTAAAACTGCCTTTGTATTTATATAATCTCCTCAAAAAAAAAAAGAGTATGAGAATAAATGGAAGACATATTACCACAGCTGCTCCCTGCTCTTCTCTCTAAGACAACAATCTAAACCCTCGGGAGCTTTTCTTACCTTGGCCTCTGCTCTTCTCCCTAGCTCTGACAAGTCCCTGCTCTTGGACTGTGGCGAAGGCACGTTTGGGCAGCTATGCCGTCACTACGGAGATAAAGTGGACAGGGTCCTGGGCAGCCTTGCCGCCGTGTTTGTGTCCCACCTACATGCAGATCACCACACGGTCAGTGCCGGGGTGACCAGGGGGGCCTCCTGCCTAAGGGGAGCCGCACTCACTCTGTGCTGTCCCCTGCGTCCATGCTGCAGCTTCCCAAACTGGCCTCGAGCTTTTGTTTCCCACTGGGTGATGGTCTTTTCCAAAATCCAAGTTCAGTCATCCCACTCAATTTGATGGCCCAGTATTTCTGTTTTTCCACCGCCATGTCAGTAGGGTTTTGCCTTCATCCGTCTTGTCCTGAATCTTGCCTTCTCAGCTCGCCTGCTCAGAGGGAACTTCAATCAGGGATGGGAGACTTGGTCTCCTAGGGGCGACCTCTTTTCTGGTAACATAGCTGTGACATTTCAGGGTTATGGCTCAGCACACACCAGCCCCCAATTCTGACTGTGTTGGAGGGCTGGCGCTGGTAGGACTAGGAACCCCTGCAGGGGAGGACTCTAGGACCAGAACATGGGGGAGAAAGTTTGCACATGGCTAACCTTGTCTCGCTTTTCCTTCCCAGGGCTTGGTAAACATCTTGCTGCAAAGAGAACATGCTTTGGTGAGTGTGGCCTCTGATTTTACTGACTTTGAGTTTTGGTGAGCCACACATAACCATTCAAACTCCTATTCTAAACATGTTTATCAAGATGTTCTCTCCTTGATTTGGCTCTCTGATTGCGCTATTTCAGGCATCTCTGGGCAAACCATTTCACCCTTTGTTAGTGGTTGCCCCAACCCAGCTCAAGGCCTGGCTACAGCAGTACCACAACCAGTGCCAGCAGATTCTGCAGCATGTCAGGTGAGTCCCGAGCAGCCTGGCGGCTGAGGCCACTGTTTTCTACTTCCTTCGTGAGCCAGAAGCTTCTCCTGGGGAGGGTTAGCAGTTGCCCCCAGCAACCTTGCCCTAGACTTGGTACCAGATAGCAGAAGCAGGAGAGAAATGCTTTGACTGAACAGAAACCATTAGGTGGTTCCCACTCAGGCCTCATTTCAGTTCTGTTCAACTTTTTAGACTTTTGCCACCACTCTTCCATGAAACAGTTCAGGGCCAAGTGCCCAAGTAGTGACTGCACGGTCGTGCCCACACCAGGTGGAAGAAGGACCCATGTCCACTCCAGGGGAGCAGGTCCACCTGCCCGGCATCCATCCATTGCCAGAACTATGGGCAATGCTTACTTGTTAGGTTCTTGCAGGGGCCAGGTGGGGTTAGGTTTTTTGTTTTTTTTTTTTTAATTGACTACTCTTTCCCCATTTCAGTGAGTGATTTAAACTGTTCTTTATAATGATTTTGAGGGACTCCAGCCAAAGACTTATTCAAGTTAAAATGTTTAATGTTTACTTATTTTTTTAATTTTTGCTTAAAATTTTTTCTTCTACTGTTTCATCTTCTCACAGTATGATACCTGCTAAATGCCTTCAGAAAGGAGCAGAGGTCTCTAACCCTGCAATTGAAAGGTTGATTAATTTGCTGATGGAAGCCTGTGATTTGGAAGAGGTAATGGGGTGGGTGTCCACGGGAGTGGGAGGGTCCGGTGGAAGCACAGCTGCAGAGCAATTTGCGCCCCTTCAGTTTCAGACCTGCCTGGTCCGGCATTGCAAGCATGCCTTTGGCTGTGCACTGGTCCACACATCCGGCTGGAAAGTGGTCTATTCCGGAGACACCATGCCCTGTGAGGCTCTGGTCCAGATGGGTGAGTAGAGGAGGCAGTGAGAGTGCTTTGGGTTTTGTGGAACTGGCGGTAACCTTGCAGAGGCAGCAAACTCTGGTCCCACCTGACAGCCTCTGGTTGTCCTCCTAATATGCAGACAAGCCACTTGGCCAGGGCTGAGAGTGATTGGGCCAGAAAACAGCTGTGGACCCAGGGCCGAGTGCTTCTCAGGCAGAGGACTCTGCTCCCAGGCCTGTGTTTACTCCCTAGGGAAAGATGCCACCCTTCTGATACATGAGGCCACACTGGAAGACGGCCTGGAAGAGGAAGCCGTGGAAAAGACACACAGGTAGCAGAGACAGCTGAGCCCTTGTCACCGACCTGGCCTCCCTCCCCCAGGAGGGAGCCTCACATTGGCCTGCGCAGCCTCACATTGGCCCCATTGGGGAAGACTCCCTTCAGGGTCACGAGGCCAGCCTGCTTCCTTCCAAAGAGCCATAGGGTCTTTTGAACTGGGGTGCTTCTCTTCAGTACTTCCCACTGTTATTTCTACAAAGTTCCCTCGGCAAGATTCTGGGGGAGGCAGTTTTTGAGTGAAAGGAAAATATGCTGGGAAAAAAAAAAAACATAAGCCACATCTGGAAATTTCCAGGGGAAGTTGAGGAATGGGGGGACTGGATCCTGGCCACTTATTGTCATGAATGAATGTCTTACCCCAAGTAAGAAGGCCCTGCTTTTTCTCAGGTGCCCTCACTGACAGGTTTGACAGGCAGTACCGAGCCTGGGCTTCATTTGGGGGAGCACATGGAGATGTGGCTCTTGGAATGGTTTGTCAGCTAAAGATATACCAACTGAGGAGCCTGCCTGCTGGGAGGTTCCTGGGAGCCGGAGAAGACTGTGAGCTGGGCCTGTGCTGGTGCTAAGTCCTGCCCTGCTGTCCAGCTTCAGTCTTACTTCCTTTCTTTCTTTGCAGCACTACCTCCCAAGCGATTGGCGTGGGGATGCGGATGAATGCGGAGTTCATCATGCTGAACCATTTCAGTCAGCGCTATGCCAAGATCCCCCTCTTCAGCCCTGACTTCAACGACAAAGTTGGAATTGCCTTTGACCATATGAAGGTCTGTATCTCACAAGGACTGTGTGGGGTGGCCTGGGGGAGAGAGAACCCTCCACCCACATACTTGAGGCTGGCCCATGGGAGGACCCTGTAGGCAGACATAGGGTCCCATCGCTGGAAGTCACTGAGAGCCTTTTGGGGGGCCTGAACTTTGAGCCTCACTCACGGGAGATAAGGGTGTTCTCTCCTCTCCTTGCTCTCAGCTTCTCAGAATGAAGGGTGGGGGATGAGGTTTTGTTTGAGGACCTTGGTTTTCAAAGTCCTGACAGCCTTTCCTGAGGTCCATTCCATTTGCCACCCTCAGCCCAGAGTGAGGAGTCTGCACCCCTTTCTGTAGAGGGCCTCCTCCCCATCTCTGTGTGGCAGTTTCTTTCTTCTCCCAGTTGAGGGTTGGTGAGGAAGGGGAGTGGTGCAAGCAGACGACTCCTTCCACTCCAGCCCTCTCTGAGGTATGTCCTTGCCCTTCCTCTTGCATCCAGGTCTGCTTTAGAGACTTCCCGACAGTGCCCAAGCTGACTGCCCCCCTGAAAGCCCTGTTTGCCGGTGACATCGAGGAGATGGAGGAGCGCAGGGAGAAGCGGGAACTGCGGCTGGTGCGGGAGGCCCTCCTTTCCAGAGAGCGGGCTGGTGACCATGAGGACAGCGAGCCCCAGCAAAAACGGGCCCACGTGGAGGAGCCTCTTAGTCCACAGAGCAAGAAGGTCAGGGCAAAGTGAAGATCCTGAGGCTCTGAGCTCTGCAGGCTCACATCTCCTGCCCCACACACAGGCAGCGCGGGTACTTCAACAGGAAGGAACTTTGGAGTAGGTGAGTTGAAGCAGGGCCTTGACTTGGCTCCTGGGTACTAGCCTGCTAGATCCTCCTATGACTGGTGTTTGGCAAAGCCAGGAACAAGAGGCTGCCCAGTGGAAGCAAGCAGGGAAGTAAGGCATAAGGAAAAACTGGCACCACCCCCCACACTTACTCCAGCCAACTGATTCCCTCTGCAAGCCAGCAACAAGCCAAGTCCAGGAACCTTGGGTGGTGTACATGAACTCTTAAGTATCCAAGATTAAAGGAATAGTAATTCCAAAGAAACAGAATGCAATAAAGATTCCATTTGGAACCTGCGTGCTTTGCTTCATCCTGGTGCCACCTCCAAGCAGAAGTTTCCACGGGCAGTGTCGCTGCTGCCAGGTACCTGATGTGCCCAGAAGCCAGCTCTGATGGAGACAAGGACCCTTGGTGCCTGTCCTAGGCAGCCAGTACTGCTCAGCAGTCTAGTTTCTTGACAGAAGTCAAGTTTTACTGGCGCAAAGCAGTGGTATGGCCTTTACACACTCAAGAGCCCGGGACCTGTGCAGTGGCTCAGGAAAACAAGTCTTCCTGTTGTTCCAGGTGAAAATGGAGACAGTAGGTCTGCTCTTCCTTGCCCATAATGAGAACCAGAGTCACTAACTACCCTTGAAGTATTGAGAAATATCACATCAGCTGGTCCCCTCCCCCTTCTTTTGGGATTTAACAACACAGGTTAGTGCTTAGAAATCGAGAAAATTCATTTTCAATGAATCTGGCATTTATGTATTCTCCCCACTCAGGAGAATATAGAGAAAGAACTAAAACTCAGGTGATGAGAGAGACCCAGATTAAGGACTTGGCCTTGCCCAAACCTGCCTCAGGTTCCTCCTGAGGCAGCTAGAGATTGATTCCCTTGTCCCGCAATTTCATTATTAAAACAAGATATGCCACGCCACGCTCAGGGATAATAAATCTATTTTAATAACGTTACTTTTGACAACTATTTGTACATGTATTTAAAGGTAACTTTCCATCCCCGGGCTCCGTTACAAATTGGGTACTGAACCACCCTTTACCAGGAAATGAGCAAAGCTGTTAACATCAAAAATCTGCAAATCCTGCTGTCAGTTAAGGGTTATTTTACACTGTGTTGGGAAAAATAACTGAGCATTTAAGTTTCTCATTGTACATCTGTACATTGGTTTAGATTGAATGGCTCAAATTAAACAAATATAGAGAGATTTCATATATACAAATATTATAGCAATGTTTAGGTATATCATATCTATTTTAAAAGGATAAAACTGTGAAGTTTGACTGTGCATGCATGATCTGAATCTGTTTCTCGCTCCCTTAATCCTCAAGTGTGACCCAGCCCCCCAGTGCCTTCCTGGCCCTCCTCCTCAAGAGTGGGTGGGACTCCATGAGACAGGGTGAGTACCTGTGCAGGAAGCCAAGCTGGTGGCACTGCAGGGCCCTTCGCGCAGCCTGCAGGCTCTGCTGGCTGGTTCCACGGTCCTCGGCATGCTTTGGGTAACAGAATTATTGCTATTCACTTGTGACCTCCAGAAAGAAGAGGCAGGCTCCTGGACCCCAAGTCCCCATTGAGCAGGGTGGCCTTGGGAATGTGAAGGAATAGAATTATATCTGATAGCTCATGTTTTGGGATGTGGGGAGCTACCTTTGGTTCCTCCAGACACCCTCAAAATCATATTTATTTTTTTTTAAATCAGACATAAGAAACAATTTCTGTTCCAGGCCATTTACTTTAGATGCCACCAATTAATGGCAGCCCTATAGGCTTTCATAGTGGCTGGCCCTCCCCTCCAGCAGGCAAAAGTCTGTGCCCCAAGATGCCTAGAATTCCAGGGTTCATCCTGAAGGAAGTGTAAGGGTCCCCTTACACTTCTACAGCTGACATAGCCAGGCTTGATGTTAGCTCTCAGGGTGCAAGAGGCAGCCCCCAGGTCTAATAGACAACTCCCCCACACCCCCACCCTGCAAAGGACATTGCCCACAGGCACTCTCTTGGGTCAAGAGAGGGGTGTTGCTTGGCATGGAAGTTGAAAGTGGATTAAAATAGGCACAAAGTCAAAAGGCAAAGATCAAAAAAAAAGGCCAAAGTCACCACCTGAAGGGAACAAACACAATCTGTACCACCGACATTTGCCACACGGGCTGGAGAGGGCAGTTTTCTGCAAAACTCCAACCTCGAGTTGGCAGTGACAGCAAGGAGCCAACGGAGAACACTTGGCAAGCCCAGGGAGCTCTGGCGGTATGTGTCTGTCTGGGGCTCATGTATGTACACGCGTGTCGGGGGCAGGGCGCCATGTCAGAGGGCGGTGCTCTCAGACTCTTCCTCTGAGTCCCTCTTCTCAGTCACCGAGTGTCGCCGCACGTGCTCCAGGGGACTCAGGCGGAGCGTCGACCCGAGCTCTACGTGGATGGAGGGGATATCAAACTGGACAAGATCTGCAAGTTGGGAGAGAGTGAGGTGGCTGAGAAGGGGCGTCCGGCTAAGGGGACACTGGTGGCAAGCAATACAGCCAGCATTGGGAAGCGGCGGTGGACCAGCCACTGAGGGCCAGCTCATTTAGGGGCCAGCTTAAGCATTCTCTTGCAGGACTGGCCAGTTTGCTGCTACATTACAAGCCTATAGGACAGTTTCGAGGATCTTGCTGGACAGTTTAGAGGAACGCTACACCGCCTCCCCAGGAAATGTCAAGTTATACTGATACCCTCGCCTCAATAACAGTAGAAGGGATGTTCTCTGGGTGGGTCTCTATCCTTTGGGGATTCCAGGTCTGCATTTAGTTCCCTATAATCCTGCAGGTTCAGGGTATGAGATATGGGGAAACACCCCATTTCCTGTGAATGAATAGGGAGTCCTGGCATGGTGCTCTCTATGACCTGAAAATACATTCTGGGTGGTTGATGGCGGTGGGGTGGAGGGGCTTCTTCAGGACCCTGAATGTTGGGGCAAGCTGCTTCCCAACTTTGGAAAACCCAGCATAAGGGAAGCTACTCAAGTTCGGTTCTTACTGGGAGCTTGAAAGGTCATTATTTCTGGGCGCTGATCAGAAAGAACAGACTTGCAGTAACAGGGTTCAACCTCTGTGGGATGTGAGCAACTGCGAGTGGGCACAGACAATGCGTGTCCTCAGAGCCAGCAGCCCCGTGAGGAAAGTGGTATGTGCTGGAGTTACTGCTCCCAGGAGGGGTCTGGTGAGCTCATTGATTCCCAGGAGCTAACTGGGCCAGGAGGGAGCCAAGAACCACAGGCCCTGGATTTCTACTCTGGAGTTATCTCTTCCTTAGTCTCCTCAGCCTGCTGACAAGCTGGGCCCACAGCAGCACTCAGGTTGACAGAGGAAATGTACCTGCAAGAGGGATAGCCCTGGGCTAGACTGGCAGGGTGGGGGGGCTTCATTTTTGAGGGAGTTTTCAAAAACATTCAGCTCAAGGAAAACCATAACAGGTGGACAGACATACATGATACAAACATGGAAGCTCTGGGACATAGGACCTTCTCTCTCGTCCCCCTCCCCTCCAACAGGCCTCATCCCAGCCTGTCCTTATGCTGCCTGACAAGCAGAGACTGGGGGGTCTGAGGCTCAGCCTGGCCAGTGCCACTTCCTCCTCTGTCCCAGAGCCTGCCTGTGCCCTTCCTCTCCAGTACCTACGTGCCAGGCAGCCTCCTATGGAGGGAAGGCAACGCCCTAAGTGGATTCAAAATCCCAACTCTGCCCGCGACACATGTGGGAATGTGACCTGAGCTAGTTTACCTTCCCTGTGCCTCAGTAGTCAGGGGGCTGGAATGATGATTTCAAGGAGAGAGTGCAGACACCATTTCAAGACTGCAGCCCCAAACAGGCGTGAGGGGAGCGAAGCAGCTCAAAGGGAGCCAGGGAACAGGAGTTGGAGCTACCCCACTGGCATGGGGACCCTTGCTTTGGAAGCAGCTCAAAATGACTACAGGATTAGCTTTCAGGGGTACTAGGGATTGAAATGGGGTAGGGGGTTTTACTCCAGCTGCTATTCTACTGAGACTGAAACATCTAATTCCTTCTGGCCTCTTTCATGTTCTTTAGACATGAACCTGGTATAGACAGAACCTGGTATAAATGCTCCCCAAGTGTTACTGAGTTGAACAGGAAGGATCTGGCTGGGGAAAAGCAAGCTCACAATGAATACTAATACTATGGATTCTTAAGGATTTGCCATTTGTTTCATGCTAGGCTTTGCATCTGAGAGTGGAGTGCTGGGGCACGTGATACAGAGAACAGTCCAGGCCATGTGGGGGGGTAGTGCCCACTGTGACAGGTGGCCCTAAGGACACGCCCCGAATAAGGTGTGTAGGGTGAACACTCTAGCAGGCAATCCACTGATTCAGATTTGTGGTGTGAATACAGGTCTATCTCCCCTCAATTCTGAGTCAAAAGGAAAGGGAATGAAGGCAGGCTGAGAGCAGGTGATTCTGTTGAAAGGGAAGGTGGGGAAAAGAGCTCAGCCTGTCTGCTCATCCCTCCTCCCCTCAGATCCTAACTGAAAGAAAGACATAAAAAAGGCCAGTGAGCCCAAGATGTCAGAGGACCTCATGGATCTGGTCATTTCCTGAGGCCAGAGACGAGAGCAGCTGCCATGCGGTTGGCCTGGGCCACATGCAGAGAGCAGAGCAGAGAGCTGCCACCTGCCTAGCCGGGGCGAGGGGTAGGAGGCAAGGCCGGGGCGCTTACCCTGAAAATCCCCCTCACACGTATCCAACACTGCGTCACTCATGTCACACAGCTGCAAGAACACAATGATAGGATTCGGAGAAAGGAATAGACACGATGAAACAAGTACGTAACAAAACCGCCAAGTTTCACAGGCCGATGGGCCACACTGGGTCACTGCAGATTACACTGGCCCAGAGACCTGTACGCACGGGACAGGACCGCAGCCTGCTGCCAAGACGGTACACAAAACAAGTATGCGGGGCTGGGCCTTAGCTAAAGTCATGGGATCCTGAGCTGGCGCAAAGGAAAGTGGATCACTGCCTTCCTCCGACACTTGTGGGGGCACCATCGCCAGTGCTTCTGTTGCCCATATATGCCCCAAATTTCTCCTCTCCTGTTTCCATCTGTTTCTCTGAGTGAAGGCCCTGCTCATTCACTGCTTCCAGCCTCAACGTGGCCTGCGTCCCTGTCTGGGGCAGGCTGATGTGTGGGGAGGAGAAATTGAAGGGTGACCATGACTGTGAGCCTGAGGGCAGCAGGCCTATACCCCCACAACCCACAGGGCCCAGCCTGCACCACCCAGACCTACCCGTGGCCTGTGGGAAGTGGTGCTCACTCCTTCAAGGTGGAGCTTTCTGAGGGTTTTTTTTTTTTTTTTAAATAAGCCTCAGGCTAGATGAGCATGTACAGCTCAGCAGCTGTACTTTCAACATTAATTATCCAAAAATAAATAAGCCAAATCCACGGATGGCTGCTTCGCACAATATTCCAATCTCCTGACCCCTCACAAATACTCCAATTGGACAAGACGTTTCCCAAGTAACAAGGAGCTGACCCCAACTCAACCTTCCATTTAATCAAGGGGAAAACATCACTCTCAGAGGTGGTGGGGATAAAAGCATGATTGTTGTGAGAAATCCCAGTACACCTAGGACCCAGGACTGCACTGCCCGTGTGTGTGTGTGTGTGTGTGTATGTGCGTGTGTGCCTATCTGCGGCATATATGTGTACATATCTGTGTCTTTCTAGTGTGGTGTGTAAGTTTATGCAGTATGTATGTGTGTGTGATGTGTGAGTGCATCTGTGCCTATCTGTGGTTCCCGTGAGTGTATGTGTGGGATGTGTTGTGCACGTGCTTGTCTCTGCAGTGTTCTGGCTGTGTGTCTGTGTGAGTCTATGTGACGTGTGTATGTGTGTGTGTGTGTTCCACCTTGGGTTGCCTCCCCCTCTGCTACTTGGCTCAGCACCAAACAGACGAGCGCAAGCTCCCCGCCCCCCGTCTGGGGCAATGGTGGGCTGGCTCTGTTCTGAGACGCTGCTTTGCCGCCTGCACAGGGAAATGGCCTCCACAAATATACCCTGACTTTCTAATCTCATGCAGTCAAAGTGTCTGGAGAGATGGTTCAAAAATGTCCTCTTTCCAAACCAACAAATAGTTTTCGCTAAATGTGGTGTGTGTTTATGATTTCATGCTTACACATTTTTTATTTCTAGAGGAAAATAGCTCCATCTTTGATTTTACATTTAAAGCAAAACTAAATTTAGTAGTTGTGGGCTTGTCCAATTAACTCCTCCAAGAGCCAGGGGGGTGCTCATGTTTTCTAAAACTGACCCCTCTCTAAATATCTCTTCCTAGAGTTATAGTTCTCTAATAAGGCTGACTTCATTTATAGGAAAATGTGTCTTTGGTTCTTGGCCTCTGTTTCCAGGACCAGGACTTGTACCTACTGAGATGCCTGGGCTCCAGTGAGGAAAGCCTGGAATACCTCACCTGTGCTTTGATGGCGGCGGTTCTGCAGTCACAATCTGGCTCCCAGTCTCTCCTAAAGCACCCTCCAAAGGACACAGGGTGCTCAACCCGGGAATTAAGGACAGAACCCAAACCCTGGGCTGGGAGAAAGCCCCTAAGAAGTCCCTCCTCAAGACAGCGTGGCTCCAGGGCTGCCTCATGGGGAGGGAGGCATGTCTCCAAGGAGACCGCGTTGGAAGCCACACACGATGCCCACACAGTGCCCCCTGACCAGCAGGGGCTTGCTAACTGCAGCAAACTAACAATCCCTCCCTGCGGCACATCCTGCTAAGGCTCATGGAAAGATGAGAGGGAGTGTGGGGTGGTTACCTGTAGACATGCTTTCCCCCGGGGACATGCCGTCTAGCACGGGGTGCTCCGTGGACTGTGGACTAGAGGCTGGGAGGTTTACTGTGGGAGGCTGAGGTGGTGGCAGACTGGGTCTCTGCCGGGGCTTAGGGGTGGGCCTCGATTTGGTTAAAGTGCTTGTGAAGACGGAAGGAGAGGCCAGGGGAGGAGCTGCAGCCGGGGAGAGCGGGCCTGAGGCCAAGGAGTACCCCTGAGGGTAACTAAGTCCGTAGGGTGAAGGGGTGCTAGGTGGGGTGGGGGACAAGCTGAGTGGGGATGGCTGGCCGGCGGACTGGTCAGCCATAGTCCCCGGCTGGCCAAAGGGGACCTTGGGTGGAATTGGTGCCAACTTCTTAGAAACTGAAAGAGAAAACACAACAACAAAACACAGTTGTTCAGCGTAGTCTGTCCGTGAGGCCTGTCAGCACATACCTCACACCTCCTACCCCTGGTGCCCACCCCCGGCTCTTACCACACTGAGAACAGCCAATACAGTCTTCAAAAATTACCCCAGAACTGCAGGTTTCCATATCTGACCATCTGTTAACTAATTTCTCCTCCTCGTCTCTGAATGCCTGCCATGATCTATACACACACACACACACACACACACACACACACACACACCCAAGCCAAACTGGAGAACAAATTTCCCATCCACAGGCTGATGTCCCAGTGGCCTCTAGTCACTGCAGAGTGGGGAGAGGTATCAGGGTAGAAAACTGTTGGCTGAACCTGCCCAAGGGCTCTTGGCTCTAGTGACCATGACAAATACCAAGTCCTTCGGCCACAGAAGCCCAGTGCCTCCATCACTCTGTCCTTCCCCTCAATCCTGAGCACCTGCCTCAGTGTGTCTTCTTTCAAGAATTATACTTCCAGGTGTAGATACACGCAGACCCATTGCAGTTTTCTAAACACATCATTGCCCCAACCCCCTGACATTGCCTTCATTTTCCTCTTTTTATTTACTTAGTCATACCACAGAATGACAAATACATTATAATTTTAAATGAAAATGAATTGGTAAGGATGGCAAATTCAAACACTCAGAAGAGCCCATCAATAGTAAACATCTTAAAATAATAACTAATCTATCAGAATTAAGGATGGGATGGCTTTGGATAGCACTAAATATAAAAGAAATTGTCTTTTAAGACTCCCAGGTGCCCCAGGGACCCATCTCTCCCCTACCCTCACCATTCTCCATGGAACACAACCACTCCAGAGACCTGCCTGCGCTGCCCTGGCTCCAGCAGTGCCCATGTGGTGGTTGCACTCGATAATCCCACCAACTTGGCTGCAGATTCCCATTTCACCTGACCCACTATGTGCCCTGAACGATCTGTTTAAACCTCTCCTATGCAAAGGGAGGAAGATTTTCTTCACAGCACTGTAATCATTCAGCAGGATCAAGTATGGAATGTCCATAGAATCATGACATATAATAAAGCCCCTTCTTGGCTCAGCTTCCTGAGCCCGGGGTAGCTTTCCCAGCAGCTGCCACTGAAGCACAGAGCAGCCAGGGGCCACCACAGGAGTGACCGCACTGGACGAGAAACTAGCAGTGAGCTCACGAACGTGTTAGCATTTGACCATGCCTTCTAAATGAGCTGGAAGGGGGCAGCAGTGCCATTACCAGGATGTTGGTGATGACATTTACTAGGGAGTGATGTAAAACTGTAGGCACACTGTCAAAACCTGAGGTGGTTAAGTACATAAATCAATCAAAAAGCTAAGTAGTAGTGGAAGGTAGAGAAGACAGTTCTACTTTTCAAATGGTGGCTCTGAAATACTGAGTGCCACTTGTAAAAGGGACCTGAGCCATTTTAGGCTGCATTCCTTGCACAGGCCCAGTGTGCTGTGAGAACCAAAAAGGTCAACCTGCCCCTGGCAGCAGGAGGTTGACTAGCCTCACCCCAAAGGAGAAAACAATGGCTTCATCATTACCCTACCTTACAGGGCTGGGAAGGGGGTAATGAGCTTGTAAACAAGATGCTAAAGAACCAATATCTGTACTCAAAGAAGACCTGTTGGTGCCAGAGAAAAACGCTGAATGTCAAAATCCCATTGCCAACTGCCCACACATCCCCACAGTGCCCCAAGGCTCACAGTACAGGGCACCACCTTATACTGCAGGTCCACGTCTACCTTTCTGGTGAGGCTATGCCTGCCACTCTGATATACCCTCCGTGCCCAGCACAGAGCTCTGCACATAGTAGGTGCTCTTAAATGTTTGCAGAATGGATAGGGAACTAACCAGATGGTATGGGGTGGGTGAGGGCAGAGTTGATAGTGGGATTGCAACTTCTGTCTGGGCTGGTAAGAACCTGTCAAGAAGGCATATGTAGATAGTGAGCCAGGCCTATTCCACAGATTCCAGAGCTAAAGCCACACCTGAAAGCTAGAAAGGCTTGAACTGAGAGCCAATTAAACACTGTGCTGCTTTGAAAAAGTTAAAGACTGTTCAGAGATGATGAAAGGTGAAAAGCAAACAAACAAAAGTCAGTTCCCCACTTATGAATTACCACCGCGTCATCATGCGGTGTGTCTTTAGTTTTGGGAGTCACCTTGGAGTAAATGAACAAGCCTTTTACACTGTGTCCCAGCAGCAGGTTTTAGGGTAGATGCTCATGGTCAAGTGTAGACATTCTCAGGCCTTTCCAAACAGAAACATGCAAGGTCAGGACTTGATCCCCTCTTTCGTGTTGCCTTCTATAAGCAGCAGTGTGAGGCCCCAGTTGAGGGGGCAGGGGTGGGGGTTCCCATATTAGACTCTGTACAATGATGGTGGGGGCTGGCAGGGGCCATGGAAGACATATATCACTGCATAGCCATTTTCTGCAGAAGTCTGGGTGCACGGGAAGCAAGGCCCGGCATAGGTTCCTAATGAGTCCTCTGTCCAAATGAGTAAGCTGAGGAATAATGATAAAATGATCCCTCTAGGAGCTGTAATGCCCAGAGTAGAATTTTTCAGTAAGCCACATGGTTTCTAAAAATCCACACTAACTGAGGGAACAGACCGGTCACTTCCGACTGCCCAAGACCCATGCAGAGGGCGCCACACCATACCTTTCCGCAGGGTGTGAGGGCTCTGGTCTGCAGGTAGCTGGCTGGGGCCTGCGCCTGGTTGTGCCCCTGGCTGCGTTCCCACACAGGGTGCCCCCTGGTTGGAGCCTGGACTTCCTTTCTGTGCAGATCCTGGAGAAAGCTCCTTGCTTTTGGAAGTGCTGAAAAACAAGCACACAGGACAAGAGAGGCAACTGAGCAGCACCTGCATGACTCCCAGGCCCATGTGTTCCCCTGTGCCAGCTTGGTGTGTCCCAGCTCTGGTCTATCAGGCAAAGATGCTCCCAGAGGTGACTGTCCCTTCTCGGGCCTCTCATGGCCAAAGTCCTGAGCCCATGTCCCTGCACCTAGAGTCAATGCCAGCTCCAATTCCCTACTTCCATGCTCACTGCACACAGAGACCATGAGCAATGTGACATAGGGTCCCTGAACTCCCCACTGTGATCAACATGGGGATTCTAGGACATTCTGATGTCCACGTCTGGTCTCCATGCTCTCATCCCTTCTGTATTCATAGGACACCAGACCTAAGAGGACTTCTCAGGAGCAGAGTAGGCATAATTGGGCTCACACTGCCACACCTTCATGACTTTCCAGCTCTCCAGCTGCTTGCCCAAGGCCTCCATCACACCCCTAAGTGTGTGTGTGGTGGTGGTGGTGGGGATTCTGGGACCATTCTACAAACTCAGTAACATCTGCTAGCTGATGGTAGGTTGACATAGTTCCTGACTGTGCTCCTGAACATGGGGCAGTTCAAGCCAGTCTCCAGGCTGGAGGGGTGAGGGTTGACATTAGTGAGGGCCTCTAGGGCCCCTCAATTTGATAAGGGGACACTCTGGATCACCAGGTCCCAAAGAGGATTCACCCTTCAGTGTTGGCTCTTTATTAGGGTTCCTCCCAAGGTGACAGTTAAGACAGCTACTCAACTCTACTCCATAGACCAGGGATAGTAAAAAACTCACTGGCCACCCACCCCACAGCAGACTTCACTAACTGATCTCCATACTTCCCTCCCACAAAGGGCTCTCACTCAGTTTAACATAATGCTCCAGACAGCCTCTAGCAAATCAGGGGAGGTGATCTTGGAGTCGGGGAGCTATATGCCACCCTTTTACTTAAATAATGATGTGCTCAGGCAGGGCAGAGGGTGTGTGGGGAAACTAAACTCTTTGCAATGGTTAGTGCTTTCCCATTAAAAAAAATGCTGCTGGGGCCTCCCTGGTGGCGCAAGGGGGTAAGACGCAACCAATGAATCTTTCTGCTGCCACTGCAGCACGAGTTTGATCCCCGGCCAGGGAGGTGACCCACATGGCACAACAGACCTCTCCTGTCTCATCTGCTGCTCCCCTCAGCAATGTATTTCAGTAGATCTGCCTGTTGTGCTCCCCACTCTCTCTCCGGTGAATCCTCTCACCCCCCACACCTCTTGCCTGTACCCCAGTTCTTGCATGCATAAATAAATAAAATCTTAAAAAAAAAAAATGCTGCTGATTCCCACTAGGGCACAGTAAAGATGCTGCAAGGGAGGGAACTGGACTGGAACAGCCAACATTATCGAAGCACGATTCATTTCTCCATGTGAAGAAATGGAGAGAAGATGACATTCAAGGAAGCAGTAAATTCTTTCCAATGGGGATCAGAGCAGGTCACCCCAAAATGTGTCACCTTGGCATGTTATTTTACACTAAAGTTAGTTAAGGAGTATTAGAAGAACACTCTCACACTCCTTTGTCCTTGAGATGAATTCCCCATGTGAAAAAGCCCCCTACCTATAAAGGAAAAGTAGAAGTCATCCGTATCACCAGACATAGGAAATTTATGAAGGAAGCTTTGTTACTTCTTTACTGATCTATAAGCCCAAACTTTTCTTTCTTCCCAATTCATCTTTGTCATTTCTCAGAGTCAAAGATCTCTGGGACTCCCATACATATGAAATTCTTTTTTTTCTACAATTCATCTGTCTTATGCTAATTTAATTATTAGGCCAGCCAAAAGATGCAAGAAAGATAGGGGACAAATTTCCTCTCCCCTCTCTATCTCCTCTTCAGGATGAGTTTTATTCTATATCCAGGAGATTCCCCAAGGAAAAAGCCATTTCATCCAAAGGAGCCAGAAGAATAACAATTCTCTATTCTGTTAAAACAACATCAAAAGCAAACACAGGAAACCCTTGTCTCACTTTGGTTGAATAAGAACTTAACTTTTATTCTTCTTGAGAACCCCAGATATTAACACCAAATATCTATCTAATCTTCCATCCTTTCTGTCACCATCAAGAAGAGGGTAAAACAAAAATGAAAAAACATGAAACAAGCAAACAAAAATTTGCTTTACTGGCAGCTGGGGGGTACTAGACCTTTCTCCTTTACTCTAGATATACAAGACATCTGTCCAGGGAATTTAGGGACCCAAGAGCTCATCTTTCCTTTCCCTCCCACCTGATTCACTTTTCCCACCGCAGAAACAAGTATTTACCTACTGAGCCTTGTTCCTCTCTCTCCAGCACAGGTGCAGCTGACCCAATGGGGAGAGGTAGGGGATAAGGAGGTTGTTAGGAGAGCTAGATGGATGAGGTACGGTTATGCACATTTGGGGGCAGGTTAGTTCTGGGGACACATGATTTAGTCAATGAGCTGGGGTAACCAGGGGCAGAAAGCAGAGTTTGGGGTTAGGGTTAATGCCAAGCAGATGAACAGGAGGTGGAGGCTGAGCCTGGCTGAAGAGCCACCAGGCCTGGGCAGGATGGACCTGGGTGGGGAATGGAAAGCTGGGATAAGCCAGAGGGAGGGAAGGGCCTGCCATCCTCGGGGGAGGGGGAGCCGTAACAGGAATCCCGCAACTGGAGGAAACATCATCTGGGCTGCAAATGTCCAGAAAACAGAAAAACAAAAACAACAACAACAAAAAAATGGAACACCTGTTTGTATCAGGAGGGACTCCATGTTGGGAGAGAGAGTGGTCACAGGACAGGTAAGAACACCAACACCCAAAGGACAGCTCGTAATTGATCACCCAGGAAAGAAGGGCAGAATGAGGTAGATGTACAGGGCATGGAACTGGCCTTTTAAGTAATCTCAACCGGGGTCCATGTTCCCTGCCTGAGAGTGACTCTGCAGGGGCACCCATCCACAGTATTCTAGGAAAACCTTCAGAATCTGGGGAAAGGCATCTTTGAGGGGCATTTCCTAGAAGTAGCATTTATACACCAAAAAGTCATTCTGTACCCGTCTCATTTATAAGGAAAATCATGAGGCCCCAACAAGGGAACTGTCCCAGTAAACCTTGTATCTGTCTGCCCATCTCCTCCTGAGCAGCCTAGTGGGCGCAGAGTGTTTCTCCATAAACCTGCTCTCCCCCACCCCCATCTCCCAAGCTGGCGTGAAGCCTGCTGCATGCCCCACCAGGACAGTGTCTGCTCGTCCAGAGTTTGCGCCATCTGCAGCAACCCAAGCACATCCAGCGTCAGACTCCCCTCCCCAACCATCACTGTGTCCTTTCTAGTTTGTCATTTTCCCATTCCACAGGGAACGTTCCTTCCACCCACTGAAGGAAAAGAAAGGCCCAAATCCCCTTATTTAGGAAGTTTGCACTTGTGTGTGTTTGTGTATGGGTGAGTGTTGGTGGTGATGATGGTGTGCATGTGCATGTGTCTGCTTCCCCAAGTTACCAAAAATTTTCCAGCAGTGATAATGGAGAAATGCTATATCTGATGCAAAGTAACTTTCCTGCTTCTCCAAATTGTTTTTTTTTTTAAGCAGAAGCAAACAGCAACACCCTTTCCTTGAGTAAGTCCCACTTCCAGAATCCCCTCTGACCATGACCTTTTCAAGGAAGGGTCGTGGTCGGTTCCTTCAGACCCTGAGCTGTCATGATTTGCCAGTGCCTGTTTGCCCACTGGGACGTAAACTCCTCAAGCACACAGATAGCATATTCACCTTTGGCTGGACACAGTCCTCTGTAAATGTTCACTGAACTAGTGATGGAGCAAGCTCATTCCCTTTTTTCTTCTAACATAACAGCAATGCAGCCACCCAACACAGCATGCTGCAAAGGTCACCAGACCCAGCATGACATCACCACCATCCTAACCAGATTTGCACCCATTTTTGTATTAAAAATGGCCCCTGTGAATCTAAGGTAAAGCAAAGGGAAAAGACATTAAAATTCTACTTTTCAAAATAGGGAAATTATAATGGCAGAGGCAGGGAGAGATGCAGAGTTGGAGAACTTTGATTCCTCACACTGCTGTAGCAAGCTGCCACTTTATACGTTTGCTTGGGAATGCTATTCTTGGAAAGACTGGGCTTTCTCTGACAATCCAAGGTACTGTGGATGATTTATTTGGTGCCAGCACGATGCAGGAAGCCAAGCATGAATGCTTAGAAATGGGGAATGGGGTTGGACAATGACCAGATCCAAGAGGACTCCAGAGGGTGCAGCAAACCCAGACACCCCCTGCATCACAGGCCAGCCTGCCCCCGGGCTTACCTGGTCCGCTCAGCCCCGGGCTGGGGGCCCAAGCTAGATGGAGAAAGCGAGGGCACTGTGGGGCCATCTGGGGGCTGCTCCAGAAGGGGCGATGGCAGAGGCGCAGCAAGCTCGGCGGGCGGGGCGGGAGGCTGCATGGTGGGTGGGGCGCAGGACGCTTTTCGGCCGGCAGAGGAGCCTCTTCGAGCCACCCAGGATGTATCCATGACCCTCACGCCCATGCTGGCGAGGGACACAAAGACACCTGCTTACCCACACATGACAGGCGACAGGCTCCCTCCCCCACGAAGCGGACACATTCAAGCACGTCTGTGTTAGAACAGCAGCGCAGCCTTAGCACCCACCAGGGGCCAGGGAAGCGAGCATGAGGCCGTGCCCCCTGGAACAACGTCGCTTGGAACATCCCGGCTGTTTGGGATGGGCCTCACACCAGCAGCCCTGACATGGCTGGCAGCTGCCTTCCACCCTTTGCCAAAGCCAGCTGGCCTTAGACTAAATCGCCGACAAGCTCCCTGGGCATGAAATCCAAGCTTCCCCAGAGCAGGATGCAGCCTGTCTGGGGGCATTCACTCCTCCCGCATGGGAGATGGAGGTGGACATGGCAGGGACCAGGCAGCATCAGATGAGAACATGGAACCGATCAGCAAGAGACAACCAAATATCCATTCTTCCTCTTTCTGTCACTTGGGGGTCTACAGCATAAGACCCATTGAGGATTCCTGCCCTAGCTGCAGGAACCTGGCCAAGCCACACCTCTGGAGGCCACACCCACTTGTCTACACTGCAGGAATGAGGCTGATCATGACTAGGGTTACTCCCTGCTCCAATTCTGTCTTAATGATGGGAACACAGTCAGCTTCAAGTAAGTCGGCCAAGCAACCAAACACGGCACATTCAGCCTCGCAGAGCCTCTAGGCACAGCTTCCTTGGTTCTCAGAGATTGAACATGGCCTCGTGGCTACCAGAGGATACCGTACCTTTGGATTTTCCTAAGGCTGCAGGGACAGAAACATACAGATATTAGTGTCAAAAAAACTATGCCTTCCTATGGACACACAGGCTGTCTCTTGTCAAGGCCAGGGTCTTAAGTGCTGGGCTTCTACTGTGCCATGGAATTATTTCAGTTTGGTTGGTCTCTGCAGTTAAAGTGACTCTTCTATTTGTATGAGTGAAATCTTATCCTTCCAAGCACACAGATTAATAAAGACAGCAGTGGAAGAGTAGGTATTGGTATATGTAGGGATTGGATGGGAAGGAGAGGGTGTCATAAGGGAGAAAAAAAATCAGTGAAACTAGTCATCTGCTTGCTTCTAAGTTATATGACTCAGAAGGCTGTCAATTCCCTTTCTTTGGTCTAGAAGGTAACTGGTATGGTAATAGTCAAGACCTTCACCAACAAAGGAAAGAGCTAATGTTTAATATGAAGGGCTGTACAAACACCCATGCAGTGAGAAAATGTACTCCTGCTGGTGTCTGCCTCTTCCAAGTGTATGCACAGTGGGGTGTGGCTTTGAGAGTTATTGTGCATTTACTCACACCCACATGTGGCAGTTGAACAGATTTGAAATCCTGCCTGCCTAAAAGTCTTATTTCCTTTGTAGAAGTACAGCAAAACTAAAAAAAAAAAAAAAAAGTAAGTAAATAAACCCAAAGGTGCAAGTGTAGAGATGAACTGCAGCAAGTAGGATTTGAGTCCTTTAAGAATAAGTCTCAGGGAGGTACACTGTGGGGAAGTAGATGGGGACTGCCTCCTGACACTTCCTCTGCAGCATCCCCAGAGACGCCAGCACCATGAGCGAAATTTCTTGTCTCTCTTGGATGGCTCTGAGCGGGTGGAGATAGCTCTTTCCAGCACCCAGGAGCTTTCAAGCGATTTTAGGTCTGAGATCCTCCACCTTCTACAGCGATCCAGAATCACTTGTGGAGGCCACTTAAATCTCTGGGACATGGTCCATTTGCATCCCCTGATATTTACAGTAGGCTGCAAGGGAGTGAGGAAAAGACTATCAAACTATGCTCTTTGGGCTCCCAAATTTATTAGGATAAAAAGAGCAGAAAGTTGAAGAGTCCACTTGGGGAAGGGAACTGATACCACAGAGCTGCAATGGTGGGTGAGCATGGCAGGCTTGTAATGCATTTCCCATGGCGATTTGCAGCAGGGGAGCCCTGTAGGAGGTAAGCCTTACCCTGTTTTCCCTTCCTTACCCTATTCTCATTCACTTAGAAAGACTTCTCTCACTGGAGAGAGAGGGGCACTGGCTGCAGATTCAGGGCAGGTGGGGGATGCCTCCCACTTCCAATGGCATCTTCCATGATCACTAACCTCAGACAACAGGTCACCTGGTGATCTTTCTCCTGGTTTACCAAGGGAAGGTGCCAACTAGGGCAATGGGTGTGGACGAATATGACCTGTTACATAGCAGCAAAATGTCAGCAGCCAAGAAATAAGAGCTAACCATACACTTCTGCTTTTACAAAGAGACTGCCGTGGCATCTGTAATGGCTACTATCCAACCGAAACTACTTTTTGATGGGAGGCAGCATCACAGAGAATAAGCATCGAATGTTGACTGACATTTTCAAAAAAGCAATATAAATCTTTATAGAGTGAATCAATCACTAAGGCAGTAGCAATGCTTTTGGAGGTCTACAAGTATATTTATGTTCATAAGCAAAATGGATTAATAGTATCTTTAAATGTCTGAATGTCTAGATAAAACTCAGCCCCAAAACAAAAATTATAAAGTTAGTTGGCATGTTGCCAAGAAGGGGAATCTACTCAAAGGTGGAGGAATATAACCAGAAGTTAGTATCAGCACTTCACAAATTTGTATTCATTGTTTTATCACATAAAGCCAGAATCAAGAAACTGCTTGAATTGCAAGTGTAATTAATTAAAACAATCAACGCCAGCAGAAGTCATTGCACAGCCTGGCTGTCAGAGATTTCCATGGTCCACTGCTTCTAGTTAAAACAGAGAAATTTGGTTTTCCGATCCCTTTATAGATGAATCAAGGCAAAGCAAGAAGACAGAGACCAGGAAGAACCTTCGAGGAGCAAAGGATTAGGACAGTAATAAGCAGGAGGCTGGAGGGCATGGCAGAATCTAGGAGAGCGCTCAGGCAAGCCGCTTTTGGTAGGAAATGAAGACCTGCAGCATTTGGAGAGCTGACCCCCTCCTCTCTTTCAGAGTAAGGAGACAAGGGTCAGGGTACCCAGAATTCTCACCCCCTTATCACTGGGATTCAGATGGGATTGGCCATTCACATTTTGGTACAGTAACCCCACTGATGTATAAGCTGCCCTGTTTAACTCCTCCAAGTCTACCAGGACCTAATATTAGCATGCAACCTATCATAAGCCACACTTTATACTTTTCATGAGAGAGAGTATCACGGAATAGGTTCAGCAACAATGCAGGCCTCTACTTCTGCTAAACCGTTCACTGATCCAGCAGACCTCTCTCCTTATTACACATGAGATCTATGACTTTAAAAATCAAGAGACCAAGGCCTGTTTCTCCTCCTCTCTGAACCCCCAAACTGAAGTCTGTTGGAAGATCCTCATTCCAAGAATATCACTGAACAGAAGTTTGATATGGGATATGGACCATCCTAGGGTTTAGTTATTTTGGTTTCTTTTTTTCCTCTCCAAAGGACAAATGTATTTGCCATGTTGTTTTTAAGTCCTGATCAGGAACAATCCTAGCCAGAGGCGTCAGCCAGTAGAAAGGTTTGAGGTACTTGAGCCTATAGAGATCAGGAAGGTTTTGAGTTGTGGTACTAGAAATCAGTTATATTTGGTAAAAGTCAGCCAGCAAAGGGGAAAGAAAACATAGCAGCTGCCCAAATTGCCACAGAAACCTTTCAGGAACAGTTTAAGATAAACCTGGTGGCTGGACAACAGTGAGGAGAGGTGCGAGGCGTCACCAGATGGTGCCCAAGGTGAGTGAGAACCTAAAAATGCTAAAGGAGCTTTGGTTATACTAACCCAGGGAGGCTAGAATCAGGTATTTCTCAGTTCCCCTAGGGATGATTTCTTTCCTAACTACATAGCAACAAAGTTTCTTCACCTGCCAGCTATAAATAAAGGTTGGAATCCTCTGGCAATATTCCACAAACCTGGTATCGGCATCTGTAAACATGTAAACCCTGAAAACATGGAAGCTGAAGTGGGGCCCGGGCCAAGAATATACCCCTCATAAATCCAATCTCAAAATAGAAGTCACTTTTTCCCTTGGTATCTAGGCTGCCTCTCCTGGTAAGCCCATCTTCTCAGAAGTGCAGGCTCTATGCGAAATCAATCACTGCAGCGTCAATCTGTGACCTACTCCCTGCCAGGCTCCCTGTGCTGTGTGCAGCCCATGCTCTCCCAGTAAGGTCTACAGAGGACGCTGATAGCCACAGTCACCAATGCAAGTCCCTTGGAGCACTGGTCCCGAATGTCTTGTGACAACAGGCTTTGTGATAGAGGAAACTCAGGAGGTAGTGCACGCCACAGCCCTTTGTGGACTTAGTCACTTACAGTAGCATGTTAAAGCCTCTCAGAAGTCCTACGCTGCAGACATTAATTTAAATTTGTTGAATCATGTGTTTCAGGGACTCACTAGCCTCAAGATTTCCATCTTCCCACCCCATTATTTCAAAGAGTGGAGATAATATTTCACAGAGTGCTGTTCAGATTGCTCTCAAACCCTTCCCACTGAACCTGTCTATTCAAATGACTGAGGATCTAGTAAGGTCCAGGTGGGTGGGACAAGCCCCGCTGCAGAGCAGCTCTGTAGCACAGGTCAAGAATGAGTCAAACACCAAAGTGAAGTCCAAGGAGATCACTGGTTCTGGTGTACATACCCTCATAGATTTTAGGGGTTACTGTCAACTAGTTCTGACAGAGGACCTCTAAGGACCACACCACTGAGGAGCATGGGAAATAGAGAAGCTGCAAGTTGGTCTTCTCAACATAAAGAGCCAGGGTAACTGGGATCTCCATGGACAAACTGCCACCCACTGGGATCCCAGGGTCTGCGGGGAGAATCACAGAAGCTGTTGGGGCCTTGCCACCAGTGGGTGTATGGGTTCAAGAGGCTGGAACTAGGCAGGGGCAGTGGGGCAGGCATGTCAGTCAGCAAGGCAAGTGCAGAGAGCATGGGACAGAGAGTCAGGAGGAGGCAAAGAGCAAGAGAGGAAAGCAGGCCCTAAGAGAACCAGCAGGTAAGGCAGGGAATAGGCAGTACGGAGTTGGCCAGGTCTGTCTGGAGGGAAAGGAGGGAGAGAGGAATAGAAAGGAGGGGATAGCAGCTATCAGAGGGTGAAGATGGGAAGCCGGGAAGGATGCTTCATTGCTGACATCATTTCTATTCTTGCCTCTGACCTTGACCGTCATTCCCTCTACAACCTTAGCAGAGTTGGGAACACATTTGACAAATGCTCACAACCCATGGGTCCATCAGAACAGGCAAGAGCATGTAGGCATCTTGGCCAGCTCTTTGGAGGCAGTATAAAAAGGACATTGCATTAAAAAATATTTGCTGTGGGCCTCCCTGGTGGCACAGCGGTTGAGCGCTGGGTTGTGAAGCTGCCTGCAGCCTCTGCAGCGCCAGTTCAATCCCCGGCTGCTCCCCGGCCACCGGAGGAGGGTCCCACATAGAGCACAGACCTCTCCTGCTGCCCGCTGCTCTCCTCAGCAGTGTGCTTCGGTCCTTCTGCCTGCTCTGCTCCCTGCTCTGGCTCTGGTGAATTCTCTCACCCTCCTGTGCTTCTGACTGTACCCAGTGCTTGTATAAATAAATAAATAAATCTTTAAAAAAAAAAATTTGCTGTGACTAGGAATGACACCTCTGCCATTGTCAGAAAAATAGAAGAGATTTGCCAGTTACTATCAGTATTTAGGACAAATAATTCAAGAAATAAAATCATTACTCTATAAAACAAACAAACAAAATACAAACAAGGCATCAAAAATAAATTAACCCACCCCCTGAAATTTCCAAGTGGGAATTCAGGGGTCTGCCAAGGGCACAAGTGTGACCCATTCAAGACTCTGTCTCTGTTGTTCAGCAGTGCTGGCACAGTGAGGATGGTCTGCACAGATTCCCCCTGTACATTAAGCCAATGTTCATTGCTAGAATAGGAAGGTTTGATTTCAATTTTTAAAATGGCATCATTGTCAAATTCTTTATTCAGAATGGCACTTTTTTTTTTTTTTTTTTTTTTTTAATGATTCAGTGGTTCTCAACACTAGATGCATATCAGAGCATCTGGGACACTTTTAAAGTTTATCAATGCCCAAATCCTAAGCCAGACCCAATAAATCAGCTCGGAAGAATGGGAGCCAGTGGCATGAGGAAGACATTAGTATTCTTTTTTAAAGTTTCTTCTGACTGTCTTTTGTGGCCACCACTCTCAAAACTTGGTAGCTTTTTAAAAATTTTGGTCACAACTTCACAGTATTGGCAATTTGGCAGGGACAGCATGACACAGCTCTAGCTGAGGTGGCCTGACTTGGGCTGGAAGTCTCCAAGATGACCGGTAAGTTGGTGCTGGGTGTCAGCTCGATGCTCAGCTTGGAGTGAAGGCTGGGGCTTCAATGTTTTTTTAAGGGGCTGCTGGGACTCCCGCACAGCATTACAGCTGGGTCCGAGAGCCAGCGATCCAAGAGTCCCAGGGATATCCCAAGGCAACTTTTTCTGACCTAGTTTCAGAAATCCCAGACATTTGTTCCATCATATTCTGTTTATTAACTAAGTCAAAAGGAGGGCAAGCAGATTTCAGCTCTCACTGGGAAAGGAATCAAAAGCTCCTTCTTCCATCTTCACCACAAAGCTCCTGGGTGGGTTAATTTCTTGTGGCATCTGTAAATAAGTACCACAAAGTTGGTAAACAACAGAAATTTGTCTCTCCCACTTCTGGGGACCAAAGTCCAAAATTAGTAGCACTGGGATGACATCAAGGCATAGCAGGCTGTGCTCTGAGAATCCATCCATTCCTCACTATATCCAGCTGTCGGTGGCCATCCGTATTCCTTGGCTCACGGTCACATCTTCAGACTGGTCTCTGCTCCACCTTCACGTCACCTTCTCTGCGTGTGTTGTCAGACCTCCCTCTGCCACCCTCTTCTGATACAGGTGATTGTATTTAGGGCCCACCCTCATAATCCAGGGTAATCTCCTTAATTCAAGACATTTTAATCGCAGCTGTAATTATCCAAATAAGGTATTATTTCAGGTTCCAGGGTTTGGGTTAGACCTAATAATTTTGAGGAGGGGCATTAATTTTCCTTCCACAATCATGATAAATGTAGACGTGACCTCCTAAATTGAGCTCCAGGACTTGCTAAGAAACTCCAGTTTTCTACGTCATCTGAATTGGAAAGCATCAGGACCAATACCAGGAGCTGAGGTGGGAGTAAAATATTTTGCATGATGTATTTTTCTTCCTCCAATTTTTAAAAAAATATACTTTATTGATATAGAACTTATTTTCTTTTTTTAACCTGACCAAAACACCTTAATAAAATGAGTTTAAATTTGTTAGTGCTGAAGACTTTGAAATGCATCACATAGATTTTTAAAAGCTCAGAAATTGGGATAAATGTGGAGAATTCCCCTAGTATTGCTAGAATAACACAGGATTCAAATAATGCAAATTCCTTTTTCTATCCCCTGAATACTTACGGTTTTAGGTTTCTGTTTCTCTTAAAGTAAATCAAAAATTGGCCATATACAAGCTCGCTGTGCTTTCAATCATATGCACTGGTATCCCAGACAACATGCTGAGGCCCTAACTCAATTAAGCCCTCCATTTATGTTAAAATAAATAAAACCTATGCATTTCATGTGCAACAGTAATTTATGTAGTGCATCTCCTATAGCATTATTGTCTATGGTATGTTTCAATTTTATATTAAAATGGTATGCATAACAGGCATAGTATTTACACAGTTGTTGAACAGGAGAACCTTATCAGTGATGAAGCACCTACATAAAATAGCATCATCCACATCTGCCTACAAACTATGGGGGCTAGTGGCCTTTGAATGCAGGATTCCATGGAGCATAACTTTCTCTTGAAAGTCATCTGGATTTCTTTTTGGAGGGTGCTCAGAATCAGAGGTCTGATAGGGAGCATAGAGGAGTACCTTGTCCATGCACAGACCCAGAGACTAAATGAGTTAACCCAAGGCGGGACCAGAATTGACCCAAGAGCATCCCCTCAGGCAGACACTTCCTAGAGGAACTGAGTTACTGAGTTACTTAAAGTGAGTTACTTAAAGTGAGTTACTTACTGAGTTACTTAAACTGAGATTGAAAAACAACGTCTAATGCACTTGTAATCTCTTTGAATCGTGCTCTCTCTCTCTCTCTCTCTCTCTCTCTCTCTCTCTCTCTCTCAAAGCAACGATCAGATTTTGAATATGCTCTTTTTTATAGATTTAAGAAATTTTCCTCTTTTCCCTTCAACTTCTAAGTACTTCTACTTTTTCCTTCCCCACTAGACAATGAACAACAAAGAACTGCACAGAGCCAATTAATAAACCCCACCTCCCACCCCCTCCCACAAAAAGTCAAGTGGCCAGTAGGTATACTGCCCTTTCTGACTCCTTGTCCATCCTCACAGGACAAGGTCTAAGTCTCCAGTGCCAACTCCCTCTCAGACAAGAAGAAGTGAAAAGTAAGACTCATACACTGCTAGAGTTTTTGGTTCTCAGCCTTCCCTCTGAAGTCCACTTGGCCAGGAGCTGTTCAAATAAGCAGATCTTTCTGGTGACCCAGTGTGGTCCAGTAGGGAAGAGGAAGGTTGCAAATATTATACTTCCTGTTCTGAATGCTCTTGTATATTTTGGTAGAGAAGTTGCTAAATTTTATTTTATAGTAGCATTTTTAATGCCTCATCAGAGTTTACTAAATTGACTTGCTTGACCAGGCAATGCAACCCATTTCTTACAGTATAAGGCTTATTAACCGGTATCTTCAGCTGCACAATACTCATAGGCCCACATGTTTTGGATGCCACAGCTGAATTGATGCTTACCATGAATCAGTTGTGCTTGTTATGAAACTTGTTTATGCCCATTTTACTTGTTATGAGAATCATATTATGCAATTACATATTACATAAAATGGTTAACACAAGTGTGGAGAGGGTCATTCCTATGAGAATTGAGTTGAATGCATTTATGAGTCTTGTAACAGCTGCATCAAAGTAGGCGTTAGTGTTAATTGTCGGTGATGGGGAAAATTCTTAAAAACTTACAAGTATTTTATACTCAGAAGGTTTCAATTTTTAGGTTTCCTGCTATTTCCTGCACCAGGGAATACTAAACTCTGCATGAAAGGTGTTGCTTATGCAAGAATGTTGCAGAAGAATGCAAATGAGCAGACCCATCAAGACAGTGAAATCATTAAGGATTTGAGAATAGATATACATTTACGAATCTTGAGTCAAAATAAAGCGTTTATGTATTTTTTTAATTTCCCTTGTTGATCAAAGTTTATATTTTCTTTCTTTTGATGAGAACAAGGTTTGTATTTTCTTTCTTTTGATGAGAACCAATCAATACTGAATACAACTGTGGCTCAGAGGGTTGCACTTACCTCTGGTTCAAAGCTAGGGCAGCAAGCCAAGACTCATCCCAAATAGCACAGATGAAAGCATCCCGAAGGAGGTAACAGTTTAGTTGCTACAAGTCACCTCGACGACTGCCAGTAAGTGCAGCCTTTGTGTCCACCCATTTTTTCTTACATCTCAATCCCTCCAATCCCCAACGCTGAGACAGGGACACTAGTTCATACCCATCCTTTTTGTAAAACTCCAGCATCATATTATCCGTGGCAACGCTGAGGGGCCGGCGGGCCTGCTCGGGTTGGCGCCGGTCTGCGGGGTCCATGTCTGGGGAGGGCATTGAGCTGTAGTTGGCGTTGTGATTCACGTGGACTGGACTCCCATAATTCCCTGTGATGTTGAACTCTATGTCTGTGGGGAAGAAAGAATAGGTGTGCATGATCTATTGGTTTCTCACACTCTTCCTGGCAAGACAGAGATGAACAGAGATGATTTCTCCCTCATACTTCACTCCTAGAAAACTTTATCCCATGGCTCTGTGTTAGGTGATCTATTGCTATTAACTCAATGTTAGGATAATTCATCATATTAATAGGTAAATCACATGCTCCTCTGTCATATTAACAGGGCACTTAATAAAGCAATGTTCTGTTTGTGATTTAAAAACTTAGTCAAACAGGAACAGATGGGTAGTTTCTGAAAAAAAAGTAAAACCATCCATCTCACGCCTCATGGTTAATATTAAATACCAGAGCAGTCTTATTCGTATCAGGAAAAAGAGCAAGGCCCACTCTCACCACTGTTATTTAACACTCTTTGAGAAGTGCTAGCCAAAGGAATTAGTCAGGAAAATAAAAGGAGACACAATATTATTATTTGCTGATGATGATATTTCTCTTCCTGGAAAACCAAGGAAACAAAATTGAAAGAATTAGAAATAGTAAGGTATTTCACAAAAGTTGTTGGCTAGCAAGTGGATACTCACCCCATCTTTTCCTAGTAATGGCCTGTTTATCTGCAATGGTAATTAACTTGTCCTGGGAACTTACAGAATTATACTTTTAACTCCTATCGCCTTCATTTCTTTATCCTAATTTCCTACCCTCACCCAATTCTGTATGATCAAGAGAATTCTTATGACACAAGCAGTTCAGAGCTTTTAAAGTCGAAACACATGAAATAAAATAAAGATAATCAAACTTCTTCAGTGGAGATGGGCACTAACTGATCACCTCTGGTGGATACAGCACATAATTATTAACATTTTGTCCTGGTGTAAGTTAATGGCTTGCTTTGCACAGCTGAAAGCATACCCTTAGTGTTTACTGAACATATGGGACAGTACTTTTTTAAACAAATACTGAATTTAGTGTACCAACTGCTGTCTCTTCAAAACTGTCACCATTGAGAGTCATGCCCTTATGCAATGCTCCCATGGCTAAGAACATTTATAAAACTCCCTTTTAGGGAGCTGCCTTTAGAACCCTATTTTGAACCAGGCACAAAAATAAACCTCATGGCCTTTGAGCCCCATGTTTAGAGGATAACTTCAAGGACATAGTTTATGATTACAAAAGGATAATTAATACTGATGTGATCCTAAAGCTCTGAGGAGAAGTCCATCGCAGGCCTGTTTCCCTCTGCATCTATAAAGTGAAGGGCTTGGAGCAGAGGACCTCGCTCTCCTTTCTGCACCTATTTTTTCATGATTCATCAATTTAAAGAAATCTTGATGTGGATATTAGACCAATACAATTATGGGCATGGTTAGTGTAGGCAGTAAACACTCAGGTCAGAGAGTAGAAACTGCCATCATCCTTCCTCCGTGTGTGTGTGTGTGACAGGATTAAGAACAGAACAAATATCTATGGGCAGTGGTACGTGGTTTCAAAGGTTCAGAACTCATAGTTACACTCCTGCTCTTCCCCAGTCCCCGATTCCTTTCTCTTACACCCCCACCCCCACTTGATGCCACCACATACCCCCAGGGAAGAACCAGTCCGCATGCTGGATGATGGGTTCAATGATCCCAACAATCTGCAGAGATACTGTGGTCATCATCTCCGTGATGTTCCTGCAGGCACACAGCAAGAAGGGCCGGTGGGTTATCATCAAGGTGGAGTGATGGACACCCTTGTCCACAGTTGGGGAGGGCCCTGGACCCTGGTTGGGAAGGCTGGAGGCCTACATCAGAGAACAGGATTTCTGGCTTCTTCCTCTTGGGAGGAAGGAGAAGTGTGCTTTCCTGAACCTGTCTTTCCACATCAATAGTGGGTAACCACAGGAGCCCTTGTACAAGGAGCTGTGATCACCGTGGGACAGACATGTGACCATCACCTGCAGGGCACCCTGCATTGTGGGGTATGAGTCTCATAACTGCCTGACTCACCTCACTCCAAATCGTTCTCTCTCTTTGTAGACAACCCTCCAATCTGAGGATCCTGTGCCGGTTGTGTACTCCAGAAAGGGATGACCGGTGCCTTCACACCAGTGGCCTGTGCCTTTCATCCTGATGTTGACTAGAGCTTACAGAAGACCTCACTGAGATCTGTAACTTCTAAGACTAAGAGAAGAGACCTGTAGATTTCTGGACCTCCTACGCTTGGGAAGGTAGCAGGCCAAGACAGAAATAAGACCTGAAAACTAAAGGAGGCTGGAGATGACATGTGCCCTGGTCATGCCGCCCATGCCCCCCTACCACATGTGTGACTACACGACCTCTCCTCCCCATACTCACCCTTCTGCCTGGGGCCATAGGAGGTTGGGTCCTAACACAATTGCCATGTTGCTGGGAGTCATCTTGTTTACATCTTGATATTCTGACAGCTTGGATAAAAATTTGATCAAGTATCTGAAAGGAAATCAAAAGGGCTGGGTTTGACTAGCGCTCAACCCCAGCCATGGTCCCTAGCAATGGCAGAAAACTCTGTTCTGTGGCACAGCTTATTGACAGAGACCCTCACATCCTGCAGTATAACGAAGGTGAGTCACAAGTCCAGAAAGGTGAACTCTATTCTCTTAGCCAAGAAAAAGACAGTCAGACCTCACTCAGTTGGATGTCAATATTTGGCCAGAAAAATTCGCCATTTTTCCTTCTGATTCAATATATCATGACCTAAATTGTTCTACCTTTTCAATCACCTATGACCTGCCACCTGCTCCCACCCCCACATGCAGAGGTAAGAAGGCAAGTTTCCAGGTATCCACAGGGACATGTGCATGCTAGGGGTGCATGTGCATGCTAGGAGTGCATGCTTCCAGAAATTTTGGCTAACCATACTGACAGCCACCAGATTCTGTCCAGGGGTCCAGTAGTCCTGGGGCACATATTTTCTCCTCAACTCTCAGACACAAAAGGCTGTGGTTCTAATCTCATTTTCTGGGGTCACAATGTATGGTTCCCTAAGGAATAGCCATGTCAGCCCTATAGAGAAGCCACCAGCCACTAATCCCTGAGCTGTCACTGTGCCTAACCTAGTCACAGCTTCTCCTGACCATGTCACACCCTCAGAGCCCACATACACCTGCACCAGCACGTGGGGCCGAAGCTGAGAGCAGTCAGAGGCCAGTGGGCTAGGACTGTGGTCAGCAACACTCATGAACTGTATCAATCTGTCTCTTGCTCTTGGGATTTTTTTTTAATTGTGATAAAATTTATCATTTTAACAATTTTAAGTGTATAGTTCAAGGATTTCGTAGCGTCACACTGTTATGCAATTATCACCACTATCGTCTCCAGGGTTTTTTCACCAATCCAAACTAAAACTCTACCCATTAAATGCTAACCCCAACTTCCCAATCCTCTCCACCCCATGGGAAAGCACCATTCTTTCTCTAAGAGTTTGACTACTAGATGAAACATAAAGTAGATCCGGACACCTCATGTAAGTAGACTCACAGAGTATTTGTCTTTTTGTGTCTGGCTCCAACATTCATCCATGCTATAAATGAAATGTCCTTCCATTTTAAGGATGAAAGTTGCATTTTATGTATAATTAGTTTATTCATTCATCAGGCAACTAACATTTAGGTCATGTCCATCTCTTGGCTATTGTGAATCATGCTGCTATGAACATGAGTACACAAGCATCGAGTCCCTGCTTCCAAATCTTTTGGATATATACCCAAAAGTGGCATTGCTGGATCATAATACAAATCTATGTTTAACTTTTTGAGGATTCACCATACTTTTACTCTTGGGGTTTTTAACAGGAAAACAGAAATAATCAGGCAGATGGCAGCAGGAGCTGAAGCTGAAAATCTGCAGCTAAGGAAGCATGAAGGAGCGATGGCAGGGCCAGGAGCAGGGCTGGCAACACAAAGTGGTCAGGAAGCAGAGAGTGTGAAGCTGGGTAGAAAAAAGATCCACAAAGAAGCGGCTGTGCAATCCCAGGCGGTGCAGGGAAAGCGAGAGACAGACAAGTGGAAAATAGCTGGTGATGGTGGAACTCTCGAGAATATTCTCCTGCCTCTTCTGCCTCCAGATTAGGCTCAAGGCTTCTTCTGCCTGTTCTACCTGTTCCAGGTTGGGTCAGCTTCTCCCAAGTGTCCATGAACACCATATTTAGCATAAATCCCCAATACCTTAAAATAGCCTGCATTCATCTTTGTCCCTTGAACTTAACTAAATTAGCCAATGACCTCCAAAGTCAAGTAGCTTCTTTGAATTGGTTTCTTCAGCACAATGTGGTAATTAACAACCTCACAGGGTATTTGAAGTTGAAAAGTGATCATGCATGTTAACAACGCATTGGATGCCATAAAATGCAGTGCTTGCTAAGGAGCACAACCTTTAGCCAGGAAACCGTGAGTCTGGGGCTTAAATAACCCTGAGCCAAGTGTCTCCAGTCTCTACTCACCGGATGTTGTTGTGATTGGCCTTGGGTAATTTCTCACAAGCATTCCACAAAGCCTGCAGCCTCTTGTCTTGCTCCTGGATACTGAGAATTTAATAGGAAAAGGCATTGGTTGAGATGTATCCATGATGTCTCACTGGCAATCATATTAACCAGTCATCATAATATAAAATAAGTAGCCAATCACTGTTACTGACCATATCAGCAAGTTATCATTATTCAAGTGTTTGGTTTTTAATTTTTCCCTCTGTGTTCTTGTGTGTGGTCCTGTGCTATTTTAATAAAACTTCTCCCTGCATGTATCACATGTCCCAGGTGAATGTGGGCCAGGGAGACAGGTGGGAGCAAGGGCAGAGGTGAGACTGCACGAGGGCCACGGAGTTGGCAGGAGGGAAGTCTGGCATACAAACCCGGATATAGGACCCCACTCAGGGAGTTCAACCTACTTTCACACCATGGTGGCAGCCTGTTGTCCAGTTCAATGGATGTTATTGAATGCACAGTAAGTTCGTTGGCATACAATAGATGTAAGTAAGTTTTATGCATTCAATAGAGACCCAGGAAATCTGATCTTTTAAGAGCAATTCAGGGATGGATACTTTCCAGGGACCAAAGGACTGCAAATCTATAAATACATTGCTCTGAGGGCGTCTTTATTTATAAGTCCTCGGAGAATGTAAAGAAATTACTTTTAGAGCTACATATTAAATATACTTTTCATGAAAATCGACATCCAGGTCTACACAACTAGGAAGGTCTTATGCCCACGGTCAATAAAAGGTTTTCTGAACCTTTTTTTCAAAAAAACTGAAAGGAAAATGTCTTCAGGATGAGGCCCTTGCTCTGGACCCTAGACTTGGGCCAAGGTCAGAGAGGTGGCCATCCCCGCGGCTTCATTGCTAGGTCCCCAGAGGGATTTCTTCAGGTCCTGACCAAGGTAAGAAAAACTCCTTTCCTAGGTTCAGCCTTGAAGACAAAACGATCATTCTCTAAAACAGACTTTTGCTAGGAAATGAGGCAAGTGAAAACAAAATGCCACATTAAGAAATGGAGAAATAACACATCCCATTTGCTAAGCAGTCATTCTCTGATCAAAGGCCGGCCAAATGGGGTTTTTTGTCAGGAAGACCCAGCACCATCCTACCTGTGACTTTGTACCAATTATCTCACCTCTCTGCTCCTCACTTTCCTCTCCATCAGATGAGATTATTAAGAGAATTTCCCTCATAGAGGAAAACTGGTCTCTGTGACCAGTTTGAAGGAGAATCTGTGTGTGTTAAGCAGAGGATCTGTTCATGGAAAGTTCTCCAGGACAGCTGCTGCCACTGCTGACACCTATCAGTGAGGTGTTCCTATGGCACCCAAGCCTCACTCCTTTTCTGCTACCATCTTTTCTAAGGTAGAGGGCAGGTTCTACCAAGAACTTTCATTCCATAAAAATCAACAAACACATATTGAGAACTTTCTGTGTGCCGGACATTGTCCTAGGGACTAAGAAGCAATCAGGGTATTGCTCTCTCAAAGCTACAATCAAATTGGCAATATAAATGCAGTCATAACCAGGTGATCAATTATAGGCAGAGAATTAACACAGGGAATGGGACAGATCAGTTGCTTTACATGGGGTCATCAGGGAAGGTTAAATTTAAGGTGAAGCCCAATAACCAGAAGAAGGTGATCAGGGAAAGGTCTTGAGGAATAGCCATGTCTGAGAGAGAGTGAGGACCCTGCCATTCTCAGGAAGATGTCCTAGGATTGGACATCAGTCTTTGCCTCCCTTCTCAGGCACCACTCAATGCCCAGGCTATTCTGAACCTCTGTTTCAGAGCTCCCTATCATGGAAGTGTAACAGGGTGGTCCCCAGGAAGGTTTGCGGGGTTTGGGCTGCCCCTCTCCCTGTCCTATAACAGAAGTACTTCATTTATGTGACTTGTAAAGATGTCACCTTTGAATATGGATACACATACAAGCATTTCTCCTTGACAGACACCTAGAAATGGTGTTATTACATCATAGGTCAGCATGCTTCCATAATTTCAATCAATACTTGCAAATAAATTCCAACTCCCAAGATCCTCCATAATGTGGCATACTCACTTGGAAGCCTGAATCCACTCGTCATAAAGTTCAAAGGTCATAAGAGGTTCTGGTAACTCTCGGAGGTAAGACTTCAAAGCTCCTGGGCAGGAAAACAGTAATGACCGTGAGCCATCCTGACATGGCAGAATCAAATGGTGGCTTCCCAAGTGAACGGACCCTCAGTGTTGGCAAGGCATGGGACCTGGGCTGGCAACTATGTTGGCCTCCCCCTCTTATTTCCCACCTTCTCTTGGCATTCTAGGGAGGCAGGCCTTCCTTCAAGGGGCCATGGCAACCACGCCTAAAACAACTGAAGCATGCTGGGAAGTCACAAGTGGTCTCACACCCTTCCTGTGGGTTCTCCCTTCCCAGTGAAGCTCTAGGAAGCATCCTACTCAGAGGGTGGACCTCTACCTGCAATGGCATGGGGGTCTGCTGAGTACTCCTGCACATCCACCACGCAGCAGTCCAGCGCAGCTTTCAGCTTCTTCAGCTTGGAGGCAGATGGGGCCACTCGGAAGAGTCCCTGCCAACAGGACAGAGGGTCAGTGGGCAGCCTTGCAACTCAAAGCCACAAGAGCCAAACCAAGAAACAGACTCCTCTCCTCCACAACCTTGTAGGCACATTTTTGCCCAACACAGCTGCCTGTTTTGTAAATGTTTCTTCCTTTAGACATAAGCAACTTGAGAGCAGAAACTGGGTCTTCCCCACCGTGTCTCCACTGCCTAGTATGGTTCAATAAGAAGTTGTTGAACCTGAGCACTTGACTTCTTTTTCTGGGGTATTTATTTATTTAATGTATTTAAGACACATTTTGGAGACTATAACTGAGATGTGGTCAGACCTGGGAGTCTAGGAATTTGGATGTGAAAGGTCTGTGGGGGGGTGTGTGTGTCGCACAGGGAGACAGAGGGCTACACCTCTAGAACCAAATGAAGGGAATGCGCAGATTTGGGGTTTGTGAGGAAGCAACGCCTCCTTTGCCCCTCTATATTTCATTCTTCAAGTTACTTTCAAATCATGATCCTCTCTTCCAAGTGACCACTGTACCTTGTGAAGAAAGAGGAGACAGAGATGTATGAAGACAAATGCAGGTCGGACTTGGGAAGGAGCCCCCACATCACAGGTAAGTTAGATGTGGGTTGAAGACCTTTTGGTTTCTGTTTTGCCTTCTTAGCTCTCTGCTTTCTGTGATGCAACCCACAGACTGATAAACAGGCTGGGAGATACTCCTTGTTCCTTTAACTTTTTATGGCCATTCAGATTTCCGAGTTCCTTTAGAAGAAAATTTTCCTAGGATGGAATACCGAATTTTGACCTACTGAGATCACTAACCTCCTTCTCATATATATCAATAGTATATCAGATAAAAACATGTCCAGGGGCCTCCCTGGTGGTGCTAGGGGTTGAGCACCACACTTTGAAGCAACCTACAGCCTCTGCAGCATGAGTTCGATCCCTGGCCAGCAAGGGAGAAACCCACATGGTGCAGAAGATCTCTCCTGGCTCGCCCGCTGCTCCCCTCAGCAGTGTACTTTGGTCGGTCTGCCTGTTCTGTTCCCCACTCTGTCTCTGGTGAATCCTCTCACCCCCCGCATCTCTGGCCTGTGCCTCAGCTCTTGTATGCATAAATGGATGAATCTTAAAAAAAAAAAAAAAAATGTCCAAAGCGCTTAAGCATATAGGAGGAAGCCACATAAACTTGTTTGGACTAGGGTATACCTAAGGCTTCTGTGATACATTAAAGCAGTGGATTAGGTCCTCATAAAACCATGCCATAGCAGTAGAAAAGCAAATAGCATTTGGTGATAGAAAATGCCAAAGAAAAGGAAATAGTGCTGTCAAATATGAGCTTAGAATTTTGTGAGCTGATAAGGCTGTTACATTGAGTTATATGTAAAAGCTAGGAGTGGGGGTACTCTTAAAATAGCTGAGGATGCCAGTTTTTGAGGTGTTAGAGGAAAATCTACATGGAAATATTAAAGAAAGGCAGCAAACATGGGAATGGAGGGGTGAGAACCCTGGATCCTCACTGAGGTTGAGGTGAACTCCTCCTAGGGAGGAGTTCAGAAAAGCTTAGAGATCGTGGAGTGCACTGCCCAGATGATAAGGCTGGAAAGATCATCAGGATATTCCTCACAGGGACAAGAGGGGCACTGGGTTGCCCAGGGAGGTGTTAGTTTCAAGAGTGGCCACATTAGTAATGTCACAGGAAGCAATGTGTCCCAGAGGCTGCACTAAGTCATGGAAACAGGCAATCCAGGGGCCTGTGAGGACTGTAGAAAGTGAGTGTAGCCCTATGGTGGGGAAAGAAGTGTCAGTGCAGGGAGGCAGGTGGGTAAGTGATGGCAAGGATGTAAGAGCAGCAAATGTTGAGAGCTGTTTAAAGAAATGACTAGCAGAACAAGAAATCCCTAAAGACAAAGGGAAGGAATATGAGGTATAATGAGTTGAAAGAAGGTAATTCTCTAGGCTATGCAAAAGGAAAAAAGCTGATACAAGTAGGGGAAAATGCAAGTCAGAAATTGAGGTCTGGCAAGCGATGGAAAGGCCCAGAAATATTCAAGAGTTGGGAGACAAGTTGGAAGACACCAGAGAATCTGTTCTTTAATCAGTTTACAATGATTAGATACTTAAAGATACTAACAAATGAATTTTACTTTTAAATACAGTAATGTTCTAATTAAAAACATGCCCTATCTTTTAGAGAAACATGCTAAAATATTATAGATCAGATGACAGGAATGTCTGGGATTGGCTTCAAAATATCCCAGGTAGGGGCTGGGGAGCAGCAAATGGAGAAAAAGATGAAACAGGGCTGGCCATAAGCTGGGTGATGAGGCTCATTATATTACCTTTATGTGTTTCATTTTCCTTTAATAAAAAAAAAAATGATGGGAAGAGAAACGACCTTTTTCAGGTCCCTCCATGAAACGATACCTCAGGGTCATAAAGATGCACTCATCTTATAATTGAAAACACACATGAAAATGGCTGACACAGTGTGGTCAAAAAGATATTTGCCTCCATTCCTTTTGAAAAGCCAGTATTTAGAGCAAGTCTGAGAGACAGGAGGTGCCAAAATCCCTTTGAATGTTGGCTTCCTTTTCTTCCACAGCCCTCAGTTTGCCCTGCGTGACCCACTTCTTAATGATTTACAGATGGTTTTGGATTGATCAGTTTATTTGATGGTTGTTAGACTTATCTCTCTCAGTAAGTTCTTAACCCTCCATCTCACTCTTTTATACTGAGCTCATTAAGAAAATGTATAGCATGCCTTAAATAAATATTGATTAGCTGATCAGATCAAAGGAAGATGGGATAAAGATTTTACAATAGCCAACAGATGAAACCAAAAATGAAGTCTGTCTCCCAGGAAATGATTTACACAGCAATAAAAAGTATAGTTGCCAATTTCTCATAGACCTTTTTCACGCGTTACTCTTAAGAAATATTTTCCTAAAGTCTCTATCATTCATAATTTCAGGATCTCTATAAAAGGGTCATGTGAAAAAAAAAAGCTTAAAAGGCCTAATTTTAAAATAAGGGACTATATTCAGCAAAAGAAGGATGAACAGGAGGAGTAAGAGGGGAGGTAGAGGGTGGGAGAGAAGGAAGAGGCCTCGGATCACAGGGATGATGGGGGAGGGGTGGAAAAGTCCAATCATGTCAGATATGAAGATTGACTGGAGTGTGGCTATAATTCCTTATGGTCATTGGTATCAGTCTCCCACAATCCTCTACTCTCCTTGCAAAGTGAAGGCTCATGGGAGAAATCAGGACCAACTTGCATTCTCAGGGGAGGGGACTGTATCATAACCTAACATCTTTGGACTGTGGACACCCTGAGGGATGATGACAGCAAAGGACACAACCCTTAGACTCTGTCTCATGGACGAGAGACCTGCTTGTAGCGGGGTTTAGCTGTACCCAGACCTACCTCCTCCTGCATCCCACATTCAAGCAGCATCGTCACACATGCCTCAATGGGAAAGGCAATCTCCCGGCCGCTGATCATGAGGTGCTCCTCCAGGGGTTTCCCAAAGGAAGGCTTCTCTACCCAGGCCTCTGAGGGGATAAAGCAAAAAAGGGGTCAATCAGCAGTTAGTGACGGTCACACAGGCTGGGATATTTCTTTCTCTGGTCATACAGAGTCTTCTAAAGTGACTGAAGACATGGAGGCTCAGTGGAGTACTCATTTTGGCAGTATGGGAGATGTCAGGCAGGATAAGGTGGGAAGATTGCCAGCCAGATGTTTCCAGAGATGCTGGGATTCCTGTTACACACCTGCGTACACATGCACGCTCATCACCACCCCCTCATTTATCCCCTTGAGACAGCAAAATGTTTGTGAACCTGCTTTGCTTCCGTGCAACTAGATCAGGGAACAAGTTTGTAAAGTTCTTGCAGCTCATGTGACTCTGTTGTGGAGTATGCAAAGGTGAATAAGTAGAGGGAGTTGGTCTTATCGGAGAAGGCAAGCAGGTTCCCTACCCACCCTCCTGCAAGGGAGCTCAGCTCTTACCTTGTTGTGCTTTTATCTGAGGCAACACAGCCTGCAAGAGTGTCAATGACTTCCTGTGATATTCAGCTTGTACTTCTATTAGCTGAGAAAACATAAGGGCAAGCATTACCCTCTGCCAAGGGGTGGTAGCACAGGCTTCAGTGTACTGTAGGGTGTCCTGCGTGAAGGTACCACTGTACATACAGGGGAAGGAGGTGGCAGCCCATGCTCCCTCTGGAACCCACCTAGATTGACGGACATGCTTCCTTTTTAGCCTCTGTCGCAAAGGAGTGACCACAAGTAGAAATGGGGGCGGGGGGGGGGTAGAACCTTGAAGGAATAGGGAGAATAGTTCCAGAGCTGGGGCATTCGAGAATCTGTCTCAGAGCCCCCCTACATTTACTGAGCAACCTCTCCTCCCAGTGAAAGGTAACACAGAGCAGTGCAACAATAGGAAAATATAAATAGAAGGCACATTTAGAAACCCATTTGCCTATAAGATAGAGCTAAGTGCCATTATTCTATATAGATCTTGGTTTCTGCAAAATGAGTCTAAGATATAACAGGTCAGAAAACTGGGGATTCACAACCACTTCAAGTACCTTGGGAGCTAAAATTGCTTTGGCTATAGCAATGCAGCCCAAAGAACAAATTCCTTCAAGATTTTCTATTTTGGCCATTCCATTACTTAGAAAGCTGCTGAGATGTTGAGAACAGATGAAAACCTGTGAATAATAGTTACTTCATTTATTTTCTGAACATCCTCTTGCCCCTAAAAGGGGAATGTATGAGGAAAGGAGAGGGAATCACTGTTTAAATGCTTGGTGTGAAGGGTAGATATTATTATCTCTAAGTAAAACTAATAAGGATTTTTAAAAAATCAGAATATCAAAATAAATGGTACACAAATGACAATTAGGCAGTTTAATAAAGCTTGGAATGTCAACACTTTCATCAGTTTTAGAAACTCTAAAATTAAATATTATCTTTATAAATAAAATCAATGGAACATTCTTGAAAGAATACTACTATTTTTAAATAAACTGTAAAGTTAAAAGGAATGCATAGCAGTGCTTTTTCTGGGTAGCGGGAACTCCTCTGACCAGGATTCAAAGTGCTGGAAGACTGCTGATAGCTAACAGACTGCTAGGACCACAGTGTCAATGCATTTTAAACTTTCAGGATTTCTCCTTTCATTCCTCTTTACCTTCCTTCATTATCATCCCATCACCTCCCTGACAAGAAATAAAAGCTTTCAGGTCTGAGTTTTAGTTCCAAGTTTAAAAGCAGATGAACTTAACTCTATTTTTATTTGCATTTTTTCTCTCCGAGTTTGTTATTGTCCTTGTTGTTTGACTTGCCTTGCATTCACCCTGGGGAAAAGCCAGGGTCCTGATTATTTGTATGAGATTGTTCCAGCCTAGATAGCTCTGATCCTGTTTCCCTACTCTCTAAATTTGCTTTCATTGATGAGAGACAAACAGGCCACATCAATAATCATTTACTTGTCATCATCTCTAGGGAAAAAAATTAGATTACAAAGATGAGTAGGGAATGGGGTTATCATATTTTTCTTCCCCAGCTCATTCAAAACGTTGGCCCAACTGACATTTTGGACTGGGCATCTGTTTGCTGTGGGGGCTGTCTTGTGCATTATAGGATGTCTAGTAGCATCCTGGAACTCCACCCACTCGAGGTGAGTAGCAAATTCCCTTCCCCCACCATGGTGACAGCCCAGAATGTCTCCACATATTGTCCACTTGAAGAGGAAGAAAGCCCTTGAATGAGAATCACTGCCACAATTACTGACTTGCAGTAATTTTCGTGGATGGAATTAAGTTTTCTTCTGTTTTAGGAGAAAGAAGTCCAACAAGGAAAAATAGAAGGCATATATTCACAGGTAGAACAGTGAGAGCTCCACCCTTTTCCTTGACATACTCAACCAAGGAGCCCTTAGCTTCTCACCCACGTCCTCCCATGACTCTTGCCAACAAGCTTTAAGATCTCACCTTCCAGACTCTTACCGTTTGAAAGTAGTTTGCATAGTCAATTTCTTTGGCCACAAAACTGTACATGTCAGCTGAAAGCTGGTCCTGTGGAAAGTAAAAGACACAATGAGATAAATATAAAACAAGAGGACAGCTAATGTCTGAGTGTAGATATCACAGAAGAAAGAACCTTATGCATTGCTTAATCTCATTTTAATAATGCTCAATATTAAACATTGCCTATGGGCATTTCCACGTTTCCCTGCCACAGCTGTGGAGAATGCATACGCATGGAGAGAACACCTAAGCCAGGAGCTTCCCAAGGACTTTAACACATGGGCCACATCTAGAGTGAGGAGAGCTGGTGTGGGAGGGGGGTATGCAAATTACTTTCATACATCTCTGGAGGACAGACTATGCCTCTGTTCCCTCCTTCTGCCCTTTGTTCTCTCTGATCATTCTCTTTCTTTATTCTCAACACTGACTGGCTGATCAGAAGCATATGGAAAAGAGATGGAGGCAGACGAATTTACGGAAGTTGGATAGACATGTAAGCAAGGAAAGAATTGCTGATTCAAAAATGTGGAAAAACCTGGACTCATCCAACATCACATGTGAATCTTATAGTGTTAACAGTCCTTCGTCTTTCAGCTCCCAAGGGGATGGGGGTAGGAGCAATGACCATTTAATGCTGCAATTGAACTTGGAATGTGTTCTCCTCTGAAGAGAACAGTATTCATTACCATGGAAACACCCAGAGCAGGATACAGTAAAAGTCATTTTGAGCAAGATGTAGACTGCCAGCAACCATATCTTTGAGCGTACCATGTCTCTGAACTTGCAAGTCCTGTGATCTCTAAAATTCCTCCCAGTTAGGTAGTCTTAGGAAGATCTTCAGAATAGATGCTTGGTTGAGGAGAAGAGAGTCTATAATGTTCTAGATGAGGTGAACATCAGAATAGCACAAGAAAGCTGAGCCTGATGCTAATGGCTCACTGCGAGCAGCTACACGCTTCCGAAAGAGCATGCCTTTTGGGACCTCCAGTGCTCTACACCAAGCCCATAAATCCTCAGCCCCTCCAGTGCTGACTCAGCCTATTTTCAGTCTGTGAAGAGTAATCTGTTTCCTTTTTAATAGGCCAGCAATTATTGGGAATATCATTACAGAGTTCTTGTTCACAAGGCAACAGAACCAAAGCACAGAGTTAAAGGCAATCTGCTCTCTCAAGCACAGATTAGGCAATGTTACTGCTTGGTCTTGTTGCAGAGAATGAAGAAAGAGTATAAGCTTCAGAGAATAAGCATGTAGGCTCCAAGCACAGCATCCCATGGAATTCTCATCTATCAATAACTCTTAGATAAAGTGTTGAATTCTAACTTTGGGTCAGTAGCTATCAAGAGTTCAAGGATCATATATCTGTCCTCCACTATCTCAAAAGTGTTTAGCACAGGTTGATAACTATTTGCTGAAAGAAAAATGGAAGAGGCTCAGCAATGGCTACATTACCTGTGAATAAAAGAGTCTCCAAGACCACCCACCTCAGCTCCCTTTGACCACAACATCCCCAAGTGAATGTCTTTGTAGGACTGACTGCCCGCCCTACTAAAGAGCCAAGTGAAAGGGCTCTGTCAACCTCGTCTGCCACCCACCCCAGCAGCATTACTCAGGAGACATCCATCACTGATTCAGCTGTGGTGAGAGAGACATCTGGAGTGAGGGAAAAACTAAGGGTAGAGTGATAAAAATGACCTGGCAGACAGAGGAAAGGAAGGGTGCCTGGGAGGACTAAGTTCTGCATCAAGCACATCTCCAAAGCCTCCAAATTTGAGCTTGGCCAGCAGGATCTTTAAAAAATCAGGTAGATGAAAGGACATTAAAATACACAATTAAATTACTGTTTTATTTAGTTAACAATACAGATTTCAAATAAGTCACAGTGCATGTAGAAAATAAGAGTGGAAACTGTAAGCTAAATTTCCATCTATCAAAATCATCAGTGAATTTTCTTTGTAAAGAGGAAAAAAAAAAGTTCATCAATAATCACCAGTTTGTATTTAAGAGATTGTTTTCCTATTTTGTAACTATCTTACAATCATAAAAAATAGTCAAATAAACCTGCAATGCATCCAGGAAGAAATAACTATTACCAAGCTGTGATATTTGCTCATTTTGTATCTGCTTAAGTCAGTTGTATGTTTTGTGTCAATGCTTGGTTTACAAAAAAATGGGGGTAGACTGCTTTGTATTTACCTCTAGATAAACTTGCTTAGTAGCAGTCACAAATGTATGTAATGTATGTATGTATGTAAATAAACATGGGATTTAATGTATGGACAGTGTTTCTCATGTTGCTACTGGCTCTAACTTTTCACTATTTTAACAGTACTTGAATAAGCATCTGTTTATAAAGGTGTGTACCCATCTCTTGATAATTTCTTTAAGCTAACTTCTGCAGTTAAAACTAATTCTGATTATATAATTCCTTAGAGCTAAATTTTAAATTATTAGAAACATAATAATGAATTAGAACATTCAGACTTTGGAAATACACTGTCAAATAACCATCAGAAAGACCGCCATTGATAGTACAAGGAGTAATCTGTAAGTGTTTTGTTTGTTGCCCAAAACAACCTTTTAATTCTGCTCAATCATTATCAAATTTAAATAATATGTTCTCTTTTTTTTGAAAAGACTTATTTTACTTATTTGTGCATACAAGAACTGGGGTATAGGCCAGAGGTGTGGGTAGGAGGTGAGAGGATTCACCAGAGACAGAGTAGGGAGCAGAATAGGAGGATTTACCAAAATATACTGCTGAGGGGAGCAGTGGCTAAGAGAGGAGAGGGCTGCTATGCCATTTGGTCTGCTGGCCAAGGATGGAACTCATGCCACAGGGCTGGGTAGTGGATGGCAACAGATTGATAACGCTGAGACTTAGCCCCTGAGCCACCAGGAAAGCCCTAAATAATATGTTCTTAATTTGTAATTTTTTTAAAAGATTTATTTATTTATTTATTTATACAAGCACTGGGTACAGTCAGAAGTGCGGGAGGGTGAGAGATTTCACCAGAGCCAGAGTGGGAAACAGAACAGGCAGACTGAAGATACACTGCTGAGGGGAGCAGTGGGCGGCAGGAGAGATCTGTGCGCCATGTGGGACCCTCGCGGGTGGCCGGGTATCAAACCGGCGCTACAGAGGCTGTGGGCAGCTTCGCAACCCAGCACTCAACCGCTGTGCCACCAGGGAGGCCCTTAATTTGTAATTTTTTAATCATGAAGTTAAGTTTCTTTTAGATTTATTGTCTATGACTACTTTTCCTGAGGCTTCATCTATTTCTAAGATGTGTAAGAACTACTTGAATTGATAAGATCATTGGCTTTATCAAATACTACTAATATTTTCACCAATTTTGCCATGTTTCTTTTATTATACTATTTACAACTACTGTTTTGGTTCTGTACTTTTTAGAGGTTTTTCCACATAGTGGTATTCATTGAATTTTTCTTTTTATGATTTCCTCCTTTGGTGATATGCTTAGGGCTTCTCCACAAACAATGTAAGCACACACATACATATGTTCAATAGAGAATGTAAAATTTTAATATTCAATAAACTTGGAAGTTATTTAGTACTTATATCAGATAAAGAATTTTTTGAAAGCTAACCAAATGTCTCAGAATTGTTTATGAATAGTATAGACTATCAATATGGATTGAAAATGGCACAGATGAAATGTCTCATATTCTTGGGCTTTTTACTTTCTTCTGGTGTGGATCTCTTTCTTCTCCCACTGATCTATTTAGTTTTGAAATCATACCTAAGTTTTAAATACATAACTATAATATTTTAAGGCTCTATAACTCAGTTTCAATAACTCTCCTACATTAACTTTAGAAATCTTACAACCTTTTGAAACATTTACTACAGTTTTATTTACTTATCACAGTTCCAATCAAATTAATTTTGGGAAATTCAAAATTTTATAATATTGATTCTTATCATTAAGGAACATCTCTCAATTTTATTAAGTTTGATTTTTTTCAATAATATTTTATAATTGTCCTGTATTTTATGGTTATAATGGTAGGATTTTATATATTACTATTATGTAAAAAAAAAAAATCCAAGCTATTCATAAATAATGGTCTCTTAAGTACTTTTTAGGATAAAAAGTAGAAGGTCAATTTTTATTAATTTCTCATTAATTAATTTCTCATTTATTAATTTCTCATATAAGGAGCTAAGAATTCACCACTCAATCTAGACAAGAAAAATGCTGAAAAAACTGAAAACTCAAGAACTCTTCTCATTTATATCAAAGAGTTTGTTGACAGGGCAAACCACTGTCTCCAAATTAGGGAAAGTGGTGAATATGAGAATCACAACTTACCCGAACAAAAATCCTTGAGCAGAAATTTCCATGGAAACCAGTACTGGGCAGGAAAACCTAGACTGTCACTGACAAACTGCTGGAGGTTCAGTGTGGAAAGCCTGGGAGATAAAAAGTCCATGAGGACCTATCTGCTGGGAGGTCCCACAGTTTTGTGGGTTTCACCTCCTATATTCCTACCAAGTCCTCACAGTAAATGACAGAGAAAAATTCTCTGCCTGCTTCCAGCAAGGAGACAGAAAAGGACAAAAAATTTTAAAACACTAGAGCCTTCTATTCCTGAGAAGGCATGTCCTCAGGTGAAATTATTTTATTTTTTCAAAGATTTATTTATTTATGCATACAAGAGCTGGGGTGCAGGCCAGAGGTGCAGGGTGGTGAGAGGGTTGACCAGAGACAGAGTGAGGAGAAAAACAGATGAATCTACTGCAATTCACTGCTGGGGGGAGCAGTAGGTGAGACAGGAGAGGTCTGCTGCACCATGTGGGTCAGCTCCCTGCCTGGGGGTTGAACTCATGCTGCAGTGGCTGTGGGATAGCTTCATAGTGCTGAGCCACCAGGCAGGCCTGGAGGAGTTATCAGTCTTACAGATTTGGGGGGAAGGAAAAAAGCTCAATTCTAGCAGGTTTTAGCCTTCTACACAGGGAAAAGAAACAGTCAATTCCAGGATCCTCAAGTCATCCTGTCCTACCTAAAAACAAACAAAACTGAGAAGCTGAAAAAAATAATCCAAGAAGCACTAGTGACATTCACTGTCCAGGGGCACAGGCGCACCAAAGGACCGAGATCTCATCGCAGGACTACAGAACCCTCCCCACCCTCCACATCTCACCACCACATTACTGTGGCCAATATATTTACCATGACATTAAGTCCACTTTTCAACAACAACAACTACAAAAAAAAAAAAAAAAAAAAACTGCAACACACACTAAAAGGTAAAAACACAGATTGAAGAGTGTGAACAAATCTCAGAACCTGAGTCAGAAGTGGCAGGCATGCTGGAATGACCAGACTGGGAATTTAAACAATTTTTCACTAATATGTTAAGGGATTTTATGGAAAAAAGTAGACAGCATGCAAAAACAGATAGATAATGGAAATGGAGAGATGATGATTCTAAGAATGAGTAAAAAGGAAATACTAGAGATGAGAAACACTGTAACATAAATGAAGAATGCCTCTGACAGGTTCAGCAATACAGTGCACAAAGCTAGAAAAGAATCTCTGAGCTTGAGGATCTAACTACAGAAAATTCCACAACTGAAAAGCAAAGACAAGAAAGACTGGAAAAAAGGAGTCAAATATCAAGAAATTGTGGTACAGCTTCAAAAGTTGTAACATGTTCATGTTAAGAAGAAAAAGGTACAAAGGCAATAGTTGAAGTAATAATGACAGAATTTCTCCAAATTGATATATGATACCAAAACCATAAGTCTAGGAAGCTCAGAAAACACAAAGCAAAATAATTGCTAAAAAAAAAACAACAAAGTTAAAGAAAAACTCTTGAAAGAAGCCAGGGAGTAAAAACATCTTACCTATTTACCTATAGAGGAGCAAAGATAAAAACAAATCTGACTTCTCAGAAACCATGCAAGTAAGAGGAGAGAGGAATGAAATGGTTAAAGCATTGAGGGAAAACTTAACAGTCTAGAAATCTGTATTCTGTGAAATTATCCTTCAAAAGTAAAGGAGAACCAAAAATGTATTCAGATGAGTGAAAATTGAGGGAACTGGCTGTCACAGACCGGACAAGTTGAAAGAGGACTTGTAAATATATATTACAAACTCTAGATCATTAAGAAGTTTTTTTAAAAGCTTAATTGAGATACTAGTAAAAGAAAAAATAAAATCATAAACTGTTCAATTAAAATCTCAAAAGGCAGAAAAAGAGTAGAAGACAAAAACAGGCACTAAGAATAAGGGCAATAAATAGAGAACAGTAACAAATAGGGTAGATAGCAACTCAATAATCAATTAAAACTCAATTGTGTATATATAACTCAATATAAACTCAATGGTATATACATATAGCAATTAAGAGACAGAGATTGTCAGAATGGATAAAAATATGAGACTCAGCTCTATATGTCTCCCAGGAGGCAAAGTATTCATGAAGCTGAGTCCCAGGGCAAGTTAGGGTTCAAAGGATTCATTAGGCAGCTTCAGGGACAGTGTAGGCAGGGACTTTGGGAGAATTAAAGAGGCTTCTGAGATAAGGACAGTAAATTCTAAGAGGTGCTAAGCAAAACATACTCCAGAAATGAGGTCAGAAAGTCCAGGAGAACTAAACAAAAACAGTAAAACTTGAGAGAATAAGACCTTGGACAGGGGAGGTAAACTCTAAGATAAGAGAGAAAAGGTTTAAATACCCCTAGACATGGGCCCACAACGGCTTGCTTGCCCCTCCCAAGTACAGCATACCTGGGAGTCCTTACTTTCTTCCTTTAAATAGTTTTCTTTACTTTACATTTGTTTCTCTCAGCTTACTTATCTAAAATGTCTGCAAATTCCTTTTTACAGCTTAATGGGACAAGAACCTGTGGTGATTCAACAGCTAAATTAACAGCACACACCGGCGTCAAAGCGACTCAAGAAAATACCAAAAGGCAAACTAGAAGATAATATCAACAGAGAGCAAGGCTACTTTATGGTCAAAATTCTCAACTCCTCTGTGCAGCCTCTGTGCCGAGCATGCAGGAACACCAACTCTAACCTACAGCTACCCCCATCTAGGTCACTGTCAAAGGCCCAAATCTTAGAGCTCATGCTGGATCCAAGAGATGCCAGAGTCAAACTTGGGAACATTTAGGTCAATGTCTAGAGGCTCACTGTGTGGGCTTTAACAGAACTTCAGTGAACAAAAAGGAACTCCCTGAGGGTTCCTGGTCTACCCAGGTAGAGAAAAGCAAGGACATGGGGTACCCTGCAAATCTCCACTCTGTTGGCAGCCTCCTCCATCTCCTCCCTGAGGGCGTCGGCTTTGGCACCCGCAGGCTGTAAACTGCTGGACAAACCCGAAGACTTGGAAGTCTGCTGCCACCTGATGGAAAACAGGAGAAAAGAGGAGAAGCATGAGACAGAGTCCTGGGGAAACTGGTTACCGAGGAAACTGCCGGTTACATATATTATCCAGAGAGCAACATACCCTCAAAAAGAGAGCAGATGGAAAGGTCCCAAGTACTGAACCAGGAGAACTGTTCACACAGCTGTCCTTGACAGACACTGGGGACCCATTGTCCCTTCGAGGATCATATCCCCCAGTTTCCCACTATTGTCCTTGTCTTCTGAACTTTAAGGCCCAATGTCACCACCACTGCTTTCTCTGAAGTATAGTCTGAGTGATTCCTTTAAGTCCCCTGCCTATCTTGTGGACATTGGAGTTTAGAAATATTCCCCTACTTGCTGAAGCCAATCATGCATGCCAGGTGTGAGGGCAAGTGGGTAAAATGAAAACAAATCTGAAGCAAACACGTCTACTATAAGCACAAAACAACTTCCTAACAACATCCAGACACCTCTGTTATTTTCTTAAATGTTTCTCTTTGTGTGGGGAATACTGGCCTTCTGAGGAAGCCACCTGAGAAACTTTTATGGGCAAGTACAAATATTTCTGGCTGCTATGCCATCATGGGGACTTACAAAAAGCAGGCCCTGAATGGTTCCGATTACACTAGATAGTTGTAGCTGTAGGAGGGAAGAGAGTGGGTTCCTCTTCCGTTAAGTCTGTAAATTCCATGGTTTACAGGGCCCAGTAAGTGCAAAAAAATAAGTCAAATGAGTCATTAACTTAAAAGCTAGTCCAATATGTCCTTTATTTCTGACTTGTAGTAGGATCATGAGATATTAACTATTTCTGGATGATCAGGTGAAAGTGCAGGAGAGACCTGGCTGCAGCCTCAGAAGGCTCCTGGAAGGAGAGTGTCTCACCTGGAGGGCAGCTACTTTTCCTTGGGGGCTGATGCAGCCCAGGCTGAAGGTGGGCCTTGGGTTGCCAGGTGTCTCAACTGACAACCTAGAAGCTGCTGTGTGAAAATTCCTGATGACATGTGGCAAGGGATTAAGTAATTTCTCTTAAACAGCATTCAGGCCAGTAGTGCACTGAGTGGTCCAGACAGCTGTGTGTGTGCTCGCTGGCTTGAACATACCATGTCACACTCATTTTCAGAATCAAGAAAAGAATCACTAGCTCTTTCTCTCACAGTTTTTCTTTCCTCTCTTGTAATGTGTGGGAAAAACAGCTGCATGCAGGATTCTGTGATAGAAAAGAGGGAGAATCAAGTCCTTTGCTATTAGCAAAAAAGTAGCAAAATAAAGAATTCTCTGTCACTGAAAAAAAAGTGGGAAAATTACTTTAAAAGGCTTTGGGACAGCAAACTAGCTTGAAGCTCCAGAGATGGGCACACACCCTGGGAGAGTCCCAAGTCCAAAACAAATGAGAAAGGTGGTATTCTATTCAAAAATGCTAAAAATTTAAGCTAACAGGTAAGGATTAGTAAAAACTCCTGAGCAATTCTTTCTCATATTGGTTTGTCCCACAGAATTGATATATTTAATAATTACTTCCCAAGTCAAGCGATTCTAAATAAAGCATTAAAGTGTAATTTTTTTTTTTATTTTGTGAAAATATGAGATGACTCAGATAATGTATATACCCACAATGTAGACTATGGGATCAAGTCATAACCACCATCTGATTCATGTTCTCTGAAAAACAAACAACTAACCAAATATATAAGTGTAAAAAAATTAAGTTACCATAAACACTAAGCTGATTTTTATGGTTTTATAGGTTTTGATTATAATTTTTAACCTGAATTGCACTTAATGTATATATATTAAAACAAAGACACTCTCCCATGTTGTCTTTCTTTTCCCTTCTAGTTCCCTTAACTTTTTTTTTTTTAAAGATTTATTTATTTGTTTATTTATTTATTTATTTATACAAGCACTGGGTACAGTCAGAAGCGCAGAAGGGTGAGAGAATTCACCAGAGCCAAAGCAGGGAACAGAACAGGCAGACTGATGAAACACACTGCTGAGGGGAGCAGCGGGCACAGCAGGAGAGGTCTGAGCGCCATGTGGGACCCTCACCGGTGGCCGGGGATCAAACTGGCACTGCGGAGGCTGCGGGCAGCCTCGCAGCCCAGTGCTCAACTGCTGCGCCACTGGGGAGGCCCCTATTCCCTTTAACTTATCCCCTAAATTTTGTTCTGCAGTATGTATCTCAGTGGTGTAAAAACAGACACCTTTCCCCTACCTTTATAGGGAATTTTATTTGTAATATATAAACAACCTATTTGATATAATGAAATAATGACAAGATGCTCTAAAAACGTCCCTATGTAGAAACTGAATAACAAAATATCAAGAGAAATCTGGAAATTTTTGTATAGGTTGGGAAAGTAAGATTTAACATGGTATCCATTTCAGGGCATGGCCATCTTCTTGGGCACCTGTTCTACAAAATTTAACAACTCTCCTGCTCTGTCAAGACAAGAAATGGGGAATCTTATCCAATAAGAGTTTGAGTTTTGAAATTCAAAGAGCAAATAGTTCATTTCTTCTCACTAAAGTAGCTGATGTTACACACCATTCTCTGGGAATGATGTGATCAGTCATTCTATGATCTGGGGGTATAAAACTTCTGGGACTAGGAAAAAAGATAAAGAAGGCAAATGAAAGATCAGTGCAGGGCAAAAGGAAGTCCAAAGGAAGCATTTCTGGGGGCAAACAGGAAGTTTTCTTTAGTGGATATTTATTGCTTCATCTGTGCAGTCTTCTTCTTCTGTCATCAGCTTCTCTACTCTCTGAGGTCCTGCCCCACTCCTGGCCAAAAGGAGCTGCCATTTTTGTGTTGCCCTCTCAATGAGTGGCTTAGGTGAGTGGCCCTGATGCAAGTCAAGCTTGTGACTATCCTTCACAAGGCAACTGACAGGCCAAGGAAGTGAGTGTATAAGCAAATTCCAAATGTATGGAGTACTTCCTTTGAACGTTTGGAGTTGGAACAAAAGGAAGAAAGCTCACACTACAGATTCATAAGCCCAAGGGACATCCAGTAACGATGGAGACAATGGATCTAAGATGCTTGCATGTGGAGAAGTGGAGATGAGGAGCAGTTCCTGAGGGCAATGAGATCCTGCTGGCAGTGCCAAAGGACCTCAAAACTGCCACAGCTCCAGAATTCTACTTCTAGTTGTCCATTTCTTCTCCTTTAACTCCTTGAACTTCCCAGTATCTTCCCCCAAACTCTCCTGTTTTACTTATATTAATTGACTTGTTTCCAAAGAAGGTAAGTGATCTTAGTCTGCTTGGGCTGCCAAGCAAAATGCCATAGCAAAAAACCAAATGAGTGATTGAAACAGCAGACATTTATTTTCTCATATTTCTGGAAGCTAGAAAGTCCAAGATCAAGATTGTATTAGGATTTGGGTTCTGGAGAAGACTCTCTTTCTAGCTTGCAGATAACCACTTTCTTGTTCTACCCTCACTTTGTGTTTCCCCTGACTGCATGCAGAAGAGAAAGACCACTCTTCTTCTAAACCATCAACCCTGCTGGAATAGAGACCTACCATGAAGTCCTGATATAACCTTAATTAGTTCTTAAAGGCTCCACCTCCAAATACAGGCACACTAGGGATAAGGGTTTCAACACAAGAATTGGGCGAGAGGGAACACACAAGTCTGTTCACAGCAGATCCCAGCGGCAGCTATTCATCAAAAACATAAAGTAAGCTGACCTTGAGATACATGCCCCAAAAAAGACAAGGCCAACTTTGCAAAGGAATGGGCTCCATTTTTACAAAACACTGTTAACCAGATCTATCACAGGAAAGATGTTTTTCTATTATTCATATTCAATTAAATTCATAATTTTAATTCCAGCATAAAGCTTGCTTGAGCTTACCTCCATCCTTTCCATCTATAATCTTTTAGTCTTCTCTAAGTTTAGTCTTTGAAGTTATTAAGGTTTATAGAATTGGCTTTTGTAGCAGACAAGCCAGATCAACTCAAATTGTGACAAATGTACACTTTGGTTTTAGAGCTAATTAAACATTGGCTAAATTAGTTGGATTTGACAATATCTACCAGAGTTGTGGTTGAAATCTAGGATCCAGGCATAGAACTATTGATTTAGATGTGCTGAAAGATATAAAAAGATCCTGCATTTCTTAAAAGGCAGAGCATGTTTTTACCTGGAATACACTGTTGAGTCCGGGTAGTGTAGTTCACAAAGGACAGAACAGAAATAAAAGAAAGATCTGGTGATCAGAAGCAGGATGCAGGAAAAAAAAGAACCTAACTTTTCCCTATTACAGTATTTGGTCTACTCTCACTGCTGTGTCTTGGGATGTAGTCTTCATGCTGGTTGAAAATGAAGGGTTAAGGGAAAGGCAAGAATGTGAGGTGGTTGGCTGTTTCTCATAGCTTCCAGCACAGAGCCCAGAGGCAACACTGGAGATTCATACCCATACGGGGGTATCTTGCTCCTACAGAACAAACTCAGGCTGCAAATGGCTAATCTGAAAGCAAAGTGGGAAGAAAGAGGACACCTTTGCTAAAAGTCCCCTCTCACCTCTAGCCCATAACCTCCACTGATGGAAAATCCATACAACTTGAGGACTTGGGTTAGATCCTTCACCATGGTCACTACAGCGGAGACCTGAAGGGAATTTAACCAGGTTTTTGAAGAGCTGTCCTGCCAATAATCTCTCCAAAGCAACCCTCAACCTCCAAACTCACAACTACAGAGTGGGCTATGTGAAAAGGAAAAGCACCAATATGATAAAGAAGATGGGTGAGGTTTATGAAGATAAACTAAGGAATTTTTTTTTTTTTTTTTGGTCTTAAGCGATTGTAAAGATTGTAAAGAGTCATTGTAAAGCCTACAATGTGTCAATCAATGACACTTCCCTTAGGATTCAGAATCTCCACACCACTTGGTGTCACCATTCAAAACCTAACACAAGACTAGCCTGACCATGGCTGTCCCCCAGAAGTAACTCTCCTTCTCATAATAATGAATAAACATGTGTAAATGGAAACAGCAAGGGCATGCTTTGATGCTAGCAGTTAGCCCTCTGCCCAGAAGCTCTGTGCTGGAAATTAGAATTTTCCTAACAGAAGCAAAGATCAGATCTCAGAGCCAAGAACCAAGACCTTCACAGAAGGAGATCACGCTGTACCCCGGGGGCTAGGTGTCCACCATCATCCCACAGACAGAGTTTCTTCAGTCATCCCAGGGGACTCCAGAATTAGGGGCTTGACCACTGGGGTGATAGGAGGCAATTTTACACGAGACAAGGACACGGAAGGAAGTGATACCAAATCAATACTCCCCACGCAATCTGGCCTCTGTCCCTCCAAGTACGCCACAGGGGTCGAAGATCTGGGTCAGAATAACTTGAACAACTTTCCATCTTCTCCTCCTGCTTTTTTGCAAAAGGAGACAAGCCTCAGGGTCACAGCCTTCTGTAGGCAATGGGATCTAAAATTTAATAACATTGGTTTTGCTTTCATGCGCTTCACTTTTGTTTACTTGATATTTGGAGCAAAGGGCGCTGCTTTACAAGTATGGCGTTGCTATAAAAGTTTTTTTATTTTTCTCTTTGTAGAGCTAACATTGGTTTACAACATATATGATTTAGGGGAATAGGCTCACACCTCATCAGATTTATGTTACTACACCACCCCCACCATCAAAGTTTGGTCAGGTCGGTTTTTTCCCCCTCTATATTCCACATGTTTAATGACATCACCCAGTATTTGTTTTTCTCCTTCTGACTTATTTCACTTAGTATAATCCCCTCCAGTTCCATCCATGTTGCAAATGGCAAGAGTTCATCTTTTTTAGAATTTGAGTAGTATTTCACTGTGTATATATACCACATCTTGATCCACTGATCTCAACCTCCTCAAATCAACCTACAAATGATGTTACTACCTGTGTACAGGTGAGGACACTGCTATTCTAGGCAGTGGGTGACTGGACTAGGGTCACAGGAATAGAGAATAGATGATGTAGATCACACTACCTCATTTCTGACTCCTGGTTCAGCACTCTATTCTATGTCCCTACATTTTTGTTTGTTTTTAATTTCTGCTCCCACTATACTCCCCTCCTTTCTTCTGCCCTAGCCACACTGGCCTTCATTCTAACCTTGAATTCAGCATCTTTTTCCTACCTCAGGACCTTCGCATTTGCTATTCCCACTATTGTGGACAGTTTTATATCAGATGACTTTACATGACTACCTCTTTCTCATCATTTATGTTTCAGATGAAATATCATCTCAAAAAACCTTTTCTTCACACTTCCAGTGATAAAAGTCAGGCAGTCATGGCAAGGTAATGTACAGGATGTACCTGCAGTCTGTAACACTGGATTGCATGTTTGAAAGTTGCTAAGAGAGTAGATCTTAAAGTCCTCAACACAAAGACATTTTTGTAACTACATATAGGGACAGATAGTGACTAGATTTATTGTGATGATCACGTGGCAATACACACAAATACTGAAATATGATGTTGTACACCTGAGACTAATATAATGATATATGTCAATTATATCCCAATTAAGAAAAAGGCTTTCTCTGTGTTACCCAACCCAGTGCTGTTGCCACCTTTCTCCACCCTCCCTCCCCTTCCAAAATTGCCCTGTGTTACCTTCTTTTACGACTATGGCTGCCTGGAATTTTCCTGTTTGTTCACTTGCCTAGAGTCTATCTCCAGAACTAGAATACAGCTTCCAAGAAAGCAGGGACCCCGGGTCTCTGGCTTACCCTTCTGGCACACAGAGGGTGGTAAGAAAAACTTGGTGACTGAAAACATTCACACATGCACACACAACCACACACAAAACTCTACCCCCAATTATGATCATTGCTGCTTCCAAGAAGCAAAACATAAAGGAATTACCGTACCTTGTTCGTGAAGAATCCATGTCCAGCACCAACTTTGCTAAATGTTTCCTCTGTTTTTGAATATTTGGGATTTCTACCTGTTGTTACAGGAGAAAAAAGACACAGGTGAGTTGAAGCTTAAGATAAATTCTTACAGAACTACTAACAAGTTTGCTAGAGGTCCCCTAGTTCTATTTTCAGATGAAATTCTTGATTCCTTTTCCTGCATTAACTCTGTTCTTTCTTTACTGAGCTTCTGCCAGTTCCTCCACCAGTCCAGACCCTCTCAGGATTTAGTCCTCCCTGATCACAAAGACCCAGCTCATGCCTAGTCTCACTCCAGAAAACAGGGGCTCTCTACGGAACACACAGGAGCCCAAAGTTAGGAGAAATGCTGGGAGTTGAGCAGTTAAGAGCTGACACAGGGACCTAATTCAAAACAAATCACAGAAAGACAAAGAGCACTGGTCTCAGGAGATCTGAGATTCTATGGGTAATGCAATTAGGAAATATTTTTATAGAAACAAAAGTTTTTTTTTCCCCAAGTAAATAATGAATAAACATCACTACGGCTTTTCTCAGTCACAAGAAATTCATCCATAGTGGTTGTATATAGATGTTCTTTTTATACTTTTATTTCTAAAAATGACTTAACATTCCAGTGCAGGATTTTGGTTCCTGGCCCAGCAAAAGTGGGGCAGGATGTGAGAATTTTAAAGGAAAATTGGTCATAAATTGAACCAAAGTCATCTCAGGCTGCAACTTTTATAGAGAGAAAAAATTGTGAGGATGATCCAATGTTCTGTGAAATGCTTTCTGTTCACTCTTCTGAGCAAGGTGCAGAGTTCCTATCAATAGGAAGGAGAGGGATGACAGTTCCTGGTGTCCTGGCATGATCATAGAGCCCAGAGGCCACACCAGCATATCACGTGGGAGCATCTTGCTCCTACAAGCCAGTCTCAGCAACCCAAGTCTCTAGACTTGCCCCTTGGGTTTGCTTCTAGCTTTGGCTGGAACCCTAGGTCCCCTTTATGAAGAACAGATGGTCACTCATCCATGCTTTAAGCTGGGCTATGACCTGGTATGGCATCTGAGAAGTCTAGACTGATCTACGCCAAACACCATATCTAGAATATTCTCCTTGAATATGTTTAGGCACATTGGTAATTATTTATCCATATACTTGTCCTAGAAATAGCACAGGGGATGTGCAGGTGCTGAGGGTGGGCGAAAAGGAAACCAGACATGGTCTAGGGCAATAAGGTAGACTTGAGCCATTTGGCTATGCCACGTTCAGTTCCTATGCACAAAAAGGAAATAAAATAAAAAATTCTCTTCCTCAGTTGCACTAACTATAGAGTTCAATAGCCTCAGGTAGCTACCGGCTACCAGACTACAAGTAGAATATTTCTATTATGGCAGGGAGTTCTATGGGAAGTGCTGGTTAGATTTAGCATGAAGGAGATCTAGAATTCAGGGCAGATATAGCTCCCCAATCATTTCTGTTCTCATTTTTGAGATTTAACTCGGTTAACGCTAACAAAATCAACACATAGACATTCAGATTTATCATTTTCACTAGTGCTCTTTAAAGTCTAAGAGGATGAACCTATATATAAACATGAACTTCAAGGGCTTCTCAGAGTCTTTCGGACACAAGTCCCCCCATTCCTCATGAGGAAGGGCCACTGTTCATTTTACTGAAGACTTGAGACAGGTAGAAGGCAGAGGTGGAGGCTGCGGTGGGACTCTGGTGGGAAAGGAGGCATTGCTGAGAGCTTTGTCTCTCCAGCCTCTGAAACGCCAACAAGTGAGGGTGGAAGACGAGGGTAAAACTGAAAAGAGCATAAAACTGAAAGTGCTGTTAAATAGGATAGTCTTGACCATGAAGTTGGACAGTAAAAATCCCTAAAGAAAAACAGAGTCACAGAGTCGAGGGAAGGACAGAAACAATAACACAAGTGGAAGTAGAATGACTAAATGACTGTCCTGTCCTTCCCATCCTGTTCACTTAGGCCTTGCCTCATTTCTAGTCCTTACCTCAGCCAGCAAAAACAGGGGCTCAATCACATCTCTCTCGACTTGGAGTTCAAAATGAATCAGCTCCTGGGCTAGCTTGTCCTCCGTCTCTCCACAAAGTTTCAGCATCTTCCTAAAACAGAAGAAGAAAAAGCCACACTGAGTACCCTGGCAAGAAGGATGTCACCAGTCTTGCTTTCATCACCTCCTGGCTGGGCAAACTTTCACGAGACAGTATTAAAGTGGTTGTTTCTAGAATATCCCATTGACCAATTTGTTGCATTCCTTTTCATTTCTGAAATTACAATTTTAAATGATGCTGAACACGTACTGTGTGCTGGGGTAAAAGGGACATGTGGAGAAACAGAAAAGATATGTGAACAGTCTCACACATGCTAAGTCCTAAGCACCAGCCAGGTGCTTCCAGCTCCTCTCTAAGCACTGGAGGAACTGGCTACTACCAATACATATCAATCCAATCTCTTCAAACACACACAAGGAACTATTTCAATAGTCTCTAATAGGATGAAAACGCTTTCTCCTAAGTCAGAAAAACTTATTTAACACATGATGAGTAGTTAATTATCCATAAAAAGTTGGAAAGGAAAAAACATTCCAATAGTTTATTAGTAGCAATCAAATAAAAGACCTAAATGAGTAGAAAGTCATGCCATAGTCCTAGATGAGAGGCTATAATATTTCAAAAATACTCATTTCCTCTGAACAGTATATATGCAGTTCATACGTCATACATCCCCACCTTTGCATGGTTCCATGGTAAACTGAAACTCACATAAAAAGTTTCACAAACCAATGAAAGTATGAGAGGAGTTAGCTGTTATTCTACAGTTAGTATGTACCTTTCCTGCCCATATTTTTTATACTTTTACTGTATACAATTGTGCTCACATACATATGTATAATATTGCTGCTTCACCTAGTTAACAAGTTTATATTAATTATTTCACCCTGCACCTAGCCTTCTATTGCACCCCTTTAAATTTATCATTATCTTTGGGGCTCATTCATCTTGCTACATGCAAAATTAGATCACTCAGCTATATAGAATTCCATTCTATGAATAGACCACCATTTATCAAGCCTCCCCCTAGTCAATAATTTTTAGCTATTACATGCAGTGCTGCAGTACATATGCTTACACTATCTTTTTTTTTTTGCACATGTGAAATTTTTCTGTGCAAAGCAGAGAAGCCATAAATTCCTTAACCTTGGGAGATATTCCCAAATTGCTTTTTAAATGATTATACCACTTTCACTTATTAGCACATATGAGAGTTCCCATTGTTCTATACACAGGTGTTTTAATTTTTTGCCAATTTGGTAGATACAAAATATCATCTAATTCTAGTTTTAATTTGTATTCCTTAACTACAGTGAAGCTGAATATCTTTTCACACTTGGAGCACTTCTTCCATGAAGTGCCTACTCATATTCTTTGGCTATTTTTGTATTGAGATCTATTTATATGAATTTATTTGTAGGAGTTCTTTATATATTTGGACATATGTGTGTGGATATGGAGTGGGCTCAATTTTTCTCCATATCTTCCGTAAATGTCAAGTCCCAGATTATGGGTTCATCTTTGCACCTTTTTAATGTGTCTTTTATTTGCTTCTGCTACCAGCTACATATTTCTAATGGTGCATTTTAATTTTAAAAATAATTTTAGGCATTAGCAATTGACTCTCAACTGTGCAAATGGAAAAGTAACTACCTTTATATTTCCCTCCCAGTCACTCATTTGTATGGGTAGATCTTTAGTATTTACACTTATTTTGACTCAGAGTTAAACTGGGTAGAGTGTTATCATGATTATTGGCCTTTCCTATTTATTTGTTCTCTCTGGAATTAATAACTGCCTTGTTTGGGCTTGTTTGTTTAGTTTTCTGTGGGTCTGATTGAACACAAAACCTCTGTCACTTTTCTAATTTGTCTAAGACAGTGAATGGCACTTGCTATAAATGAGTTCAATCTTCTTGAATTAGTCTCTCCTGGACCTGTGCCAATCTGGAATAAGCTTTCCTTCTACCCCCAGCACAGCTGCCTTCCTGCAACTTTCCTTCACTGTTTCTTGGAATTCTCTCTCCTGACATGGGTTGGAGGTCCAATTCCCTGTATCATGCTACCTCTCTTGGTTCCTCACCAATGTGCTTACTGTACTTTAGCTTCCTTAGAAAGAGGGTGTGGGAAGCCTATATCTGAGTTCTTGGGTGTCATAACATCCTCTAATCCCTTCATGTTGACAGATATGCTGGGTATCAAATTCTATGCTAAGAATCCTATTTCTTCTGAATTTTGAAAGCACTACTCAGTAATCTTCAAGTTGTCATTATTGTTTTTGGCAAGTATAGAAGCATTCAGATTTCTCATCCTTTTTTTATAGAGGTATGGGTAAGAGATGGGTTGAGTGATCCAAGTGGGACCTGACTAGCTTTCAACTCATATTTGTGATTTTAATAACCACATAACTCTCAAAGACTCACTATTCCAGAGATCCTTGGTGCTGTCAATTCTTGAGCCTTGTTAGCATTTCATGGTGTGACTCATGTTAGCTCTCTGCTTTATATTACTTCTGGCTTGGGAGACGGCTTTCTGGGACTTGAGAAGTCAGTTCCCAGTCAATCATAGGTTTTACAGATCACAGAATTTTGTTGCTGTTCTCTCTTCATTCCTGTTTTTCCTGTCTTTGTGGGTTTATGCCTTTTAAGAAAAAAATCCTTTTATTATAGTGGATTTTGGAAGGGAACATGATTACATGTGTGTGTTCAGCCTGTCATCTTCACCTGGGTGTCTTCCTTCTCATTTCTTTCAACCTTACTGTGTCATTATATTTCAGGTTTTTAGAAATGGCATACAACAGGCTTTCATGTTTGTCTACCCAAGACTCTCAGCTTATTCCATTAACATCTCATGATTACATAATCATATGCAGTAATTGCTATTACCTTCATTTTCTATTAAGCTTTTTAAGCTTTTCTTGGTTTAATTTTTTTCTCTTTCAGTGCCTTCTATGTTTTTTTTTTTCCTATTTCATTCATTTTCCTTTCTTCCTTTTACCAGTTTTGAAATTATACACTGTATCTATTCTTTTTTGTGGTTACCCTTACTTTCTTAAAATGCACACTTTCCCTTAACTTTAAATGGAATTACTTTATTCTCTTTTTAAAATATACAAGAGCTAGAAATGATTCTGGTTCCAATGTTACATGTTAAATTTTCTAGTACTTTCATATCATTGTGCTTTAACCACCCCCCAAATTAATCATTATTATACTGCTACTTTTAAATTCAAAATTTATTTATATTTCCTTAGACTGAAGGGTAGTAGAATATGCCACTCCCCAAAAATGCCACTTTAGCATAAGGATTATTTTGAGCTGACGGCAAATGAAAAGAAGTAGATGCAAGAAAATCTCTCTGGTCGCCCCTATTTGATTAAAAGCAGGACATACATCTGTAAGGGTTCCTCTTCCTTTACAGAAATTAAGCAGAGACGACTAGAGCCCCTCATGTGTCAAGGGAGGGCTGCAGAGGAATCACAAACCTTACTAACTGACCTTGTCTTCTAGGAGTTTGCCCATATATTTGCCTACCTACAATAAAATTTGCTGGCTTGGAAACTCAAATTTCATTTCCTCTGTCTAGTCACTTATTCTTTTGTTAAAAAAAAGCCAGGTAAGCCCAAATTCTGGTCACCCCTTCCAGTTACTCATCACTGAGTTCTCCCACAAATAACTGCATATGTTAACAAAAAAGTGTATGCCTTTGTTTTGTTAATCTGTCTTTTGTGTATTTAATCTGTTTTTTGTCTTTTCGGTATCCCAGTCCAAGAACCTAAAATGGATAGAGAGGAAAGAAATTTGTTTGGACACCTCACTCACTAATCTTTCAAGCTACCTTGCTACTTGTATTCTATTTTATTCTATTCTATTCTATTTTTCTTTTCAAGAACTATGAGTAGCTGATGATGTAATCACTTTTATCATCCATGTTTCTGGATTTAATGTCTACATCCTTAACTCTTGCAATTCATTCTGTTCATTCCAGGTAGTGACTTCAAATCTGTTTTCAAGTACACTGACTCTGTTTGCGTGCAAATTCTAGTTTATCTCAACTGAATTTAAATTTCTTTTTTAATAATTAAAAAAAATTAAAGTCCTATTTGGTTTCTCTTTGATTCTGCCCATTTTTTATACATTGTTTGATTTTTTTTTTTTTTTTTTGGTCAAGGCTATTTTGGTTCTTATTTAATTTTTAAATTACATTTAAAAATATTTATATTGTCTTTCAGGTTGTTCTATTATTTTCAGTTCCTAGGGTACTAATTCTCCTACTGATTGTGCCTGCTGGTTCCCTCTCATGGCAATTCTATATTTAGTCTGTTTTTATTATGAGCTCAAAGTCAGCAGGGGTTGTTCTTCTGGAAATCCCATAAGTTCTGACATCTGACATTGAGAGGTTTCATATTTGCTTCTGCTGGAGCCCTAGGGAACTTAATTGTCCTTCAACAGTTTTATGGTAATTTCTCCACTTGGGAATTGCCTTGCTGAACAGACATTATGACTTCTGATTTCTAACTAGCAAGCAACCTTTTCTTCTTCTCCACTTCACCCCAGTCACCAGCCAGACTTCAGGGGTCCTCAGTGCTTCCCTGAGCAGTTCGAAACCTCTTTTTAAGGATGAGGATTTACCTAGATCTGTCACAAACCCATGCCTGGTGTGACCTTACCCGAGAAGCGTGTCATCTCCCAGGATAGCTGACCCTTCCATCAAACACTGAGCCAGTGTTGTCAAAGGCAATTTTTTCTGAAAAGAGGAAAAGTATCGCAATGAAAATTACTTCAAGGGTCATCTACTTACTCTAAAATAGCAAAAAGTCAAGTATTTGCCTAGATACTCTATTAACAAAAAAACAAACTCACTTTCAAATATGCTTAAAGTCTACAAATTCACAGGATACAATGATAGGTTATACTCAGAGATGTCAAAATTCAGCAAGTTAAAACAATTAAATTTGCCAATATGGAAAATAAGCCTAGATTTACATTCTGCATTTTAAAATAAAATGGAAAAGCAGCAAAGACAAAAAGGTAAGATTTCAAAATTACATTAACAAAGATTTGAACAGTGTTTTAATTTCCAAAAACCAATGCCCTTGCCGAAGAAGTATCACTGAGGGGTGATATTTAAGACACGACCAGAAGCAAGAGAAAGAGTCAGCCATGTCCCACTCTGTAAACAAGGGAGGTTAGCATCAGGAAAGAGAAGTGTGTCCACATACAATTTAGCAAGATAGAGAAAGTAAGCATCAAAGTGAAGGGACATGGCAAAGAAAATATACAAATAGACAACAAGCACATGAAAGGATGCTTCACATGACTAGTCACTAGGGAAATTCAAAGTCACACACACCAGGATGGCTATAATGATATTAATAACTTTTTTAAAAAACAGAAAATGAGTATGTGTGCACATGTGGAGAAATGGGAGCCTTCATGCATTGCTGGTAGAAATGTAAAATGGTGCAGGGCTGTGGAAATGTTTGGTGGTATTTCAGTAAATTAAAATTACCACCACATGGCTCAGCAATTCCATTCTTGGGTGTACACTCAAAATAACAGAAAACGGATGGCCAAGTGAAAATGTGCATGAATGGGAATGGAGCATTAATGACTAAGAGCCAAAAGGTGGAAACCGTTGAAATGTCCCTCAATCAATGGATTAAGCACAATGTGGTATGTCCATACAAATGGATATAATTCAACCACAGAAAGGAATGAAGTCCTGATGCAATCTACAACATGGGTGAATTGAAAATGCAGTGCTTAGTGAAATAAGTCAGGCACAAAAGAGCATATGTGGTGTGATTCTATTTACAAGAAATGTCCAGAGAAAGCAAATCCATGTAGGCAGATTAATGGTTGCTGGGAGATGGGAGAAGGAGAAAATGGGGAGTGGTGGCTTAATGGACATGTGGTTTCCTTTTGGGATGATGAAAATGTTCTAGAACTCAGTGGTGATGATAGTTGTACAACACTGTGAGTGTACTAAATGTCACTGACTTGCATACTTTTAAACAGTTAAAATGGAAAATTCTGTGTTATATATTGAATACATAGGAAGGCAGCCAGGAGAAAGGGAAGGAAGGCCAGAAGGAGGGAGGATGCTGCTACGAGTGAGCCATGGCTCATTCCCTCCTTCCTGACAAGTACTGACAAGCCCTCTCCTCACTGGGCTAGACCATCCGGCACATGGTGAAAATAACAAGGTGAAAACGGCTAGCATATCCTTAGGTCTTTCGGTCCACACTGCCGCACAGATAGTTATTTGAATGGGAAGTCACCAAACTACATCCAGTCAAGTCTCCTGCATCATTACATGAAGAGGTTTGGCTATAATGCACTTATTAGTCCTGCATTTATGGACTGCCTGCCCAGGCACTACAGCAGTGATGAATGAGACTAGATACTGTTCTCATGGAACTTATATTCTAGTTCAGGAAGACATAAACAGACACTATGAAAGAGCTTACTTCAAATAGATGGAAGATCTGTGGACAACAGAAAGCAGGATGATGAGCAGAGTAGGCCGAGGTGGGGTATGGAGCAAAGGGAAGGGATGGCCTCTCAGAGAGGTGATATTTAAGCAAGAGAATAAGTCAACCATGTCTCAAGATTTGAGAAAGAACATCCCAGGCAAAATCAACTGTAAGTGCAAAGGTCCTGTGGTAGGAACTAACAAGGCCAGCTCCAGGTTCCAAGGAGGCCAATGTGGCTGCAGCACAGTGAGTGGCAGGGAGAGTGGTGGGAGAAGAATACAGATCAGTTCCTTGCAGCCAGCAGCAGACACAGGGAGTGTATTCTAAGGGCATCTGCAGGCCACTGAAGGGCTTATTTAAGAGCATGACCACATTAAATGGGATCACTTGCAGAGGGGGGAGGCAGATAAGGTGCAGATAGGGTTTTAGAGCTTCATCCACTAGAATTTAAGAATCTGGTTTGAACAGAGCCCTGTGTGCTCTAAGGTATTTCCAGGGAAGACCTTGAATGATATAGAATGGAAGTACAGGTGGTTCCCAGATAAGTCCAGGTGGAAAGAGCCCAAAACACCTGTGTGGGTAAGGTCTCCAGAGGTCAAAAATCTAGCCCCTTCCTGCCCTTAGTCATGCCCACTCCATGAGAGTCAGATGACTTTCATTCAGGGGTAACTTCCCACTCCATTTAAAAAGAATGAAATATTCTTCTCCGTAAAAACTAGACTAGGAAAGTCAGTATTAAAACATCCAAATCTAAACACTTTCTAGTTGTTCTACAAAGCTATTAGGTACAGGATTCCAGGCACTTAATTAAAGGCACAAGATACAATATCTTCCTCCCACATTACCATTAAAAAAAAAGTTAAAGAATATTTTTTTAAATTGTCGAATATGGTTAAAAAATAAATTATTGAGCAGCTATAATATTTATTATCTTCACAAAGAGGTGATTTTGTCCCTTTAAGACATCTGGCAAATTCTTCAGATGATTTTGTCTGTCACAGCATGGAAAACAATACTGGCATTTAGTTGGCAGAGTCCAGGGATAGTGCTAAACATCCTACATGCACAAAATAGTCCCCAGAAATAAAAAATTAACCAACCCAAAACATCCAGAGTGCCAAGGTTGAATAACCTGGTTCGAGAAAAGGTCTTTGATCTGAAAATTCCTAAAATATCTCAAAAAGCGATCAGTGAACAAGCTCCACCCAAATAGCATATCGTACAACTGTGGTACCCATGAGCTCACACAGAAACACCACTCTGATTTGTGTGGAGCATCCCAAGTCCCAAGACCCCCTTTAAGGCTGCAGCTCAGGTTTCCAAATCATCTTTCAGAATCTAACAAGGAAGCAAGAAAAGAGAGAGGACTTCACCTAAAACTTCTAATAGCCCAGGAGTTGGCAACTTTTGCAGAAATGCATCTACCTGTAGGTGAGTAGAGTTTCTCTATATACGGAAAAAGGAAATTTAATTAATACTGGAGAGAATGAAGCACAAACAGCATCTGTGGGTAACTAAAGGGTGTAGGTCAAGTTCAACAGAACAACTGCCACTGACGACATGAGGTTAATCAGTCTTAGAGGGAGGATGGTAAGGGAACTGGCAAGTGTCTGTTCAAAATTCAGATTGGATAACCAGTTTGGGGAGATATGTCTAGAGGGGTTGTGATATTAAGTCAGGAAGACAACATTACTTTCTAACCCTTTCAAGTTACTTAACATCCCCACTGATGATTTTGAGATGCTCTTAGGTGGCTAGGAGGGTAGCATAAAGAGACAAATTAGCACAAAATGAGAAAGTTATTCTTCTTTCAACTGCCTTCTTATTCTTCAGATTTTTAACAAGGAGAATGACCTCTTTATCCCATATCTATCTATCTACCTACTTACCTATTCATCCATCCATCCATCCTCCAAGATGAATTACAGCTTACCCTAAGCATAATGGCTTTGAACTACATGGATCTACTTAAATGCTCATTTTTTCAATAAATACATAAATGCACTTTCTCTTCCTTGTGATTTTCTTAACATTTTCTCTGGCTTATTTTAATATAAGAATATAGCATGAAATACATATAACATACAAAAATACAAATTAGTCAGCTGTTTGTTATCAGTAATTTCAACAGCAGCCTATTAGTAGTTACATTTTAGGAGTCAAAAGTTAGACGTGGATTTTCGACTTCTAATCCCCATGATGTTCAAGGGTCAACTGTAATTCATTTTCAAGTAGGAAATATGATACAAAACTCTAAAGGTTCTATGGGCCTCCCCGGTGGTGCAGCGGTTGAGCGCTGGGTTGCAGCCACTAGAGCGCCGGTTCAATCCCTGGCCACCAGCTGAGGGTCCCACATGGCGCACAGACCTCTCCTGCCGCCCGCTGCTCCCCTCAGCAGTGTACTTCAGTCCTTCTCCCTGTTCTGCTCCCTGCTCTGGCTCTGGTGAATTCTCTCACCCTCCCGCGCTTCTGACTGTACCCAGTGCTTGTATAAATAAATAAACCTTAAAAAAAAAAGAAAAAACTCTAAAAGTTCTATAGGGCTTAGAGCAAAATGCCTCTCTCCTATCCTTAACTCTCAACCACCTGATTTCCCTCACCAGAAACCCATAATGGCAACCACTTTTTTGTGTATCTTCCCATAATAGTCTAAGCAGATCTAATTATATATGTTGTATATGTGTGTCCATTTTTTGTAGATACATTACCCTACAAATGCTAGCATACTATACCCCTCTACGCCCTGCTTTTCTTTTCATGTAGAGATATCATTCGTGTTATCTATCATGATATGTTGTTGAGCTGCCTCACTTCTTACCTTAAAGATGACAGATCACTAAATGAAGTTGTCAATATTTATTTAAACCAGTCCTCTCCTGAAGGTGTAACTGTCACTAACTAGGGCCTGTGCTTGTGGTATGCGTGACTCCCATAAGGAAGCATTCACTCTAGGAGAGATGCTGAGGAAAACTGAGTGTTTGAATTCCAAGGGAGTGGGAAAAAACCTCAGTGGAAATTAATGGTGAGTTTTTATTTGTAAATACTTTAAGAATCAAGACAGTAGAAGGAAGTCACCATGTAAAAACAGAAATGAACTACAGTGGTGGTATAATGTCACATCAAAAAAGGGGATAATAACAATCTATAATTAAAGGCAGTAGAAATTCATGAACTATAACCCACAAAAGACTACACATTATTTCTATGTCTAAAGAAATTCTTTGAGACAAAGGAAATGTGGAGGACTCAGCAGATGCAGCTCACCATGTTGATCTTACCAAACCTAATGACTGTTTGCTCTTTCCCTTGTTGTTTGTTTGCTCTTTCCCTGTTTGCTCTTTCATATCTTGTTTATATTGAATCTTAGAAGGCTTCAATTGCCCAAAGATCTGAAAAGTGCTGAAGTTTCTTTATCTCCACTGACAGGGATCTTGCACAATAATCACCTAATATTCGGGTGGTTACTAGTGCCCAAGAATAAAGATTAGCAAACTCCTGGCCATGATTTTCCAGGTCAAAGAGAACCATTTAAAATAAACTTTTCCTTGATTCTAGAGTACTGATAGAACCTTAAGAATCAAGGGAAGGGAAGACAGAATGTTCTAGGATTAGGAAGAAGTCAATCTGACTTGTCTGAAATGACTGTTCTCTAAAATTATCTTGGGCATAAGCAGCATCAATTTGTAGGATGACTCAGAGACAAAAAGTCTTATTCTAATATCCACTCTGCTTTCCAGACACACACACACTCTCTCACTCCCTCTTTCCCCTCCTTCTCATGCTCTCCCCATACCTTTCACTCTCTCCCTCACTCTCACTCTCTAATCCCCTCCTCTATCTCTGAAAACTACTGTCTATCATCCTTTAATCCAAGTCCAGGAAACTAGCTCTTCTGTGGTTCACCTCCCATAAGACACGATCCAGACTTGTTGCTCAGGGTTCAGTAGTTTCCAATGGTTATTTCAGCCAAACAGTGGAACCAAAAAAACAACAGTATATTTTTCAGTATTTGTTTACATTAAGTATTGTGCAATGTATTTACATGCATTACTTCACTGAACTCTCAAACTACTTTACTGGGTTGGCATTCATTACTGTTACTATCAATTTCCAAATGAAGAAATAAGGCACTTGGAGGTCATTGACTTGCCCAAGATCAGGTATAATTAGGAAGCAGCAGAGATGGGCTTCAACTTTGAGTAGTTAAATCCTGGAGCTTAAACTCAAAACCACTCATGCCAAATTGCTTCTGTATAGAATAGGAAGGATTCAAATAGTTTGCCGATGTATGAGCCCCAAAGTATGCATGAACCATCCTTTCACGATACAAATTTAATTTTAGTATGTGGCGGGCTCTGTTCTAGGAATTAAGAATATAGTCATGATGAAGAGACAAGATTCTTGTTCCCATGGGCTCACAGATCAGTGATGGAGACATGAGCAAAGGAATGGTCACAACGATTTCAGAGAATAATACATGACTGAGGGGAAAACCACAAGGAGAAGGTGATACCTGAGCTAGAATAAATAATAAGAATTGTGTTTATACCTTACCTGAAGGGTAAGAACATTTCATAGAGAAGATAGAGCAAAGCAAAGACCCCAAGATAGATAGGAGCAAGGAATGTTCAATAATGAAAAGTACCGCTGTAAAAATGAGACTGTGGTGAAACGGACCAAGAGCTGAGCTCAGAGATGCAGGTAAAGGACAAATACCAGGGTCTCAGGGCAAGGCAAAGAGGTTGGACTTCATTCTACAATGGGACTCCTTTGGTGGAGTTTAAGCAGCAGAGTGGCATCATGTGATTTGCATTATTTTATTTTTTTAAAAAGACTTATTTATTTATTTATACAAGCACTGGGTACAGTCAGAAGCACGGGATAGTGAGAGAATTCACCAGAGCCAAAGCGGAGAGCAGAACAGGCAGACTGACGAAGTACACTGCTGAGGGGAGCAGTGGGCGGCAGGAGAGCTCTACGTGCCATGTGGGACCCTCACCCTGTGGCCAGGGATGGAACCAGTGCTCAGAGGTTGTGGGCAGCTTTGCATCACAGCGCTCAACAGCTGGGCCTCCAGGGGAGGCCCTGATTTGCATTTTAAACACTCACTCAGGCTGTTGCAGAGAAATTTTGGGGGTCACAGTGAAGACTTGATGGGAACCACTTTGTTAAGGCAAGACATGATAACCTCAAGGACTCAGGGGTAAACATGGAAGCAAAAGGAAATTCTTTGGAGGAAGAATCAGTAGGAAAGGCCAGGTGGGGGGGGGGTATGAAAGTGAAGAATAAAAGATGGTGTCTGGGATTTAGATTTGAACAAGTAGGTGGGTACACAGTACGATTCTCAACTTCTCTGCTAGCTCCTCTTTCAGTAAGAGCCTAAAATAATGTAGTTCTTGGAGTTCTTGATTCAAGAGGCATTTTGTACCCTTTATTTTCTCCTTGAGTGGACTCAACAATCCATGAGGTTAACATAAAGTGGGGTGGGAGTGGAAGACTGCACTCAGGGAAACCACCATGAAGAAGTCAACAATGACTCAAGGTCAGAAGAAATCAGACAGACACTAGACATGTAGATTGTAAAGTCAAGGAAGGAGGAAAAAACAAAACACCCTAGATTGGATATCCTCTGTAATAAAACCAAGTGAGTATTTAAAATATCCTTTAATCTTTGGTGGAGCTGAGGGGTAAGTGGGTCAAAAGGGAAGCCAGCATTCAGTGATTGCTTTTACCCAGGGCTGTTCAATGGGATCACATTTACAAATCTGTAACTACTAAGTAGTGGTAGTATATACAAAAACATTGGAGCACTTTTATTTAGCGGGCTTTCTTTATTGTTTCATTATAGCACAAAGAATTCAAGGGCCTTTGGAGGTTACTTGTAACCTGCAAGCCACAGTATAATTTTTTCTTTGAGGTCTTAAGATACTACAGAAGCAAATGGAACCTCTGAATGAGCTGAAGCAAGGTTAAGAGAAAAGCTAAAGCTATTCTAATGGTCAGTTCTCCAGCATGCCCTGCTATCATCCCAGTTACCCGAGTTTGGGCAAGTCAAGCAGAGAGGGCTGTGTACCTGGTGAGGATGAAGGATGCTACAAGCAGTGTTAAAAGGAAGGCAGATTTGGAAGAGCTACCATTCTGCAGGAACACACCACAGGTGGATTCTCAGACACAGAAATGGCTGTATTCAGCCACACCAAACAGCTTCAGAAGTGGAGGGGCCCCCTGTCCTCAATAGGCAAGTCTGAAGCTGTTGAGCTAGGAAAACACTTACGGAACGCTTGTCAGCTTCTGCCCCTTGCTGGCCCTGAAGACAAGCAGTGAGTTTCTTGTGCGTGCTGTGGGACACCTGCTTCACTAGTTCCAGCCGTTTCTCCACCTGCAGATACAGAAATGGGAGTGTCAGGAGTGAGAGGAAAGGTCAGAGTGGAGTCTTTGGTGTGCACAGTCATGGGAAAGACTCTGGGAGTTAACATTCAATACTGGATAATGGGAGGGGAGTGATCACAGACTCTGGGTCTACCTGGTGACTGCACAGTAAAACAACTTGAAATGTCTGCAAAGAAAATCTTACCTACCTGGCACTCAAAACACAAGGTTCTATTGTAAAGACAAAAAGTTGTGCTCCTAAATAGATTTAATAGGAACAGTTGAACAGCTTAAACAGTACTGGGAATGACTTAATTGTAAGAGGACAGTACTTTGGTGTTTAATAAGCTATGGGCCAGCGACCACCTTACCTGCAGAAGGTCTTCACTCAGAACTTCAGTCTTTTCTGCCCTAAAGAGAAAATTGAGAAACAATCAATAAGAAAGCTAGGAACACATTCTCATACCTATTCCCCACCCTCTTCACTTATGGTGAGACTAGAAAGAGGCATTCGCAGCAGAAATTTCTAGTAAGAGAAAAATACATACAATACTGAAATTTCCTGGGAGCCCTTAATAACTGGCAAACAAGAGACTCTGAAGAGTCTCTTGCTACAGATAAGAACCTGGATGAAGGACAACAAACACATCTCTTTTGTGACCAGGCATTTTTAAATTAAAATTCAAAAACAGGGCCTCCCTGGTGGCACAGCAGGTTGAGAGCTGCGCTGTGAAGCTGTCTGCAGCCTCTGCAGCACAGGTTCGATTGCTGGCTGGCCAGGGAGATACCCATGTGGCGCAGCAGACCTCTCCTGCCTCTCCCACTGCTACCCTCAGCAGTCTTCGGTCTGTCTGCCTGTTCTGCCCCCCACTCTGTCTCTAGTGAATCCTCTCACCCTCTTGCACCTCTGGCCTGTACCCCAGTTCTTGTATAAATAAAAATAAATCTTTTTTAAAAATTCAAAAACAAAGTAGGTTGCCCTGTCTATACCCTTTGCCCCTTCCCCCCAAAAACAAAGTAAGTTAAAATAACAGAAATTTAGGGATCAATGAATAGCAGTCAGAGAAACAGCATTGAGTCCTGGTGACAAATGCAGATATACCTCTGAGATTCAGCAACTAAGTGTTAGGCCCACCAGGAAGTGGAGCGACTTGAACTTGAGATTAACACATTCAGGGAAAGAACTTAACACTGGCTAAAGGGGTTCCAACCTGTTAGCAACTTTGTCTCAGAACAGAGGAAAATGCAGATCTTTGGAGCAAAGCACTCCCAATGCACTGCCTCAAGATTTTCAGATATAGGTTCCATAATGATATCTCACATAGGATTACAGTCTCTCCCTCTCCCTCTTCCTTCTCTCTCTCTCACACACACAAGCTCCAATTCACATGAAACAAATGATTAAGACTAAAGGACAAAGAAATAAGAAGTAATACAGAGTGCAGAGAACTTTAATGACTGAGATTATCAAAGATTGCAACATAAGCAAGAAATAGTCAAGAACAATGATAGATTCAAAAAAAAAAAAACAGTGAGAAGACTTCTACTTTTACAAAGATGGAATAAACATATTTTACTTCCTCCTCTCGCTAAGTAGAAACAAACCTTAGAAAATTATATTAAAAAAAACCAACAAAACTCTGAAAGGCATAGAGAAGGCAGACTGGCCAAGTACTACCAGACCCAAGGGATGGTAAGGTAGAGACTTCTTGCTTCACACAGTTCAGACTCTGAGTTTAAGAATCTGGCAACTTGAAAAGCAAATGTCTAAATCTGGTATCTTTAGACAAAGTATCAGGAAAGTGGAGTCTAACAGTATTTGTAGACAATCATTGCTCGCTGCAACCAAACCACCCTACATACACACACACATACAAATTGTTGTCCTACTCCAACCATACCAGCAAAGACCACCCAAATTTACACTACTACCAGAATAGAACAAGGCATCAATCAAACTTCTCACAAATGCAACAGTGTTACAGAAAGTTGAATATGATGCTGGGACATTATCACTGCTGGAAAGTAACAATAGAAACTATATGAGTCATCTAGACATCCATTCTTACCTGGTGGTGATGACACAACCCTCTCCCTTCTCATCAGGATGGTATAACAGGAGGCCCATGGGAAAGTGAGGGCTTCACGACTACACAGCAATAACAAGGCCACCCTCTCCCATGGCATGAATGGAAGCCATGGAGAAAGCAATAACAAGACATTACTATCCTTCCCAGCAAAGAAGGTATCAATAAATGTCTAGCAAGGAGCCAGAATTCCCCTTCTCACTAGCAGTAAATGAGGAATAGTTCCCTCTTAGGGGAAGGGGAAATCAATGAAGGCCACGTGGGAAACCAAGACTTGTACTCCCACTTCTTAAAGCAGACTTTTTCTTTTCCCTGCCTGAGCAGTAGCAGAGAAAGACAGCAAAAAGAGAAAGGGTTAATAAGATCCAAAGACTCACTACATACAAGTTTCAGTAAAAAACTTACTCATTATACCAAGAACCAGAAAAATCTTATATTGAATGAAAAAAGACAATCAGTTATCATCAAAATCAAGATGGCAGAGGTGTTAGAAGTATCTGAGAAAGACTTTAAAGTAGTCATTATAAAAATGCTTCAATGAGTAATTATTTGAAATATATTAAAGCTATTCACAGAAAGGAAATGGAAGACAGAAAGAAGAATCAAATGAACATTTTAGAGCTGAAAAATGCAATAATCTAAATAAAGATCCCAGGGGATGGGCTCAACTGCAGAATGGCGCAGACAGAGGAAATAATCAATAAACTGAAAGAAAGCACAATAGAAACGTTATAGTCTGAGCAACAGAGCAAAAATAAACCAAACAAACAAAAGCAAAGCCTCAGGGATCCGTGGGCCTATGACAAAAGATTAAATATTTATGTCATCAAGAGTCACAGATGAAAAGATGGTAGGACTTTAAAAAGTATTCAGAGAAATAATGGTTGAAAACTCCAAATTTGGCAAAAGGCATTTTCAAGTACTGAAAGAAAAGAATTATCAACCTAGAATCTTATATCCAATAAAAATATCCCTCAAGATTGAAGGAAAAATCAAAACACTCCCAGATAAAGGAAAATTTATAATCAACAAATCCACCTAAATACATACTAAAAGAAGTTCTCTGTGGAGTGAGGGGGAAGACAAAATTAAGAACCCAGATATATCGGGAAGGAAGAAAGAATACAGTGAACAAAAATATGGTAAGTAAAACATTTTCTTCTCTTGAGTTTTCTTCAGAAACCTGCAAGTATAATCACATTTCAGATTCAAAGACAAATATGATTATCTCGACCGATGCCGACAAAATTCAATATTTTGTCAGCATTGGTTGAGATAGAAAACACAAGGAAAATCTTTAACTTGATTTTTAAAAAGTAACTGAAAAACATTATTTTTAATGGGATGTTAAAAACAGCCCCTTTATAATAAGATAATGTACCTACTATCACCCTCTAACTAGCTCAATTAGATACAGAAGATTTAAAAACATAGAGGAAGAACCTGAACTGACATAATTTGAAGACTGTTTGTTTACAAATAAAACCCAAAGTCACCTATAGAAATTGTTAAAAATAATGAAAGTTCAGAAAGGCAAATGAATATAAAATCAATCTAACAAAATCAATATAACCAGTTAATACTTAGAAAACCTTGTTTTTTAAATAATACAAAAAAAAAAAAAACTCACCTAGGAATAAATTTGACAAGAAATAGGCAGTTATCTTTATGGAGGAAAAAATTAGTAAAATGTATTAACAAAGACAAATGGAAAATTATACTCTGTAGAAGAAGAAGTACTTTTGTAAAGATATCAGTTCTTTTCATAGCAATGCAACTTCAATAAAAAGTCCAAATAAGGGGGTCTCCCTGGTGGCGCAAGGGGTTAAGCACTGCACTATGAAGCACTCCGCAGCCTCTGCAGCTGGCCAGAGAGAAACCTACACGGCGAAGCAGACCTCTCCTGTCTCGCCAGCTGCTCCCCTCAGCAGTATATTTCATCAGTCTGCCTGTTCTGTTCCCCTCTGTCTCTGGTGAGTTCTCTTACCCTCCGCATCTCTGGCCTGTACTCCAGCTCTTGTATGCATAAATAAATAAATCTTTAAAAAAAAAGTCCAAATAAGATTTTCAAAAATGAATTTAACAAGCTGAACCTAAAATTTACATGGAAATACAAAGATTTAAGGAAAAAAATAAGATTATCCTTCAGAAAAGTTAAGAGTTTCACTATCAGGTATTTAAACTGCTCAAAGTCAGAGTATCTAAGACAGCATTGTATCATTGCTTACGCTGGGCATGAGAACAGGAAGAGCACTCGGAACAGACCCACACAAATGCAGAAAAATGACATGACAGGGTGCTAGCCCAGATGGGTGAAGAGAAGAAGAAAATGAATAATTCAAGACCTAGTCCTGGCTCAATTGTTCATCCATATGAGGAAAATAAAGAAAGAAGAGTTTCTATCCAACACCATGCTCAAAAGTCTAGTCCCAGTGAGTGAAAGACTTAGATGCAAAGTTCAAGACATGAAACCTTCTAGGAGAAAAAAATACATACATACATACATACATAAATCTTTTCACATGCTCTCACACACACCTACATGTAAATTAAAATAATCAATAAAAACACTGTGGTTACTAAACAGGTGATAAACTGTTTAGTTTATCACTAAACAAAACTCTCTCCTTTGAGGAAAGGGATCTGTGCTGGACACAAATTCAGCTCAAGTTCTTAAAATTTAGGGGTTATAAATTTACTTGAAGAACAAAAAGATTGAATAAAATTCTAGAAAATGTTCTACACCATGGTGGGGAGGAAAAACATCACTTTGAACTGGAAGGCAGCAATGGAAATCACTTAGCCCAATTTTCCACTCATCTGAAAGCATCTCCATCATTCCCCAAAATACTTCAACAGAGCATTCAAGACTGACCCATGCAGCTAATCTTCAAAAAAGACAGGCAAGCTAATAGATGATGCTATTTTTAGGAAACCTGGTATTTTTGGACTCATTTTTGTAAATGAAAGAGCATCATTCATTATCAAGATAATGAACATATCTACCATTTTCAGGGAATGAGTCATTCCACAGGATGACAGCCACTGTGTACATGACACTGGGTACAAGTCATGTATTTTTTATACTATTTTTTATACCAATAGACTAAAGCAAAACAGAACTTTGGCAAACTGATCTAAAAATTGTGCATTGTTCTACTTAGGAGCTTCAGGAGAACAATCAAAAACCACCCACAAAAATCTTGATTGTCACCAGTGTGATATTAGCTTGTTAGGTCACAGCGGCATTTCCCAAAATGAATTTCATGAAAAAGTAGTTTCATAAGACACTCTGAAAGAGAAGGATCTGTGGACAAATAAGGG